TAACAGTCTTAAAAGTGGTAGATTCAGTCACAGGCAAAGGTTAATAGTATAGTTAAAGGTTCACTTTATGTATTAGTTGTAAGATATTCACATAAAAAACAGATATTAAATGCACACAATTTTTGTTGCATTTCTTAAAAATGATACAAAACTTTAAACTGTCAATGACTAATAATGAAATAGTGACATGTTAAAGGTGAGAAATATCATAGACAAGCAAGATAAAAAGAAAGATTAAAACAAATGTGTTGATAATAAACCCATTGACAGGTCATCATTGCCACTGAAAGGTCAACGTTACCCTGTTGTCAGGACAAAACAATCATTTATTTAACTCTGTTTTATCAGTGTAACAGTTGTTAACAATTGCGGGTTTTTCAGACAGACATGGTTTTAGGTTTTTAGGCGTTTAAACATTTGGAAGAGGTTTGATTACAGTTTATACCTTATTTTGAACAGGTGCACAGATTTCGACACGATTACAACATAATTGGATATGTCTCATTACCTTGTTCAAAATTGTACAAGGTCATTCGTGCTGAAGTGATTGACAGGTCTCGTGCACTTCATATAAATAAAAAAAACATAACCGAAAATGTTACTTAGGCTTTGCCTACTGTTTTATTTTGACGCTTTATATTGAAAATTGCAAGATTTATATACAATGGGATAAAAAACATCAAAAGGTTAACTTAAGTCAAGTAGAATGATGTAATAAGGTATTGCATTAATTTCACCTGACAATTTCTTTACCTTGAACAATTGAATGTCTGTCTGGCATGATAATTTGCCAAGATAAGGTCAAAGTGAATGAGCCCATTGGCTTATCAGTTGGTATTGTGGTGAGATGGAGTTTTGGCAGAATGAGCAATTATACTGTCATTTTCTATTTAACCTTGAGTATTTTCTATTTTATATGCCTCAGCTGTAAGGTCTATGATATATGTAAATTTATTTGGCACTGCAAGCTCTTGTTTTATTTTATGGAAGCTATACCATTGAACACAGATTTTTCCTGTCCAGGAGTCACCAAATGTTCTTGTCAAAAAACAGGACCTTAAAGTTTTAAAAAGTCAGATCCAAAAATTGTTTATCTATGTTAAAGGCATATTTAGCAGCAGAAATAATAAAAAAAAAAAATTCTTGAAAATGGCAAACCTGTGTTTAATAATGTTTGAACAATTAATATCCTTGTAAAATGACAAAGTACTGCTGAATGAGAAATAATTTGTCATAAAAGAAGTGAAATGAAACAACTAGATTTTTGACTTCTAATTTACTTTGTACTAAATCATTATATATGTATGACCAAAATGCAAAATAAGCATAAGCTTCTTTTTGAAAATGTAACACCAAAATATTTTTTTGAGAAATTAAAGTAAGGGACATAATTGGGCATAAAAGGACAGTAAGTCTAGAGTTTAAGTTTCAACCAATGATGGATACATTGGCAAATTAGAAACTGATGTAACTATTTAACATTTTAGTTTGTAACTGTTCTAATATTACTTTGGTAAAGAATGTGAATTTTAATCATCATTTCTCATGTAAGAAAGAGATGTCTATTTTATTTTCGGTGAATAACAAGTCTCCTATTTATATAATCTAGTTTTTGCTACATATAAAATGTCCTATAGCCCTGTATAACACTGGTAATCAAAATTGTTCTGGCTTTAATGTTTGACATTTGATCTTGTTACCTTTAAACTCTCCATTCATTTGATACTCTTTCTTATTGTATGTCTGACAGACGTGTAAAATATTATAGTTTCAAGTCCCACTTCTTTCTTACAGATTTATAGGTGTTGGGTTCTTTTCCACAAATGGTGTCCATTTCTTTCGTCTTTTTTATGTATTGAGTAAGTCAGTCAAACTGAAGTTAGATTAAAACTGACAAAACTTGCGGGATTTTAGACTCTTTTGGCAGCATTATTGTCTTTAGAAAGGTAGTTTAGATAAAACCTTGTCAATATTGCACCATTATAGAGCCTGCAGGCCAACATGCACATACAGTTTCTAAAGTTACAGTTTGAACCCTGAGGACTTGGGTGGCCTTGCGCAACACTACAACCCCTAAACAAATGCTGGATCATCCTTACAGGTACTTTTCAAAGTAGAACAAATCCAATTCACAAATTCTGCAGAATATTTTAACATGACCATTAATAATATAAGTCTGGTATGATTAGTATATGGAAAGATTGAAAGTTAAAAAATGATTAGTATTTCTTAGAAAGACAATCAATTGTATTAACATCATAAGAGTTAAGACACACAATAATTATTTAAATATATAGATTATGCATAGTGATTTAATTTATGTGCAAAAAGGAATTTAAAGAATTAAATTATGTGAACATATAATTTTCAAGCATCACTTTGTATAAACAGTAAAGTTTACCATAATAGAATAACATTATATCACAAATTAGTATGTTAACATAAATATTAACCACAAGTTACTTATGCATTATGTAAACAACCTGGATTTACGTAAGAAAACAACAACAACAACAACAACCAAATAACAAAAAAAGGAGGTTTGTTTTTTCTTTGGTTTGGTTTATATTCACACAGACCCTGTAATGGCCATGTCATTATCATGTACTGTTGAAGTTATCTCTAGTGATTTAAGTACATGTATTGCATTATGCGGCATTACTTCAGATACAGGCAGGCATGTTGGGTTGGGTATAGCCGATCTTACAGAGGGAATATTTAAATTCCTTTGGAGAAAGAAGGGCAGAACTAAATAAACCTAAATCTCTGATGGTCAAGTGATTAAAAGACTTTGACCTAAAACTTTCTTGGCCACTGGGTCCCCAGACAACATGCATGTATCTACAATGTAACTATATGTGTCAACTAGATATATAACTGCACTATTTAATTTTCTATAAATTTAACATAAAAAGATGTAATTTTAGGCTTTGTGTAAACAGTGAATTTCTAAGTCAACATAAATTTACCACACACTTTGTTTATCTTATAGCAAATCTGAGTCAATGTGATTTCCAAACATTAGCAATTGAAGACCTATTGTGCACTATGTGTGAATGTTCCAGGCATGAATGGGTTCATAAATCTGCAAATTGTCTTCTGCTGCTAGCTAGTTCAATATAGCTTCCTAACAAAAGACTTTCATTGCCGCAGTTTGGCATGATTTAATTTATGTGAAAAGTGCAAACAATCGAGTAGTCCTAATAGCCCTCAGCCTTAACATATAAAGGATTCATATTCAGATAGAGAATTTGTCATGAATAAAAAAACCCCATAAAAATGGTACAAAAAAATATATAAATAAAGGTGAGCTTTAAATCATAAATAAAAATCTACAATTTAAACGACACCTGTCCAAATGACACGAATAGAGAGTCTAATGGAAGAACAAAATTATTTCTTTTACTGACCTTCAATTTTATGAATGGATTAAACATGACATTGTATTTGCGTTGTCGTTATTTTTCCCACTGGTGGGATTAAAGTGGCGATAAAAATATAGATAAAAGAAATAGGTTTTTTATGCAACCCGATTATAGAAATAGGGTAGTGGGTTACGATGATTCATTCAGTAACGGGTATCAAAACGCACAGTAAGTTTCTATATATAGATATAAGGAAGTGATTGATTCGTCATAACCAGTTTTCCGACAGAAAAAATGGGAGGTGCTTTGAAAGATATACTTCTTGAACTTGTTATGTACTGGTAGACTGGTACTTATAAAGTTACCTTTGAATATAGTTTTTTGTTCCACTTTGTTCAAGTAAGATAATAAGTGTTTTTTGCCTTTTTAAAAAAAATAATACTAACATAAAAGATATCTTGATAAATTAGTTACTTAAATGATATGACATTCCATAAATTAATTGTAAATGGGTTTGACTTATATTGAACAGGAAATTATTAGCACAGATATGAGATATTGTTTCAGATTCTACCAATATAAAAAATTGATATGAATATGTAGTACATAACATCTTAAATTGATACTACAGATAGAAAAACAATGTGGAACATACACAGCTTGTCCTTTCAGTCTAAATAGGATGTTTTAAGTATGCACTGAAGCCTGGGTGCCATCCACAGTCCATGTATTGCTTATCTTGACATAAGAGTCTTCAAATTGCACCAGAACATAAGTTCAGGTAGTGAAAATATGTTGAATGATTGAAAATATGTTGAATGATAAGTGTTTAAGAGTTGTGATATATTTTTCCTGTGTTTAGGGTTTTGCTGTACATGTATTTTTCCTGTGTTTAGAGTTGTGTTATATTTTTCCTGTGTTTAGGGTTTTGCTGTACATGTATTTTTCCTGTGTTTAGAGTTGTGTTATGTTTTTCCTGTGTTTAGAGTTGTGTTATATTTTTCCTGTGTTTAGAATTGTGTTACAATTTTCCTCTGTTTAGAATTGTGGTACATTTTTGTTGTGTTTAGAGTTGTGTTATGTTTTCCTGTGTTTAGAGTTGTGTTATATTTTTTTGTGTGTTTAGAATTGTGTTATATTTTTCCTGTGTTTAGGGTTTTGCTGTACATGTATTTTTCCTGTGTTTAGAGTTGTGTTATGTTTTGCCTGTGTTTAGAGTTGTGTAATATTTTTTCTGTGTTTAGAATTGTGTTACATTTTTCGTGTGTTTAGAGTTGTGTTACATTTTTCGTGTGTTTAGAGTTGTATTACATTTTTCCTGTTTTTAGACATTTAGAGTTGTGTTATATTTTTCTTGTGTTTAGAGTTTGTTAAATTCTTTCTGTGTTTAAAGTTGTGTTATATTTTTTCTTTGTATAGAGTTATGTTATATTTTTCCAGTGTTTAGAATAGTGTTATATTTTTTCTGTGTTTAGAGTTGTGTTTCATTTTTCCTGTGTTTAGATGTTTAAGAGTTGTGTTATATATTTCCTGTGTTTAGAATTGTGGTACATCTTTGTTGTGTTTAGAGTAATGTTATATTTTTCTTGTGTTTAGATTTGTGTTATATTTTTCTTTACCTTATTTCTATTGCAGGAGAAAGATTTCGAGTTTGCTGAGGAAAAGGCTTCATCGCTTAAAGATGACGAGGATTTTATGCGTGATCAGGAAGGGTCCGGGGATATCGACGGTAGTGGGGAAGTTGGCCAACCCTCAGGTGTTCCAGGTAGGGTGCTAGATGCTTTTAAAATTTTGGGATCTATGCTATGCCACCGCTTTCAAATTGAGCCAAGGCTTGTTTGTACATTTGTTAAGTCTAACCAGATGCTGTCAATGCGTATAGCTGTTCAAGTTGAGTACAGACTAATCATAGTCTGCACTGTTCCCAACTCAGTCAGTACTTCGTATAATATTTTAAGTACAGAGGCGCTATAACCGCTTCAAAAAAGCGGACCACTTTCGGCACTTGCAATTAACAGCATTAGAGTCTGAAATTTCGCTACCATTATTTGTTTGGTCTGACGACCCAAACAAATAAAAAATGTGTTATTTTTAATGATTTTGAACATATTGAAAGATTGGAAAGTCCATGTAGGGTCAAGGGTTAATGATAATAAATTACTTGAGATTATCATCATTGGACTGTCTTAAGTATAGAACAGGATGGTAAACTTACACAATATTTTGCAACTTTGGTATAGGTGTTAAATTATTAAAGGGACATAACTCTGCTGTAATAAATAGTTTCCACTTGAGGAATACATGTCAGATAAAGCATACCTACTTTACTTCAAAGTAAATCCAGATGATATAATTTCTGGCTTATCAAATAATCAATGGATCAGATGAAAACTTAAATCTGTAGAACAATTTATTAAAAATTTATTCAAATTTATAAAATTGGGTGATGATAAAGATATGCATTCCCATGAGAAGAATTTGGGTGTCTATATAGCTAGTGTCTTTGTGGTTAAAGTTTTTTTTTTATAGTACATGAAAAATTTTTGGTTTGAGCTAGGCTAATATCAGTTTCATAGGAGGTTATTTCTACAAACTATATTTTAGGCAATATTCCTGCCCAGATAATTATATGTTACCTAAGGTCTATATTTTGATCTGATTGAGCTTAAACAACAATTTGATTGGCTGAACGCTGTAGATTTAAGATAAGACCTCGAGGTAAAAAAACTTTTGATCTGAGATCTGTCTCATATATCAGGATTTTCATTGGTCTGTGCACATTAATTTTGTCCCATTTTCTGACCAATCAAATTCATCTTGGAAAATTTCTTAATAATGTTGCTCGCTGGATTCTTGCATTTGGAAAGCTGTCTTGAAGAAAATTGGTGGATTACTTTGAGGATGGAGCTTGGACCCATGTTCCTAAAATAATACAGTATTGATTAAAGGTGTTTCTTCACCACTAAAGCTCGAAAGTTGCCCTTATATAACCACTGCAACATATGACTGAAAAATCAAGCAAAAAAAAAAAAAAAAATAAAAACAACAGAATTAAAAAGTAATTAAAAATATACATACAAAGCAAATTCTGCTAGTATCATTTTCACTGATGATCTAAACTGAAATACCATAATTTAGATGAGCCGCGTCACAACAAAACCAACATAGTATATTTGCGACCAGCATGGATCCAGACCAGCCTGCGCATCAGCGCAGTCTGATCAGGATCCATGCTGTTCGCTATCAGTTTCTCTACCTGAAATAGAGTGAACAGTAAGTGAACAGCATAGATCCTGAACAGACTGCGCAGATGCGAGGGCTGGTCTGGATCCATGCCGGTCGCAAACGCACTATGTTGGTTTTGTTGTGACATGGCTCAGATAATTTAGATATGCAATAAATTAGTTTTGTTAAAATTTCTCTGAGGCAATTTTCTTCCCAGTTTATTTTATTATGCTTATTTTCATTAATTCAAAATTTGTATGTAGATGTTTATCCAAGTTTTACTAGAATTAATGACGACAGCACTGTAAAAACTGCAGTCAAGATAGGCAAATTGTATGGCTTAAAACTATACAGAAAACATCATAGTTTCTGTTTTACATCATGTTTTATAGATATTTAAGTTTTAATTGAAATTAAATGTAATCCAATGATGTTTTGTGGTTGAAATAAATATGCTTTTATAAAAAAAAATTATTTTTTTTTTAAGGATTTCCCATTATGATTTAAATACAATAAAATCTAATTCTATTATAAAATGTACATGGTTTTCTCTTATTATTTTATTGAGCACCTTTATCAGTTAAGGTTCCTAAATTTCTCATGTTTGTTATTCCATGACATTGTACTAATTATATTATATTTTCTGTATTTATGACTGGACTGTGTACAAATATGTATACATCAATAAAAATATCTATTTACCTATCTTAATCCAATTTTTTTTGGCCATTTTAGTAATTTATTATGCAATTGTCGCCTTGAAGTTTACATGATTAGATAAGAAGTGTTTATCTTTTTACACCCACATTGTGTGCAAGGTGTTTGTTAGTAATTATTTTGTCTTTTCATCCTTTATTTAGACATATAACTATGTTAACTTGTTAGAGTAACCCCTAGGGTTAAATTGTAAAGTATGTTTTAATGTTGAAGGTGAAGGTCACACTATTTTGACTGATATACAACCACAAATAAATATAATAGGCGGGACCAAGATTTTTTTGATCAACTGACTTGTACAATGAAAACTTTTATTGGAGTTATTAGCTAGACCTTTAGCCCTATTGTTATGGTTTTAGAACTGTTCACTATTTGGGGGAGAAGATTTGTATACATGTGCTGGGAAAGCACAGTCAGTATTATATAGAGCTGCTGTAGGGTATCTCAAGGGTCACAGGTTTGTTTCCTGGTAAAGCTGCACATTTTTCTCACCCTTTGGCACTATGTAGGATTAATATGAAAAAAAATGAGGAGAGGACAACCATGAACTATTGCAGCTCTTGGTCCAATTTCTATCTACTTTAAATGATTGTATACATCTACATGTGTATGAATCTTGAAAAATTGTGTTTAAACCAAAAAATGAAAATAAAAGAGCTTTTTTTAGTAAAAAAACTTTATTGCTTAAGATCAGTTTAGCTTAATTTTTATAAAATGCATACAAAAATCCCCATATGTATTAATATAAACAGCATTGTGGAAAAATATGTCTTGAATTAGGGGAAAGCAAAACTTTCTGGAAAATTGAAATCTTATAATACCAGCTCCCCCACCCACTAACGTGCCCGCTTTTGTCCTTGAAAAAGATCATAACTTTATTGTCAGAGATTTGTTTTATCCATTCCTGTTAGAAAAATATGCTTATTACATCATAATGCTAGAAAAATGCCATTTACGTGCTTTATATTGTAACGTTATTATCAAATTCAAGCATAAAACTTGACATGAAAATTACATTTTCATGTCTTGTTATGCATAAAACTTTGCATAAAACTGCAGGTTTTTAAATATTCTTGAATTGCTTCCATCAACATATGTTACTTCAATTACTGTTTATAATATATGACTCTTGAAAAAAAAAGAAAGAAGATTTTTTTCTTGTATGATGAAAGATCTTGAAATGCTGTTCTTTACATTTTCAAGAAATCTGTTACAATTTCATTTTATCTCAACAGATGAAATATAATGATATCATGTGAAGTATTTTGTCATGTTTGTCATAAAATGAGTACAAATATACATGTACATAGTGGGTGCTGGGAAATGTTAAATTCTTAAGAATTTAACTCTATACAGTGTTGGAGCAGTACCTCTAGATGCTTGCAGAAATCATGATCACAAAATAGACAAATATCAGTTTTTTTTCCACCTATTCTTACATTTTTCATCCATAACCGTATATAAATCGGCGTGAAGAGATGAGGGGATTAGGTGTTTTAAAGTTCATTCTGTTGGTGTGAAAATGCGAGATTTTAGCATTTAATCATTCAAGTGCCTTGTCCAGTATGTACCGAAATACGGTATTTAGTGTGGTGCTTCAATCTCTTTAGTTTCACTCAATTCTTAATACTAGATATAAATCCTTATAGTAATGAAACAAACAGATTCTCCTTTTCAAAAAACTGTTCAAAAATTTAATTTAAAAACATAATAGCATAATTAAAGTTTCAAGGTCAAGGTCATCTATGGAAGCCTGTCAGCATCCTTTTGTTACAAAGCAACTTATAAATGTTTAGAAAATTTGAATTGAGTTATTTCAGAGTTTTGGCATTACCGACAAGCTATGTCGAAATGGAACTGTTATATTGTTTTTTGTTAAGCGCAAAAAACAACCAGCACAATGTTTGAAATATTTCTGGCCTTGAGGCAAATATGTAAAGACATAACTTCATGCAGACAGATGATTTATCTGTAACAATTAATGGCATGTGCAGATCTCTTCCTGTATAATCCATGAGAAAAAAACAAAAAATCATTGCTGCAAGCGTTTTGCTGATAAGCCTCTGCTTGTTACATATGTTTTCACCAGCATTGTGTGGCTACTATGAAGGGGTGGTGCTGGGTTATTTAACAATTACTGTCAGGTTCAAGAACTTCTGGCATTTAACAATGGGTACCTTAAATGAGCTAGAATGACTCAGAAATGTTAGTTAGAATGTTTGAAACTGGGTGTTCCCAGTATTAGAGCATTTCTCATAACAAGCAATTAACAACCAACATTATCATGATTTATAATGTTTGCTATGCTAACCACTTGATACACAATGGCATCTATACTATATCTATATTTAGATTGATTTTTTGATAATTAATTAATATAATTTCTTCCTTTATTAATTTTTTTAATGAGTTTACAATGCAGTATAATAATACCACTTAAAGGACATTATTCATTGCACAAATCATTTACAATTTGAACAGTAGGTTTCTGAAGTATAAAATTAATGTTTAATAATGTAGAGTCTTAATCCCCACCCTGCTGGCCACAAAAGACTCTACCCACAAGACCTGTGCAGGCACACACCATTCAGCCAGGACTTATAAGTATTATTTTCCCTGAAAATGTTGTATGGTTTGTGCATCCAATTTAGCTTGATTGATCCTTTCTTCAGCCTTCAAAATTTTACAAGTAGTCTTTTTTATTCTTTGTATTTGGGATTTATTACATGTAAATTATAAATGTGAGGTGCTTTGGTTTGAAAATAAAATAAAACATACAAAAAGCATACAATCTGATCAGAGGTGCACAGATGTGCAAGCTGGTATGGCTCTATTCTGATGCCATTGACTAGGATCATACTAAGGTTATTACTTTAACAACCCAATACTGGAGCCAATTAAGCATGCATGTTTGTGAAGTTTGCATATCCAGACTCTATACTGTTGAGTATTTTGTTGCATTTAAAAACACCAAAATCCCTGAATTTAACATTTATACCTATGGAAAATAAGAAAATGACTTCCCATCAGAATTTCAATTTTACTACTAAATCCTCAATTGTTTTTGCCTGTACTCTTGAAAAGATTTCTAGCTTTGATATTTTTGGTAATTCAGGAAGCTATGTAGATAAAGTATGTTACAAGATATTTACATATTGCCTCAAGTCATGAGAAGAAAATTGATTTTGGTCGTAAACTGATCTCAAGTTTAAAGTGTGAACCCCTGAAATAATATTGTCTTTAAACCCACGTTCATATATTTTATTTAAAAGCATAAGTCAACTAAAGTGATAGAACACCAGCATCTATTTATTAAGGTAGTATGTAAATTGGGATATAAGACTAAAATTCAAACTAATTGAATTTAAATTGGTTGGTTGCATGACTAGAGGTAATAGACATCAGGTTATAACAAGGGACCTATTAATCATGTAATTTTGTCCGTCAATAAATAACACGCAACCCCTGTATAGTACATGTAATAAATCTTATTCATGATTCAATTTAGGTAATGGGCTCTTTATAACAATTGGCAATTACTTTGATGTCAGGTTAGTCTACTACTACTAGCATCAACTCAGTAGCCCAATTTTAGTTTAATATAAATATTAATAGTTATAAATGATTTTTTGACAGGTTATAATTATGGCCCTATATAAATGGCTGGTTGTAAATATAACTTAGATATATATAACCAAGCTGCCAGACAAGGATTATATTGATAACAACCATTTATACACAGCCATATAACCTGTCAAGAATCTTTATTAAGGAATTTGTAATACAGCAAGAGGAAAACATGAAATTCCTTTACAAAAAGCGACTTGATATCAGAGTTTATTATTACAACACTTTGAATGCTCAAGTTGGGCTTTAACATGACATTTGTTTATGGACCACTAACAGCTCTGCCCAAGTCAATATGTTTCTAGATTTTTGTAATATAATGATTAATGAAAGTACAATCTATATTCCAGGCAAATATTTTCAAATTCCAGTGGTTCCAAAATCTTCACTGTTCCTATTACTGGTATACTTGCACAATTTTTGTCAATGGCGTAAAACTTTGTTGAACATAATTATGCAGTAACATTGTGTTACAAATTATACAAAACTAAAATGTGCAAGCAGTTATGAGAAAAGTACAGAAGCACCATTGGAAAGTTACATACCACTTAGTTCCCAGGAACATGATCTGTATGAATGAATCGAACATTAACATATATGTCAAGAAAGTAACAAATAGCATTGAAATAGTGGGTGTTGCCATAAACCATAAACACTGACTGCATATTATCATATTCTTTTTTTTCCAGCTCTGTTTAGGGCGGTTATCAACATTACCAGTTTACAGTATACGGACGAGATCCAAGCCGCCGGTCGGGATATCGGAGGGCTTGCGATCACTCAACAGCTGCAGACTGCCTTGCAAAACCTGATGAATACTTTACCTGGTGTTATTAGAATAAGAATTGTAGATTTACAGTAAGTGTATACATGTTCTTAACAAACCCTTAACATGCTGGTACCAAAACCGATTAACCTTTGGTACTAGTATAGAGGTAGGCCAGCCTGAATATCCTTAGTTTATACAAATTTATATTTTAGTTCTATTGTGGTGGAAGTTATAAGCTTATTGAAACACTAAACCATTTCTGGAACACAAACTGGTACTAAGCAATAAATGTCAAGTATCTTGCTATAGGAAATAACAGCTTGCCCCTGACAGGGTTTGAACCCACACGGTCAGCAATTCTTAGATTACTGTAGTCTGATGCGTTATTTTTACCACTCGGCCAAGCAGCCACTTGAATATTCTTGCAGTCTGACCTGGCTCTACCCCAGCTGATTACAGTGACTTGAAATTATCATCATGATTTCTCCCCAATTAATAATTGACAGCAGGTTAAAGGTTGACAAAATATTCAATTTAGTACAGTGAAACTTTTAAAAGACTGCCCTTTATTGAGGTTCTTTAAAAGAAAGTAATTTTGCATCGTGATTTTTGATATAGGGAAAAGAAAACAAAATGGTGACCATTGATTTTCAGTGACACGATAATTTTTTCTTTTTTTTTTAAGAAGTGGTCTTCAAAAAAACGTTTAATTGTGTCAGAAATTTATTATGTTTTTTCACAGTGATTGTAATAAAATATATTTCAACAGCATTTTGTAAAATTTCGTGGTTGCATGTTTTGCTGTTTTACTTTTTTTCTTTAACAAAAACATACATCTGGTATAATTCTATTGTAAAAATGAAAGTTTATATTTCTCTCGGGATGTAATCGGAATAAAACGAGTACACCATGATCCGTAAAACCTGCACCAAAACGATATGAAATCATATCAGATAAATAAACGTACATTCCAAATGCTGTAGGGAGATGGAAAAAAAACATGCAATAAGTCTTTAGATGTAAATAACATAAATGCAAGTGCAGTTTTAAGAGAAAAGTTATATAGCTTAACTCAAAGATTACGTCAGAAATGTCTGTTTTATTCATTATAATATATGATTTGTTTGATTTTATACATGTCTATGAGTAGGAGAAGTGAAAATCTTCATTCTATATGCCTGCAGCGTGCATCAAACGTGGCAGTTGGCTCATTCTTTCTGTCCGACCATACTGTACCCTGACAGCCCCTTTACTTTACATTACAGCATTTTTCACTGAGATCGGGCTGGGAATAGCTCCAAAAATAGCCATTCTGTTGTTTTGGTTTCAGACAATTTGACAATCATTTTGTCTTATTATTTCCCGCCCCCCCCCCTCTTGTGAACCATATTGAAATGTGGCTTAATTTGAAAAAATGGAAGGTTGACATGCACAGTGGTTAAGGGTCAAGAAGAATGATTCATGAAAGAAGTGTGATGTTAGTTCTCAATGGATAATACAATTTCTCAATGTCATTCAGATTTTTGTCATCATGGTTGCTCAGTCACATCACGTATTGTTATGTATGACATCATTGACGTTAATAGCTCAGGGTAGGTGAATGAAAGTCTACAGTCTTTAACCAATCTTATCTCTATTATCTGCCATTGTGCTTTCGCAACAATCAACAATGGTGTAATTTTCGTGGGACTGATATTTTCATGGATTCATGGATATCTTGTTACTTCTTTTACTAGATGTGTATAAATAAAAACTTAGAAAGCATTGCTGATTTTGAAATTGAACGTATTAAAAAAATCCATGTATTATGTGTTTTATAATTTAGCCGTTTTTAAATGCAAAAATCCACAAAATTTATCTACCCGCAAAAATTTATGATTCAACTCTGCGATTTTGGAAGGATAAAGCTTCTGACATGAATGTGTTGTTTTGTCTGCATTCCCTGTATATTTCTTGTAGACACCAGAATAATGATCTTAATTTTCTCATCAGAAAATACAGCTTATAAAATCTGCACTGATCCACCCTAAGATTGTGTAATGTTTCACTTGAAAGCCAAAAAGAAGCAGTTTGTTTAATCGAAGGTTTCATGCAAAATTGTTGTATCTCCTCTCTTCACTTTACAGTTGTTACAGGTTTTTGGCGTACAGCCTCCGTAATGTTAGTTAATACCTTTTTATGTACAATACCCCATGAAAAAATAATGCCTTGTCTTAAAGATAAATTCAGGCTGCATCTGCACCTGAAATCAACCTTTAATCTGCTAAATCAAAGGATTTAGCCTGTTCTTTGACATTGGAAGGTTTTAGGCATTCTTAAGAGATTCTGTTTTTTCTCTATTTAGTTGCTAGGGGTGACAGTAACTTGCCTGTGCTACCAGTATAAATCTAGGCCAACCTGTATATTCATATACTCCCACCTGACTTTATACAAGGGCTGTCCCATTAAGTCATGGACAACAGTTTTAAAATACAAAATACTCAACGGACTTCTTAAAGATTTTACTGATATTTATTATGCTATTGCTGAGTGAACATGCTCAGACGTTATATTTTTGCTTTACAGCCCTAATTGTCCAGGACACTGTGGGACAGCCGTCTTACTATTTCTTCATTGGTATCATTTTATTTATTAAAATTTCTTAAAATTGTACATTTCCCGAAAGGCAAAACAGGACTGACTGACTATTACACTATGTTATTAGCAAATTTAAGGTTAAATTTTTTATGTGGGGGTAAGATAATAACAAGTAGCTCTCCAGTTTGAAGGTATCTGTAGTCCTAAAAAGAAATGTCTCAAAATGAAAAAAACAAAAAACAAAAAACACCAAAAAACCCCAAACTATCCCAGTATTTCTAGAAACCAAAAAGCAAGGACAAAAATATTAACAAAATATATGTGTCAATAACAATTTTTTATATATTTGTTTACAAGAGCTTAAGTTACATTAATTAAGCTAGATCTGTATTTTAAAAGATCTTAAGTCAAAATTTGTAAATTTTCAAATTTTTTATAATCATTATGAAGGAATTCTTTCAAAACATGTTAGAATAACAGATGTATTTAAGAAATTTTTCTTATGAAATTTAGTGAATACACCTGTTATTGTTATAAAGATAAGTATCACCAAAACAGAGAAATCTCCAGTGTCTGCCAAATGGTATTTATAATTTCTGGAAATGCAATTTACTGATAAGCCCGGATTGCTGCCTCTGCAAGATTGAGATTACACTTTATTTGATATTAAATACACAGGATTAAAATTTCTCTTGGTAAAACATTGTTTAACTTTTGTAAAATTCTTTATGTTTAATTCTTTTAAACTTTTTTAATACCCCAGTTTATAAATTATGATGAATTTATATGATATCATGTACACATGTACAGGCAATGCTGTCTATGAAATTTATACCACTTGTTGGAAATGAACAAAAACACAAAAAAAACACAGTGGGCCTTTGTTAACAGGTGGTCTCTCAAAGAAGGTCATTTTGTGTTTATGATTATATAAATGTTGGATAATAAAATGGTGGCCTGTAGTTTAGGTGTGACTGTATGTAGGTTTTTATTTTAGACTTCAGAGATGGTCCTTAGAACAGGTTTCACTGTATCTTATCTTTGTTAGTATGGTACCCTAACAAGTGTTCAATCAACTAGAACTTTTTTAGCGCTCCCCCCCCCATCTCCTTGAAATTTCTATATCAGACATACCCAGCTTTGAACCTTGTACTGTCCATTGTTAGGTCATTATGAGGGGTTTTTATTGTATGGAAAAATGTCAAAATTGAGCAGGGAACTGACAGAGAGATTTGGTGAGATTTCACCTAAGTACAGGCTGGTCTGGCTGTGTGCTGGTACTTCAAGAAGACTAGAAGTCGTTATCTCAGTTTGCTAATCTTGCCAGAGTGCTACAGGGACTATTTTATTCATATGTTTAAGAAAGAAATTTCACTCTGTTGCTCTGAATTCTTTTTTTGATTAACAAACTAGGGATGTTAATTTTCTTTGGTTATATGATGAGTAATTAATGCTGGTTAAATGTTGGCAATAGGTTTCTTGCTGAGTGAGCACAATTTGTGGAGATCTCCCTGAAATGTTAACATGGTCTCTGTTTCAAATCAAACCTCTACTTAACAATCTGTGTAATGATTTGTTTCAATTAATTAGTAGGTCCTACAGAGTGAAATACTGTTACATGTAATTGAAAATTAGAGGAGGGGGAAATTCACTTACCTGTTAAATGATTCTGGGAAAAGTTTGCTTGTATAAAAGTATTTTTCTATTAAATGTCTTAAGACAACTAATCCAATGCATGCTGTATTCAGAATTTAAAGCAAAATAAAATTGATATGCTTTCTTAAAAGTCAGAATTTTCAGGTAGAAGTGCTGGTGTGTGCCATCTTTTGTGATTTTAGGCCAAACTATAAGTATTATATCTAAATTGTTAAACTTCAAGCTAAAATGATGGCATTATGTAATCTGAAATGCAGAAATTTAGATAAAAGTGCTGGAATGCCAGATAAAATGGGAAATTTAAGATAAAAGTGCGGGATGCCAGATAAAATGTGAAAAAAAGGTAAAGGTGCTTGAATTCCAGATGAAATGTGAAAAATAAGATAAAAGTGCTGGAATGCCAGATAGAATGTAAAATTTTAGGTAAAAGTGCTGGAATGCCAGATAGAATGTGAAAAATAAGATAAAAGTGCTGGAATGCCAGATAAAATCTAAAAATTAAGGTTAAGATACTAGAATGCCATAGGAAATGTGGGACAAAATTGCTGTTATGCATCCAAAATATCATCTGTATAAATTCAAGCACATTTTAGGCAGTAAATGAATATGTTGTCTGTGGAATCAAGAACATACACTAGCAAAGACTAGTGCACACTCCATTCAGTATCATGAAGTGACTCTGAATTTGAGCAATAAAGGCAAATTTCTTTATTTTGTACAATTGTTTGACTTTTTCTCCTATGCTTCAGGTAGTCGATTACATGGTGTCTTAAGTGTGGTTGAGCATTTATTACATTTTTGTATAAGGTTTGATAACAAATTAAAATATTACTTTGCCATTATCTTTAACCAATTTTACATGTACTAGTAGCACTGAGTGAGTTAATTGTACAGGTATATTGTTAGCAAGATTTACTTGTGGATATTTAAAATATAAGATTGTTTGTCATTTCAGGCCGGGGTCACTGATGGTAACCTTTGATATTGATACAGATGGTCAACAGACAGAAGAAGAGGTTATTCAGCTATTGAAAGACATGTTAAATAGTGGCAGCTTTAGTGGATACAGAACCAGTCCTGATGGCTTTGAATTCCGTAGAATAAGAGGTAACCAGTCTGTAGCAGAAGTAGATCAAAACGATATGTGTTTGCCCTTGATAATGTCAAAACTGCTTTTCTTGATGAATTCATATTGGAAAAAGTCAAAACTGTAATTGTCCTTGAAAAAGCTAAAATTGTGCTGACAGGGGTACCTGTTAATTTATAGACACTTGTAGTTTATGTAGGTAGCCACCACTTTTTAGCTCACCTGTCACAAAGTGACAGGGTGAGCTTTTGTGATCGCATTTCGTCCGGCGTCCGTCCGGCGTCCTTCCGTCGTCCGTCCGTCGTCCGTCCGTCGTCCGTCCGTAAACTTTTACTTTAAATGACATCTCCTCATAAACCACCAAGCCAATTTCATCCAAACTTCACAGGAATGTTCCTTTGGTGGTCACCTTTGAAAATTGTTCAAAGAATTTAATTCCATGCAGAACTCTGGTTGCCATGGCAACAGAAAGAAAAAACTTTAAATATCTTCTTTTAAAAAACCATAAGAGCTAGAGCTTAGATATTTGGCATGAAACATCTTCTAGTGAGTGTCTACCAAGTTTATTCAAATAAAAGCCCTGGGGTCAAAATTGGCCCCGCCCCAGGGGGTCATTGATTTTCCCTATATGCATATAGTAAAAACTTAAAAAATTTCTTTTAAAGAACTCAAAGAGCTATGGCTAAGATATTGAGCATCAAACATGTTCTAATAGGTGTCTACCAAGTTTATTCAAATAAAAGCCCTTGGGTCAAAATTGGCCCCGCCCCAGGGGGTCATTGATTTTCCCTATATGCGTATATTAAAAACTTAAAAAATCTTCTTTTAAAGAACCAAAAGAGTTAGAGCTAAGATATTTAGCATTAAACATGTTCTAATAAGTGTCTACCAAGTTTAATCAAATAAAAGCCCTAGGCTCAAAATTGGCCCCGCCCCGGGGGGTCATTGATTTTCCCAATATGCATATAGTAAAAACTTAAAAAATCTTCTTTTAAAGAACTCAAAGAGCTATGGCTAAGATATTGAGCATGAAACATGTTCTAATAGGTGTCTACCAAGTTTGTTCAAATAAAAGCCCTTGGGTCAAAATTGGCCCCGCCCCAGGGGGTCATTGATTTTCCCTATATGCATATATTAAAAACTTAAAAAATGTTCTTTTAAAGAACCAAAAGAGTTAGAGCTAAGATATTTAGCATGAAACATGTTCTAATAAGTGTCTACCAAGTTTGTTCAAATAAAAGCCCTGGGCTCAAAATTGGCCCCGCCCCGGGGGGTCATTGATTTTCCTTATATGTGTATAGCAAAAACTTAAAAAATCTTCTTTGAAAAAACCCAAATAGCTAGAGTTAAGATATTAAGCATGAAACATCTTTTAGTGAGTGTCTACAAAGTTTGTTCAAATAAAAGACCTGGGGTGAAAATTGACCCCGCCCCGGGGGTCATTGATTTTTTTTATATGTGTATAGTAAAAACTTAAAATCTTCTTTGAAAAAACCCAAATAGCTAGAGTTTAGATATTGAGCATGAAACATCTTCTAGTAAGTGTCTACAAAGTTTGTTCAAATAAAAGCCCTGGGGTCAAAACTGGCCCGGCCCCATTTTGTTTTTAACTATATGTGCAAAGTAAAAACTTAAAAAAGATCTTCTTTTAAAAAGCCCAATGAGCTAGAGCTTAGATGTTTAGCATGAAACATGTTCTTATGGGTGTCTACCAAGTTTGTGCAAATAAAAGCCCTTGGGTTAAATTGGCCCTGCAATGTTGAGGGTGGGGGTTTGGGGGGCCTATATACAGGTGAGCGACCTCAGGGCCATTATGGCCCTCTTGTTTTGCATCGTAAGGGCAGCATATTAAAATCGCATCTTCGCTTTGTCTTTGTGTCCCCATTTAGGCAACATTTGTGTTTGGACTGTAACTTTGTCATACACTGAAGAATTTTAAAATAACTTGGCTTAAATGTCAAGCACATCAAGATGAATTGTGTGGTGTCTGGACTCTATGTCCGAGTACCTCAAAGGTCAAGGTCACACAATTTGAATGTTCACATTTTCACAATTAGAGTTAAAAGGTACACACATTTGTGTCTGACCTTTTAACTTTGTCATGTGTTTGAAGGATCTTTAAATAATTTTGCATAAATGTCTACCACATCCTGGTCCCATGTTTTGAACTCTAATTTCGAAGTATAAATGTCTACCACCTTAAAACAACATGTCACATTCAACATGTCACATTATATCCAGGAACAGTCATTAATAAGACTGTAATTATCTGTTTCAGATACAACCACGTGTTCACCAAGAGTTGGACCAGTTCCGAGAAAACTCCCAACACCATTCCCGGACAGCTATGCTTACTTGATGATAAACAATGCTTTCCCTTGTAACGGTTATATAACAGCATGGAATTTCCAACGAGAATTTCCCGGTGAAACAGTGTTTATTGGTGTATTTAGACAATCATCCTCAACAGACTTCAGTCTTATCGAGGCTACAGAAATTCCACGCTTGACAAAAGACAGATTTGAGCTGGCAAAACCGATACTTGTTAAAAAAGGCGATTTCATCGGAATTTTCAACCGTGAAGGCGACAGGGGAGGCAACTTGGCATTCACCACAGAAGCAGGGCCAGGTGTAACGGACTTTGAACTTTATCAAGGTTATCGGCTTAAAATGTACGCCAAAGATATCATGACAGGAGCTCCATTCAAGATTGCTGACTTTGAAAATACTGAAACAAAAGTTTTATTTGCTGTGCAGGCTGACATGTCCTACCTCAATGTGCCTGGTAAGATAAACAAGCAAACTTTATACTTAGACACTCTTTCTATCTCTATTGCTAGGGACTTTGGATTCTTTCATGTGAGGAAGCAATCGAGCTGGCTTTATAGAATGTTAGCAGTTCTACTTCAGTGACAGCCTCTGACTGAACATTGCACAGAGGGGCACCTGATGTTTTCATCTACTAGTAAAGCTGGAAAATTGCCATTTAACTTACAGTCTTGATGCAACTTAAATTAAAAAGAAATGCTAACTTTAATTTCGGTTTTCAAATGAAATAATGAAAAATTATCAATTGAATGAATTAAGTAATTTGATGTTATGTGTTTGAAACAGTTGGTATAATGGATTTTGGTCTAAGATCTTTGATAGGAAAAGCAAAAAAGACAGCACATAATTCGGCAGTGATGTCACTGATGTGTCATAATAGCATGTCTGGTTTGATTTGATTATGTATTTTTTCATAGCAAAATCTTAAAAATATAAAAATTTATTGCACAAGCTGTAAAAAGCAGAAGGTAAAATGATAAGTTAAATTTAACTGACTTGCATTTGCTGCAAGTGAAATAGTTTTTCTATACTCACCGTGAAATTTTGATGAGTTTTGAAATTAAAACATCACGGCCTTCTTGGTATTTGAGCCGTGACAAAACCAACATAATGGGTTTGCGACCAGCATGGATCCAGACCAGTCTGCGCATCTGCGCAGTCTGATCAGGATCCATACTGTTCACTATAAGTTTCTCTACTTGTTCTATGGTCTGTAAGTGAACAGCATGGATCCTGATCAGACTGCGTGTCTGCGCAGTCTGATCAGGATCCATGCTGGTCATGTTGGTTTTGTCGTGACGCGGCTCACTTGTTGTTTTTTTCAGTGGTAACAGATGCTCCACCGAGGGCATGTGGTGATGATGAATGGACGTGTAACAATGGTGAATGTATAGCCCTATCTTACTATTGCGATCAACAAACAGATTGCTACGATGGTTCTGATGAGGAAAATTGCCGTAAGTTGAGGAAAAACCCTTATCCTTCAGTACTAAAAGCGTTGTCATTAGGCATCAGCTGCAGGCTAAAATTGCCATCTCAAAAGCAATTTGGACCGCCTCAAAATTTGTGTGATAAAACCAAAAATAACCTTTCTCAAGATAAATTTTATTGACAACCCTGACATCATGGATTCAAAATGAAATTAAAGGGTCTCCACTGCCTAAAAACATAACGTTAATATTTTTCTTACATAAATGAACTGGGGCGCTTTAAACAGAAATATATGCAAAGATAGTTAAGAAATATACGTTATAGTAAATCGAAAATCGTAGTTTTATGCTTTTCTTAGTCTAATTTGAGTGAAAAGCGTTTAAACGCTTTACATTTTGGGTCATTCTTTTTACAATTTGAATAATTATTATGGAAAAACTAAGTACGCGAATGATCTGAAAGTTTGCATAAATATTTGTGGTCTACACCTACATCAAATGGTACATTTATCTGGAAAAATATATTTTCAGTCCCATCATGTCAAAAAACTTCAGTGGAGTCCCTTTAATGTTTTGGTATAACATCTGAAGTACATTTGTTGTACCTTAAAGGAACTCCACCGAGGTCCAAAGGCATAATAACATAAAATTTGAAAAAAATTCAAATATCAAGTAAAGCACTTGCAAAATGGGAAAGATTTGCAAACTATAACAAAGAAATTAACTCCTTATAATTTTTATACAAAATTGATTTATTTGTGTGATTCTTAGCCAGATTTGAGTTTTTATTTTTAGCTAACCTGTCACAAAGGTGAGTTTTTGTGATCGCTTTTTGTCCGCTAACCATCTGTCATCCGTCCTTAAACTTTTACTTTAAACGACATTTCCTCATAAACCACTGAGCAAATTTCATCCAAACTTCAGGAATGTTCCTTTGGTAGTCAACTTAAATAATTGTTCAAAGAATTTAATTCCATGCAGAACTCTGGTTGTCATGCCTACCGAAAGAAAAAACTTAAAAAATCTTGTTTTAAAAAACCGAAAGAGCTAGAGCTTAAATCTTTGGCATTAAACATCGTCTAGTCAGTGTCTACCAAGTTTGTTCAAATAAATGCCATGGGGTCAAAATAAGCCCCGCCCTGGAGGGTCCTTATTTGTATATAGTAAAAACCTAAAACGTCTTCTTTTAAAAAACCCAAATAGCTAGAGCTTAGATATTAATCATGAAACATTGTCTAGTCAGTGTCTACAGTTTGTTCAAATAAAAGCCCTGGGGTCAAAATTAGCCCTGCGCCAGGGGCTTATTGTTTTCCCTTTATGTATATAGTAAAAACTTCAAATGCCTTCTTTTAAAAAAACCCCAAAGAGCTAGAGTTTAGATACTAAGCATGAAATATCTTCTAGTGAGTGTCTACCAAGCTTGTTCAAATAAAAGCCCTGGGGTCAAAATTGGCCCTGTGCCAGGGGGTCATTGTTTTTCCCTTTATGTATATAGTAAAAACTTAAAAAGCCTTCTTTTGAAAAACCCAAAGAGCTAGAGCTAAGATATTTAGCATGAAACATCTTCTAATGGGTGTCTACCAAGTTTGTTCAGATAAGGGCCCTGGGTTAAAATTTGCCCCGCCCCGGGGATCATTGATTTTCCTTGTATGTGTATAATAAAAACTTAAAAAATCTTCTTTTAAAAACCCAAAGAGCTAGAGTTTAGATACTAAGCCTGAAATATCTTCTAGTGAAGTTTGTTCAAATAAAAGCCCTTGGGTAAAAATTTGCCCCACCCGGGGGCCCTATTTACATGTGAGTGATTTCAGGGCCATGATGGCCCTCTTTTTGGTTATTTTTCACAATAAAAATAATTATTCTGGAAAAACAGGCTGAGGGAATAAGCTGAAAAATTGCACATTAGTTATTGGTCCAGACCTACATCGAATGGTACACAAATCTGAGAAAAAATGTTTCCAGTCATGTCATGACAAAAAAACCTCAGTGGAGTCCCTTTAATAAGTATTCTTTATCACTGATATAAAAGTAACTTGTATCAATACTAGTAAGTCATATCTTATGTTGTTGACTTTATATCAATTTCTCTAAAGTAGCAGTGAATCTTGAAAAGATTTTATTTTTTTCCCATTATAATGAATATCTTGTACTTTTTGAAGGGGTAGGTGAAGGCTTTACAATTGACTAGTACATAAAACCATTAATAATATACAAATCATCACCTTAGTGCAATGACAGGGTAACTCCTTTTAGATTACTGCACTAAGGTGACGAAATAGGGTGAGTTATGATTTGAACAGTGAAGTTCTTATAATTGTGTTTTTACTTCTCAATGGTCACTTGTATTATAGGAAGTGGATTAAAAGAAACCGGTATACTTCTAGGTGCCTCAGGAGGTATTTCATCAATGATTAATTTGATTATTTATTTATATTGGGTTTTATTTTTATTGGTATAGATCTTAAGCTTGAATGGTTGCAATTGGCTATAAACTACATTTTATTCTTGCCTTTGCTTGTTTTATCTTGATGACTCGGGGAATTATTGCCTCTGCTTATAAACAGTTATTTCCTTTTTCTTTTAGATTTGTTACTATCATCATCATCATCATCATCATTATTGTCATTATCACCATCATCATCATTGTTATCATCATTGTTATCACCTTCATTGTCATTATTATCATCATTATCATCAGCATCATCATTATTATCACCGGCATCATCATCATCATTATTATCATCATCATCAACATCATTGTTATCATCACCACTATCATTGTCATTATTATCATCATCATCATCATTGTTATCACCAGCATCATCATTATCATCATCATCATTATTACCACCAACATCATCGTTATCATTATCATCATCATCATTGTTACCACCATCATCATCATCATGATCATCATCATTATCATCATTATTGTCATTTTCACCAGAATCATCATTATCATCATGTTATCATCATGATGTGTTAATGTTTTTACAAGCATCATCATCAGTAACAAGATTTAAGAATAAAGTATACAAGCAAGTTGGGCTAGTAACCAAAACAATCATCTCTGTAAATTGGCAATTTTTACTACCTCCAGAAAAATCTTTTTCTTTTCTTTTTCTTGCTGCTAATTTCCATCACTGTCCTCATCATATTATAGTTATTATTTTAGAATGGTTTTTATACTAGTGAGGATGAAATTTTGATATCCTGTAATGTAATTCCTTTAATTAATTTGTCACTTTTAAAAAGATATCTTAGCATCAGGGCAAGAAAAGTCACCTGACACAGATACCTTTTGTTTTTACTTTATATTTTTTTATGTCTAATGATTTGCTATTGGGGCATTTTCTTGCTTAATGCTTTTTAACCATTTTTGTTAAGACAAAATTTCTATTATTTTTATCATTCACTCTTGATATAAATTTTCAGTATGAATTCTTCAGCAGGGAAAAATAATTCTGCTTAAATCATTCACATATATTGCACTGGCTGTGGGGACAAAAAATACAAAAATTAATATTTATTTGCTATGATTTACAGTTTGAGGAATGTAAAAATCAATGCTTATTTTTTCCCAATTTTAATTTCTTTAGTTAAAGTTTTTGGATTATTCCTGATTTTAGGATTTTTAGACTCTATGTGAAACCTTTCTAGTCTTGTGATTTTTAACTTCTTTTTCATTTCCTTTCTTTGTGATAAGACTTTTTAGTTTTTTTTCTAATTTTTTATTTTTTTATTCTAATAATTAATATATGCAATGTATAAGGACAATAGTAATATCGTGGAAAAGCCATATTGTCTATCTTCCCATTACGGTGACTTGCTAACTGGAAAAAAAAAGAAAGAAAATTTTAAAAATGACTTCCACAGTATCTTATGGTAAATACTTAACAATTGTTGATCACTGAGAGAAATATAGAGAAATAAGAATTTATGCATAAAATCAAAAAGAGAATGAGAAACATTCACAAAAAAGATAAAAAAAAGAAACTTGGAAAAAAGGGGGGAAAAGACAAAGTAAAAGGGGAAAAAACACAAATAAAACACAAACATTTTAGATCAAAGTTAACAAAAAATTAAACAATTAGAATTTGATCGTCTGAACATTCTTTTCTTCTTGCACTAGTATCATGTATAGATATAAATACATGTAATTACTTTATTACTTCACATTTATGGTATTTTAATGCATTCATTATTCTGTCAGACATAAAGTGAAAAAGTGATGAAAAAATGTGTCAAATGTACATAATTTTGTAGTGGGTTTTGACCCAATTTATCAAATTGTCATTGCTTTTAAAGACATTATAAACCCCTACATGAATTTTTTTCTCAAACTGTTTCTGTCAAACTTGACAAATGGGATAATGTAGTGCAAAAAAAAATGACGGTGAAAATAATTTACTTGATATTTCATAAAGTATTCTAGACTGGACCATTTTTACAAGCGGTTGCAAAACTGCAGTATGTATCTGAGATAGTTGAAAGAGATAGGGCGTTAATTCATTTACCACCTCCAAGATTTCTCACTGTTATAATGATTTGAATATGCTAATTTAGGAATGTCTGCATCTCTTGCCGTTTATTATCATAAATTGCATGCTGGGTAAAATACTCGAATTAAATCTACAAGTGTGTATTTGACAATTTCTATTTTTTTTGAGAAAGCATAAATAACGAAATGTGTTGTTATGTTAAATTATATTGAATATGAATGTTAATGGAAAAAAATGTGTATTTATTTACAACATTACGCTGATGTTGCGTTAATTGAAAACAACAAAAACTTAAAATTCTAAAGTGCGTCCATAAAATTTTAATTTACAAAGTTTAATATAGAATTTACTTATGTAACAGCTTTCTAGACATTTGAAATGTTGAAACTTTTTGCTCATAAAATTAAAGTGGTATAAAATAGCAATCATTTTATCTGTTTTGAATTATCATGATGATAATTGAGCCGCGTTGTGACAAAACCAACTTAATGGGTTTGCTACCAGCATGGATCCAGACCAGTTGCGCATCCGCGCAGTCTGATCAGGATCCATGCTGTTTGCTATCAGTTTCTTTACTTGTTATAGGGTCTGTAAGCGAACAGCATGGATCCTGATCAGACTGCGCGGATGCACAGGCTGGTCTGGATCCATGCTGGTCACAAACCCATTATGTTGGTTTTGTCATGACGCGGCTCAAATGTAATTACTTGATTACTTCACAGTTTATGGTTTTTTAATGCATTCATTATATAGACTGTCAGACATAAAGTGAAAAAGTGATGAAAAAATGTGTCAAATGTACATAATTTTGTAGTGGGTTTTGACCCAATTTATCAAAATTGTCATTGCTTTTAAAGACATTATAAACCCCTACATGAATTTTTTTCTCAAACTGTTTCTGTCAAACTTGACAAATGGGATAATGTAGTGAAAAAAAAAAATGACGGTGAAAATAATTTACTTGATATTTCATAAAGTATTCTAGACTGGACCATTTTTTCAAGCGGATGCAAAACTGCAGTATGTATCTGAGATAGTTGAAAGAGATAGGGCGTTAATTCATTTTCCACCTCCAAGACTTCTCACTGTTATAATGATTTGAATATGCTAATTTAGGAATGTCTGCATCTCTTGCCGTTTATTATCATAAATTGCATGCTGGGTAAAATACTCGAATTAAATCTACAAGTGTGTATTTGACAATTTCTATTTTTTTTGAGAAAGCATAAATAACGAAATGTGTTGTTATGTTAAATTATATTGAATATGAATGTTAATGGAAAAAATGTGTATTTATTTACAACATTACGCTGATGTTGCGTTAATTGAAAACAACAAAAACTTAAAAATTCTAAAGTGCGTCCATAAAATTTTAATTTACAAAGTTTAATATAGAATTTACTTATGTAACAGCTTTTCTAGACATTTGAAATGTTGAAACTTTTTGCTCGTAAAATTAAAGTGGTATAAAATAGCAATCATTTTATCTGTTTTGAATTATCATGATGATAATATATAACATTAGGTTTTCATAGTTTATTTCACAACTTTACATAATAGAAAGAATTGCTTGAAAATTAAAATCGTGAGTGTACAATTATCATATATTGGTTACTGTTTGTTGCATTTAATAGGATATATACGGTGATTAATATGTTGGTAAAGGTTTATAAAACAAAAAGTGGTAATGAAAATCTGAAATAAAGGTGAAAAAAGTTTTGTATTAATATTGTAATAATTCCCAACATTTAGCATTCAATAAATATCTTAAAAATCTGTGTTATATGTTGAATAAGTTTCATACATTACTGGTTGGAGAGATAACTAAATCACTATTTTTTTGCAATAACTTTTTTATTTTTGTGTATATTTTAAATTTTTACCCATCCAAACCAAGTTCAATTCAAACATATATAAACATATGCAAATTTCTTTTATTGAAATGGAAACTGGTAGGTCCTCAATAAAGTATCCAAAACATGGTCTCTAAAATTAACCCTGGACAGTAGATAAAGTCGACACTTTAATTTTAAAGTAAATACTAGCTTGAAAATTAGAATAAATCAGTTATTTGTACATTTTATATGCTTTATCTAAGCCTAATTGATAGTTTAACAATTGTGAAAGAAATTTTCCCATGTCAGTAGCCTGTGTTCAAGGCAATTCTAACTACCTTCATGAAATTTAGAAAAAAGAACGTTTTGTTGCCTTTTTGTAACAAAAAATTGTGGTCAACAAAAATACATTTAAAGAATTACCAAATTTAAAAATCTCATCGCAGTCTGGCCTTCTCCTTTATTACTAGGTGACCATGTACTTGTATGTTGACAAAAAAGATAGATAAAAAACTTTAACCAAGTGTTGGGGTTATCTATGCGTCGGAGTTGTCTCTCAAACCAGTAGAGGTTACATGTTATGATATTGTTAATCTTTTATCTACAGCGGTTGCATCAGCATGTAAAGAAAATGAGTTCCGCTGTGCCAACAGTCAGCAATGTATCCCTCTCCAGTTTGTCTGTAACTATGTCGACGATTGTGGTGACAACTCGGACGAGCGCAGCTGTGGACCAGGACCAGTTAGAATAGTATCATATCGTGACAGTGGGGAGTCGGACCAGTACACTATTTCATGGGTTCGACCACAAGCTGGAGGTGGTGACATTGTCTCCTACACAATCAAATATAGACTGGTAAATTTACATTCTTTGTAACATTTTAGTTTTGTTTGCTTCCTTGTTTTAGAAGTAGGCTCTTATTTGTAATTTTCTTTCTAATCAGCTGAATCAGAAAGTGTAAAACAATAGTCATTCTTCGGACAACAGAATATATATATAAAAGGGGGAATACTCTGTTTTGACTGGAGGAGATTACCAGTTGAGTATTTTGTTGTAATAGATTGACCGATTTTCACGTAAGAGCACTGGTTCAAACCTCAGAGAGGCAGAAGCTTTTTCCACAATTCAGTATGCTTTACCAACTCAAATACATGTAAAATACATGTCAAATAGAAGCTATAAAGAAAAGAAGGTTGAGCTATTAAGATTGCTGCAGCATGGTTATCCTTATTGCTGTCCAATTATAGTCCATATTTCAAACCTTTTTAAAGTTATCAACATGAAACTTAGGATTCCTGCTTATTATGACAAGGTGAAGTTGTTAGACAAGGAACATAATTCTGAAATCAATATTTTTGGAGTTATGCCCCTTATTAACGTAGAATTTTTAGCTCGACTATTCGATAAGAATAAGTAGAGCTATTGTAGTCACCCGAGCGTCGGCGTCTGCGTTGGCGTTGGCGTAACCACTTATGTTAAAGTTTTTGTAATAGTTCAAATATTTTCAAAGTCCATTGACATAGGGCTTTGAAACTTTGCATACTTGTTCACCATCATAGCCCCAACCTCTAAACAGGAGGAGGTAACTGTATCAAGCATTTTCTTTTACTATCAAGCACTAAGAATAGTCGAGCGTTGCTGTCCTACCAACAGCTCTTGTTTAACATACAAGCGTTAACACAGCATAAGTATGTAACTTTAATTTAGTATTGTCCTATTGCATTAGGAATTGATATGAATGATAATAAAGCATGTTTGAATAGTTTAAGCAAGAATTAAGATTAAACGTCAGCAAAAATGGACAGGAAAAATGTGGGAAAAGAAATAATTTTCTTATCATTCCAGGAATGCTGCAGAATATTCCTAATTATTTTTATCCAAAAAACTCCCGCAAACCATTGTTATATAATTATCTTTTTTTAAACAGGTCACTGTAAGAAGTGGTGAATTAACATCAGAAGGTGCTTATATAATGGAGCGTTCCCTCGGAGACGTAACACAGGTTCAAGTACAATCAACCTTTGACAACTACATATTGCGTAACCTTCAGCCTGCCAGCTATTATCAGGTAGAGATAAGTGCAAACAACCAGATTGGGGCGTCGGAACCTAGGGCGTTTATTTTCAGAACAGCCAATGGTAAGATTGTTTCGTACATCCTGTGAAATACACATGCACTTTCTTCTGAAAAAACTGGAAAGTCACCATATGTCCTATACTGTACGACAAAACCCAACCCAAAAAAAAAGGATGTTTTTTCTATGAAGCTCTACCAAAGTTGGTTCTAGGGTCACAAAAGTAAAAATAGATTTTAAAGTTTACTCTTTGAATTTTATCTTCTCCTTAAGCGTAAGGCCTAGAGCTTATATATTTTGTGTGTAGTATCTTCTGATGAGATTACAATTTGGGTCATAATAGATAATTAGTGTCCAGCAGGGTATAGTAGCCCTCTATCAAGTTTTTTCTTCAAATCATGACAGTTGGGTAATTTGATTTTACATAGATTAATGCAGGGAAAACATAAGCAAAAAGCTTAATTTCTTTAAGCACAAGGGGATTATAAGGGCTAAAACATTTGGTTTATGGCATCTAATTAACCTTAACTAAGTTTGCTCAATGTGATAGATATTAGTTGAGCAATCTTGGGCCATGTATTGTTTAAAAGAGATAAGGGTCCATCTTAACCCATCTACTTATCATTAATTAAAGTTTCCATGGGCACAGAGTAACCATTCTTTTACACCTGGAATTTAAATAATTCATAAAATAGAATGATGATTTGTTGTTGGGTTATTTTAGCTGGTTGCAGGCCGGGTGAGTTCCAGTGTACTGATGGAGGCTGTGTGGATATCAGTCAGCGATGTGATAATATTCCCGATTGTGCAGATGGCTCTGATGAGGGGCGATTCTGTGGCAAGTTTTGTTTTTGTTTTGTGATTTTTTTTATTTACAAATCTTTTGTGACAAAATTGTCTTTATTCCACACAAATTTTATGTTTATAATTCAACATGATTGGTACAAGTATTGAAACAACAGGTTACCAGTAAGCATTATTCTTCAAGTTTCTATTCCGGATATTTATTTTAGGGGCGAGACTAAAACAAAATATTGGAGCACCACACTTAATACCGTATTCTGGTATATATCACATAAGACGCTTGATTGATTAAATGTTAAAATCTGGCATTTTCACCCTACCGAATGAACTTTAAAACATCTTTTACATCTCTTCACACAGATTTATATATACGATAATGATGAATAAAAATGTAAGAACTGCCAAAAAGCATGTTGTTTTTTTAAAAACTTTATGACCATGACTTCTGCAAGCATCTATAGGTACTGCTCCAACACTGTAGTGAGTTAAATCCTTATTTTAGCAATGCCATCTCAATAGTTATTCTTTCTACATTTTGTATATCCTAAATTTTTATTACAGGAACAACATGTCCAGAAGGACTCGAGGCTTGCCCTCAACCTGATGGGACCGTCGCCTGTGTTGAAAAAGCTATCGGATGTGGTAAGATACTTCTATCCTCCTAATATTTGGCACCCCCATCATCCCCCCGCCCTACTCATGAATTGTCACGCACCAACTTGATTTCATATCAATATCTGTCTAGAATTGATAAGCCCACTTTTTTTTTGTCAACCACTGAAATGCATTGATACAAATAACTATTAATAAGTTAAAGTCAGAAATCCAAGACCTTTTGAGAATGCAGCGTTTTCATTGGTTGTTTATAAATATTTTCCAATAAATAACCAATCAGATGCTGAAGAATTTTTAACTTGAGAAAACAGTTTCACATGTACGAACATGACTATTATGTGCTTAATGGATAATTTTCTTTTTAGGGCATGCAAAATTCTCTTTATTTGTTTCTTTTAAGGCTGTGATTTTAATTTTTGTGCATGAGGCAAAGTAAATGATGAATGTTTTTTCAAAGTCTTGAAAATTAAAAACCAATGCCTAAATGTAAAATTGAAATTTGACCCATTTTCCAAGTTTTTGTTTATTTACATATTAACACTGAGACCTATTTGTTTGTAGTTTAAACCATTAAGTAAAAAAAAAAACTTTATGCTTTTGTGGAAATATGATTCTTAATGTTTAATATAGAGTATATATAGTTTATAGAAGAGCACTATTACGGCAGAATTCTTTCTGAAATATCTGTTCTTAGTACACATTTTACTTATAAATTATTATAATTTCATAAATAACATTTCAATATAGGAAAGGAGCTCATGCATGGCTTTATGTTGGACTTTTACTGTAAAAATTTCCATGATTCGGCCTAAATTTTTGACCTGTTTGAACCAAAAGTAATTTGCCTTTGCCACTTGTATAAAGCTCCTGTTTGAACCAAAAGTGATGAGCCTTTGCCATTTGTATAAAGCTCCTGTTTGAACCAAAAGTGATGCGCCTTTGCCATTTGTATAAAGCTCCTGTTTGAACCAAAAGTGATGAGCCTTTGCCATTTGTATAAAGCTCCAGTGAAGTGCCTTTGCCACTTGTATAAAGCTCCTGTTTGAACCAAAAGTGATGAGCCTTTGCAATTTGTATAAAGCTCCTGTTTGAACCAAAAGTGATGAGCCTTTGCCATTTGTATAAAGCTCCTGTTTGAACCAAAAGTGATGAGCCTTTACCATTTGTATAAAGCTATGCAAGCCTGCATGTTCTTGCAGTCTGATCTGGCTTTACTGTTAGTTACTCAACTTGAAATACATTAAATTTTGAATGGACTGTTCCAAATTCAAAGCTGGGAGAATTCATTACACAAATTCAGGAGATTAAAATAGTAAACATTGTATTAAATATGACATCTTGAACTATAAGGGCAAGAATGTACTTGGCCAAAATGGCATGAAGGGAAAGAATGTACTTGGCCAAAATGTCATGAAGGGAAAGATTGTACTTGGCCAAAATGCCATGCATGAGTTTTACTTATTTAACCATTTCAATATTTGCTTCCATTATCAAACATAGCATATCACAGTGACATCATTACTGTAAAATCTGACATCATTACTGTAAAATCTGACATCATTACTGTAAAATCTGACATCATTACTGTAAAATCATGTCCTTTCTTAAAGCAGACTCTTTGAAATATTTCATTTAAAGTTGTTACCTTTTTTTGGTTAGGAATTTAGCATGAGTAATTCTTTACTGAAATAGAAGTGCTACAAAATAGAAGTGCTACAAAATAGAAGTGCCAAACTGATATAATAGAAATGATGTACCGAAATGGAATGGCAATACTGCAATAGAACAATTCACATATTGAAAAAAGAAACAAATTAGTTGACAAGTTCACTGTGATATGTTAATGCTTTTATTATTTTGCATCAGATATGCTTGATTTATTTATTTTCTGGGTGTATTCCATATAAAAGGCATGCTTGTTTATTTGTTTGCCATGTACAGTTGAAGTGTGTAGAGAGAATGAGTTCCAGTGTTTAGACGGTCGTGGATGTATCAGCTTTTCGTCATTTTGTGATGGAAGAATTGATTGTTCAGATCTTTCTGATGAAGCAAACTGTGGTATGCTTTTGTATTAACTTGAGTTTTGGGTTTAGAATGTTTTGGTATTTTTCTGTGCTTTCTTTATGCTTTTGTTTAAAACATATTACATTATGTACATTCTAATCTTATCATTTATGCTTGAAACTTTGTAATAAAATGAAATACTTGAAATATTAGTAAATCCAAAATGATAAAGTTGGCAGTACTTGATGTAACCTTGGCAGCTTAATGAGAAAAATAGGTTCAAGTTATGAAGTTGACAAGAATTCATTACAAAATTGGCAATCAATTAACATATATTACTTGAGAACATAAAAATTGTTATAAAATGGCACTTGGACTGTAATAACTCTTGAAATTTAAATCACATTTCTCTTTCATATTTCTCATTGTTTGCATTTACTTAATTAAGGAATGTCCACATATGATCAGTCATCATGCATGTTCCTACACTTGTTAGTTTTCGGTGATTTGTGTGATATCTTTTTTCATGCTTAATCTCTTATGAGGATCATTTAGCTAAATTAGCCTGTACAAAGGAGAAGCACAATGTCCAAGATAAAGTGTACATGCACAAAAGTCCTAATGTGGCGGTTCAATTGTTTCAGGGTCATATTTAGTGCTAGCGGTTGAAGAAATTTACATAATTTAAGGGCTCTTTGTCTTGGTCTGAAAAAAAGATGTTTATTACTGATCTAATGTGTTAATATCCCCCACCGATGTAATCGGGAGGGGGATATAGTTTTGCCGTTGTCAGTCCGTCCTTCCGCACTACCGAATAGCCATCTAACTGTAAACAGAACAAAAGAGAACAATAGAGTTCATTCCGTAACAGTAGAATAAGGGGCCATTGGCCCTCTATTAAACAATAGAAAATAACAAAAGAAATGGCCCTTTATTCCATTTAGGCCGTCCGTCCGTCCATCCGTCCGTCCGTCCGAATTTCGTTTCCGGAGTAGTTCTCTGCAACTACTGGCTGGAATTCAACGAAACTTTATGGGAATCATCAATATCAAGAGGAGATGCGCATATCGTCGGCTTGTTCCGGTCTGACCCTTTAACTCAGAGTTATGGCCCTTGATTAGTTATTTAGTATGCATATAGAGTAAAAATCGTTTACGGAGTAGTTCTCTGCAACTACTGGCTGGAATTCAACGAAACTATTGGAATCATCAATATCAAGAGGAGATGCGCATATCGACGGCTTGTTCCGGTCAGACACTTTAACTCAGAGTTATGGCCCTTGATTAGTTATGTAGTATGCATATAGAGTAAAAATCGTTTCCGCACTACTTCTCTGCAACTACTGGCTGGAATTCAATGAAACTTTATGGGAACCTTCAATACCAAGAGGAGATGCGCATATCATCGGCTTGTTCCGGTCAGACACTTTAACTCAGAGTTATGGCCCTTGATTAGTTATGCAGTATGCATATGGAGTAAAAATCGTTTCCGCGCTACTTCTTAGCAACTACTGGCTGGAATTCAACGAAACTTTATGGGAACCATCAATACCAAAAGGAGATGCGCATATCGTCGGCTTGTTCCGGTCAGACACTTTAACTCAGAGTTATGGCCCTTGATTAGTTATGCAGTATGCATATGGAGTAAAAATCGTTTCCGCGCTACTTCTTAGCAACTACTGGCTGGAATTCAACGAAACTTGATGGGAACCATCAATACCAAAAGGAGATGCGCATGTCTTCGGCTTGATCCGGTCAGACACTTTAACTCAGAGTTATGGCCCTTGATTAGTTATGCAATATGCATATGGAGTAAAAATCGTTTCCGGAGTAGTTCTCTGCAACTACTGGCTGGAATTCAACGAAACTTTATGGGAATCATCAATATCAAGAGGAGATGTGCATATCGTTGGCTTGTTGCGGTCAGACCCTTTAACTCAGAGTTATGGCCCTTGATTAGTTATGTAGTATTAATATAGAGTAAAAATCGTTTCCGCACTACTTCTCTGCAACTACTTGCTGGAATTTTATGAAACTTTATGGGAACCTTCAATACCAAGAGGAGATGCGCATATTGTCCGCTTGTTCCGGTCAGACTCTTTAACTCAGAGTTATGGCCCTTGTTTAGTTATGCAGTATCCATATAGAAAATTTTTTGTTTCCTCGCTACTTCTCTGCTACTACTGGCTGGAATTCAATGAAACTTTATGGTATACTAAGAGGAGATGTGCATATAGTCGCCTTGTTTCGGTCAGATACTTATAACTCAGATTTGTGGCCCTTGATTAGTTATGTAGTATGCATACATCTCATTGGCGTTTCCAGATTTTACTATTTAACACAAAGTTATGGCTCTGTTATTGCCCTGAATATTTATCAAGTTCAAAGAATATTACTGTTTATGCCATGATTAATATATAAATAAAGCCTTATGTCTTCAGTTGTTGTGTTAATAATAACCAGTACTCGGCGGGGGATATAAATTCAACAAATTTGCTTGTTGATTTATGACTATAAAGTGTGTTTAGGAATCATTAAATAGTCTAAAATAATTATAGTCATAATCTTATAAAGTAAGGCAAACAATAAGGAAGGAATCAGGATGCATCTTATTACAGTCTCGGCATTTGTTATTTCACAATTTACATTAAGATAGTTGAATTGAGTAACATATATTTTATTTAAATTATGAGTATTGTTTGATGATAATATTGGCCAATGTTAAATGTAGGGTCAAATTATCACTGTTCAAGGAGCACCACTGAGGTCAAAAAGCTGGAAAACAAAATCTTGAAATTTTTACATAGATCAAGGGAAAAATATGCGAAGGATTATAAAGAAATATACTCAGAATGATTCTGAGCCTGATTCAAGTGAAAGGCATCAGTTGCAACACTTGATATTGTTTTCAAATTTGCACACAGGTCTAGACCTACATCAACTGGTACACAAATGTCAGAAAAATATATCCCGTCATGTCAATAAATCTCAGTGCAGTCCCTTAAATCATTTTAATCATAGAGACAGAAAATGGGTGATAATGTGCGCTTGATTACTATAAGTAATGCTTATTTTTATGAGTTTTTTTTTTCATGCATATTATGCTTAACATTATCACAGAGCATTTCTGTAGATGCTAATTTTATAGACTGCAGCTTTTCACTTTGCCCATCATTGATCAAGTTGTATTCTCTTCAAAGTAAATACATGTACAATGTAAAACTTTAACTAAATTTGTTAAAATGACAGAAGTTTTGAGTTTTTGGATGACAAGACTTATATTTATGTACAACTGCTTTTGTTGTCAAGTAGTTGAAATTTCCTTTAATGAAGCTTGGGCGGGAAGCAAGATGTTGAGTTATCATGTTATTATATGACACAAGTGGTAATGTATCAACTGGCATTATTTGGCCATATTAAATAAAAAAGGAAACCATGTTACAGATTGGCCAAATTTGACTAAATCTGACTAAAACATGTTGATGGCTAGCTGGTGTAAGCATTTTGAATATTGAAATCAGTGTAATTCACACCACTGACTAAACAATCAAAGGTGTTTCTATCGTTATCTCAGTCAAAGTCTCACTTCTGTATTAAAAGATTGATCTTACAAACGGGTTTTACTATATTTATAAAAGCTTTGTATTTAGATTATATCATTAACACAGGTTACACTGTATTCATAGAAGCTTAGCACCCAATCATTCTATGTCCTTTTGACATTTTGTTATGGATAGTCTCAGAAATCAGCAAATAAATCTGGTAAAAATGCATTGTACATTTAGTAAAGTTTGATGACAATTTATTACAGAGTGTTTGGAGGGAGAGTTCCAGTGTGTAGAAGGACGTAACTGTATCTCGGGGACAAGTAGATGTGACAGCCGTAATGATTGCGCCGATGGTTCTGATGAGGCCAATTGTCGTAAGTTTTAATTCTTTACCCTGCTGGAGCCCCAAATATTTATCCAGAACCTGGCCAGCTTGCTCTTTCATGCAGTCTGACCAGGTTCTATACAGTTTGCTGATCAACTTGAAATTTTTATCTTTTAGTGTTCAAATTAAACTCAACTATTCAAAGGGAAAGCTTTTGTACATATCCGTGGTTTGGTGTTGGTGGCGTCACCTTCCACACTTTGGTTAATTTCTTGCTTGTAAGTTTGTATTTCCAAAACTACTGAAGGAAGTGAGTTGAAAATTCATATACTTATTTGTGTGCATAATAGTAGGTCAATAACTCTTAACATGGATTTAAACAGAATTCGATCCCCGGGAGATCCTTTGGTAGTTAAGCACGAAAGGTAGTCTAGTACTGGTGTAACTCTCCAGGAACGATGGTTCGGAAACTACCCTCCTATATGACTGAAATACTGTTGGGAAAAGGCGTAAAATGAAACAAACAAACAGAATTATGGCAATTTTTGAACTTTTTACATTATCCAGACTCTTGATTTACTATCAAGCACTGATAGTAGTCAAGCACTCCTTTATTTTGTCAGCTCTTGTTTATTAGATAAATGACATGGAAAAGTTGATGATGGAAATTTGTGTGGTTTATGTTACAGAAAGTATACTTGGTTTATGTAACAGAAAGTATACATGATTTATGTTACAGAAATTATACTTGGTTTATGTAGCAAAAAATATACATAATTTATGTTACAGAAAGTATAGGTTTATGTAACAGAAAATATACATGATTAATTTATAAGACAGTATACTTGATTTATGCTACAGAAAGTATACTTGATTTTTGCTACAGAACTTATACTTGGTTTCTGTTACGGAAAGTATGCTTGGTTTATGTTACAGAAAGTAAACTTGAGTTATGTTACAGAAATTATACTTGGTTTATGTTACAGAAAGTATTCTTGGTTTCTGTTACGGAAAGTATACTTGGTTTCTGTTACAGAAGTATTCTTGATTTATGTTACACAAATTATACTTGGTTTATGTTACAGAAAGTAAACTTGAATTATGTTACAGAAAGTATACTTTGTTATGTTAAAGAAAGTATATTTGGTTTCTATTATGGAAAGTATACTTGATTTCTGTTACAGAAAGTATACATGGTTTATGGTACAGAAAATATACATGGTTTATACTACAGAAAGTATACTTGATTTGTGTTACAGAAATTATACTTGGCTTATGGTAAAGAAAGTTTATTTAGCTATGTTACAGAAAGTATGCTTGATTTATGCTACAGAAATTTTACATGATTTATGTTACAGCATGCCCTTCTGGGTTCTTCCAGTGTTTGAACACACCGTCACAAGAATGTATCAGTACAGGATTACTGTGTGATAAGGTAGCCGATTGCTCTGATGGTTCGGATGAACTTAATTGTGGTAAGTTTTATTTATTCACAACTCTTACATAATTCACACTCTTTCTTTATTAGACAGATAAGGAAGTCAGGTGCATTTCTATAGGATAATGCACAGAATTAAAGAAGAATTTTTGCACATGCATTTTATCTCTGATGTGGCGTTAATTAACTAAATGAAGCCATGAAAGCTACTTCTCTTCTCAATGTATTTCAAAATACTTCTTAATCTATCAATGAGGCTTACTGGCCTTTCATGATAATACTAAAATGTAATTCTGAACTTGAACCATACATGTTCTAAAACAACAAACTATAAATTGATATTCCCTATACTATTAGGAGGCCCTCAGCGTTGTGTATTGTTCTGTAATTGTTTGAGGGTTGAGTGATTTTTACCTTCTATGTAAATGCTGTATCTTTAATCTATTTATGAAAACAATAATGTTTATGTATACAGGTTGTGAAGTCGGCCAGTGGCAATGTGCGGACAAGACGTGTATTCCTGCTAACATGAGATGTGACGGTCCAGCACAGTGTGAAGATGGTTCAGATGAAGTTGGCTGTAGAGGTAATGCACCAGTTTAAGTAAATCATTCTCCAACTGCCCCACCCACCCCAAAGCCTCAAAGGCGAATAATAGTGTCTTTGACTTCAGATTTTCTTGTTAAGGCCCTGTCCTGTAGAGACAGTGAAAAAAGATTTTCAGTTAACTAGTGCATGATAAATGTATTGTTTGAATACTTTGTGCATGTAATATCTTTATCATTGTTTCAACCCTTTTTAGTTATAATAGCTAGCATAGAAAAGGTTGTTATAAGTGACCATACAATTCGTTTCATGCCAATGCTGAAAAATGTGGAGAAAAAAAAAAAATAGTTGCTGCTAGTGGAAAGGATCTGATATTTCATAGATGAATTATACGGTTGACTGTTGTATTACTTGTTCTTATCAACAGCTGAACATGTGATGTAAATCTTGTTATTATAGCTACATGTAGTTCAGACCAGTATACATGTTCTGACGGGAATTGTGTCGAAGGGCGGATGAGATGTGATGGTGTCGCGCAGTGCGAGGATCGGTCAGATGAGGAAAATTGCCGTGAGTTAGCTTTCAATAATTTCTCGTTCTCAATTCTTTAAATAAAAAGTAAAGCATATTTTAGTTTCATTTAAATACTGGTATGATAAATTTCCCCAACTGCCCCACCCACCCCACAGCCTCAAAGGCGAATAATAGCGTTTTTGACTTCAGATTTTCTTGTTAAGGCCCTGTCCTGTAGAGACAGTAAAAAGATTTTCAGTTAACTAGTGCATGATAAATGTCTTGTTTGAATACTTTGTGCATGTTATATTTTTATCAATGTTTCAACCCTTTTTAGTTATAAAAGCTAGCATAGAAAAGGTTGTTATAAGTTACCATACAATTTGTTTCATGCCAATGCTGAAAAATGTAGAGAAAATTAAAAAATGGTTGCTGCTAGTGGAAAGGATCTGATATTTCATAGATGAATTATACTGTTGACTGTTGTATTACTTGTTCTTATCAACAGCTGAACATGTGATGTAATTATTGTAATTATAGCTACATGTAGGTCAGACCAGTATACATGTTCTGACGGAAATTGTGTCGAAGGGCGGATGAGATGTGATGGTGTCGCGCAGTGCGAGGATCGGTCGGATGAGGAAAATTGCCGTGAGTTAGCTTTCAATAATTTGTCGCTCTTAATTCTTTAAATATAAAGACAAGCATATTTTAGTTTAATTTAAATACTGGTATGATAAATTTCCCCAACTGCCCCACCCACCCCACAGCCTCAAAGGCGAATAATAGCGTTTTTGACTTCAGATTTTCTTGTTAAGGCCCTGTCCTGTAGAGACAGTAAAAAAAGATTTTCAGTTAACTAGTGCATGATAAATGTCTTGTTTGAATACTTTGTGCATGTTATATTTTTATCAATGTTTCAACCCTTTTTAGTTATAAAAGCTAGCATAGAAAAGGTTGTTATAAGTTACCATACAATTTGTTTCATGCCAATGCTGTTTTAAGTAAAAATATCATGTTTCTGATGTGTTTTAAGTAAAAATATCATGTTTCTGATGTGTTTTAAGTAAAGATATCATGTTTATTTTCAGCATGTCGTGAAGGAATGTTCCAGTGTAGAGATGGTAACTGTGTTGAGGGAAGAATGCGCTGTGATGGAGTACCACAATGTGAAGATTCATCAGATGAATTTGGTTGCCGTAAGTGATATTCTATTAACTTATAACCTATTTTATTTTAATACCATATAATTATATAAGATTTATGATAATTTAACTATTTTTGTGCATTTGTTTACATCTTGCCAAAACTTACGTATCTAGAAATTTACCTGGTTTGCAGAACTTTGTGTTAATTAGTATCTTTCATAGAAGCTACACATTTTAGTCAAGTAGTATTAGTCTAAAATTAACCTATATAAAGTATTAGTTCTGAAAGGAATGCAAAACTTCACTCTTCTAGACATTTTAATCTCCATGTGACGTTTATTTTGATATAACTTTCAAATTTTCTTACAGAAGCAGTTGTGCCATTAAGGTTGATGTCAATGATTTTTATTTTATAAATCTTTTTTTCGTAAAAATCCGATGTACTGGTATATTTTGTAGCATTAATATTAAATTTTGTTGTATTTTAGCTACTGAACCACCAAGTTGTCCAACTAGTGACTTCCAGTGTCAAACAGGCGGAATTTTGGAATGTATTGATCAAAGACTACGTTGTGATGGTTATGAAGATTGTTCAGACGGCTCGGATGAAAATGGCTGTCGTAAGTTATACAGGCTTTTTTACTATGAATGTGAACATGTTAAACTACGGCTTATAACAGACATTTTTGCAAAATTCTAAATGGGAATAAGATATTGATATTGGTAGTGATATATTTATAGAAAATAGAGATTATTTTTTTAAGGTTTTTTTAACTAAAAGATCATGGTACAATTGACGTAGATTGTGGAAATGTTGTTAAAACTGTTCACCTTCCAATGAGCAAAGAAAGTTTTCAAAAAGTCAAACTTTGAAAAAAACATTGGTAAAATTAAGCGATATTTAAACATTTACAATCAATTTTTTTTATCACCATATTTCTAACCCCTATTACTATGGGCATCTTATCAGATTTAATGTTATTTATGAGGAGCATAATATAAGTATATTCTTTTTGCTTTCTCGATTTACTGTGATTCTTGCTATGGAAATTTATACTACATTTTAATTTTATTATTTTACTCACATAAGACATTAATTTATAAGGGGACATGCTGTTTTAATCAATTTGAGTAAAATGAAGAAAAAAAACGTAACCAAAATTATAAAAAAATTATTATCCTTACAGCTGGTTGCAAACGTAATGAATTCACATGCCAAAGTGATGGCAGATGTCTTCCAATTGAATCAAGATGTAATTCTATCATAGAATGTGCAGATAGATCTGATGAACTTGGTTGTGGTAAGTTGAAATATACATGTATATAATTATTAACTGTCCCCTTTCATAGCTTTATATTATCTCCCTTTTTTATTGGTCTGTTTGAAGAATACAGAATGCTATAATTGTACTTGCCAAGGTGTCGGCATCACACTTTGGTTATGTGCAGTTGGTATCTACAAAACTACTGAAGGGAATGGGTTGAAACTTCACACACTTATTTGAGAGCATAAATGGCTTTCCAAGGCACATAACTCTAACATGGAATCGTAAAAGTATTATGACCCTTTTTGAACTTAAAAGTTCCACACTATACAGGCTCCTGTTTGTCTTTGTGTTACTTGTGTTGAAAGCATTGTAATGGTTTGCGTCATAAAATATCATTTGCATATTCATAAAAATGCAACATTTGAGATAATCTTTGGCGGGATTAGTCGTCAGTCACTTGCAGAGATATTGGTAATTATTGGTTATTTATCCAGGAAAGCCAGGAGGTGGACCGATCGCCAAGATATGACAAATAAATGTGTTAAAATTGGCATTAAAAAAACGGTCAACCAACAACTTTGTCAGTTTGTGTAACTTGTAACCAAAGTCAGTGATTCAAACCAGATGCTGGCTTGTGCATGTAGTAAAGCAAAATGTAGCATGGTTAACCTCCAGGAAAATCAACACAATTCTTATGTTCTTATGTTAACACAGGCTAAAATTCAGTTGTTTTTTTACTTAAGTAGTTTTGAAAAATGTTCTTTTATTTTGATAATCACATTACTATTTAATTAACTTTGTTTTCAGTGTATATTGAAAAAATTAATATTTACATGTATTTTTCAAATTGTTTGCTAAACCTCTGTATATGCTTAACTGCAGTTATCATTTAACGAAAAGTGATTAACCTTTGCCACCTGCTTATCCGTGCAGTCTGACCAGGCTCTATACTGTTATCTTACTTTAAATTCCCATCTTGTTATCCTCGAAAATGATAATAAACGGTCCCAAAGATGGAAAATGGAAAAATCTTTTAGAAAAAAAGCAGGATTTGGTTGCAGTGAAAGTTAAGTACAAAATAATAAAAAAAAGTTGTAAATTTTCAGTATGTACAGCTGAACAATTCAAGTGTGGCGATGGTATTTGTATAGATTTAAGCCGACGCTGTGACCGCAGGATGGACTGCGAGGATCGCTCAGATGAAATAGCTTGTCGTAAGTTTCTGCTTAAGTCATTTTGTCTTCAAAAACAGTTTCAAGTTCTCTGCATAGAAATGGAATCTCTGTATAATTTTACTTCAAGCCTTTGAAATTTAATGTGTATGGGTTATTGTGATTACAAGCACCTTTTACCTTCCATCACTGTATCATATATTGAGTTCTTATACAATACAGATTTTAAAGTGGCAGCTTTGCAGGGTTGTTAATGTATCGGACTAGGAATCTAAGGATTGCTTTCTGCATTGCTTCAAACCATGTCCGGAGTGAGCCGTTGTTTCCTTGAGCAAGAAACTAAACACTCATTGCTCAGTACTGCTTGGTATTGGTTGATTCCAGGAATGGATTTTTCGAATGCGTCTATAAGCTTCCTACACAATAGAACTAAAATAAATTCTGTATAAACCATATTAACTTGTGTATCATTTTTGCAATCACAGGAAAAAGGTGTATTCCTACACAGTGAAGTTACTGAGTTAGAAAAGCTTAATATACAAGAATGTACTGTAAATATTTTTTGACATTGGCAAGCTCTGCTAGATTCTAATTGTTAATATCATACCCTTTATGTCTATTATAGCATGTCGTTCAGGCGAATTCCAATGTGTGAATGGTGATTGTATTAATGAGGCTCGCAGGTGCGACGGAAGAGCTGACTGCCAAGATCGGTCTGACGAGGCCGGATGTCGTAAGTTTCTTATTTATATTTATTATTGCGATTATACTTCATGGTAATATCTGCCTTGAGTTAAGGTTATGATAGTAAAGTCAAACAGTTCATTGCCATGTAGTCAATTATGTACATATAAACTATGCATTTAATTGACACAGTAAGTAACGAGAATATGTAACCTTTAACCCTGATAATATTTATTTTCTTTACATTAAATGCATCTTAATCATTCCTAAAGCTTTTTGTGTCGCAATTTTAAGTTGTGTGTGGCTTTATTTTAATTTGCAAAATTCAAATACAGTTATATGTAATCTTCAATTATTGTCATTATAAGCTTGTATATGAAGTTTCTAGCCTGTGTGAGTCTAAGGGTTCAAGCTATATTGAAATAAGTTATTAAGAAAGCTTACAGCTTCTGTTTGTCTTGAATCTATTTTAAGGCAGGGTATGTCATCAATATTCCATTTTTTTTTCTTCTGAAAAATCAATTCCAATCAATATCATATATATAAATGAAGTTGAAAAACATTCCCACCACAAAAGAAAGATGTCATGTATATAAATTTTGACATTTTTATCATGCTTTGTCTTAGGAGACCGTTTCATTAAGCGACCGTTTTGGGTGATTCCCTTGCTTAATACACGCTTGACTGTACATTATCAATGCTACCAAGAGCAATATTTCTTCAGATACATTGTTAAGCATAGTCAGAAAAAGTTGTTTTTCTGTTCATTGGCTAGCATTGCATTATTATGGCAATATGGTCTTCAGTTTTAATTTGCTTAGTATTCATTATTTATAAGAGAATGAGTCCTTCATTTATTTGTCACTGCTTCTTTATGATTATCCATTAGTTTGTGCTAGGGCATGGTCATGCATTAAAATGTATATCACAGAATCATTGTTATACATAAAATGTGCTCTGTCTGTTACAATATTTTAATAGCATAGTATGACCCCTGACTCCCCAAATAAATTGACACTGGTTGTGCTATTTGTAAGGGTAATTTAATTATTTATAATTTTGTTATGTCTTGTCAGCCCTGGTTATGCCAATTTATACATGTCTGTGCTATGCATTATATCTACTAAGTGAAATTAGCCAGAAAAGTGCATAATAGGGTAGGTTAATATATAACTAGTTGGTCAGTATCTCTGGAACATGCATATATGTATTACAAAAATAACAACAAAGTTGTTGGGAAAATGTTTACAGCATCCAGAAGGAGATGTCGACAGGGTTATTATCAGTGCGATTCAGGGCACTGTTTGTCAGAATCCCGTCGATGTGATGGGGTTCGTGATTGCCCTAACGGGTCTGACGAACGCGACTGCAGTAAGTGGTTCAAACCCCTTTAAACTTCACTTGTCATTATTTACTTTGAAAATTTGCTCATATAAAGAAGCTTCACGAGTCACTTACATTGTAAGCTAAACATATTCATATTTATTTCTGCTCTTTTAAGTAGATTGTTTAGAAGAAAAAAAAGAAAGAAAATCTCATGATTTATGAATGTTTTTATTGAGATATTCTGCAATTCTGTTGTGATGAGTGAAGTAAATAAGGGGACGTTGATGTAGATGGTCACATGATCACATGCTGTGTGACTTGACATATCACATGACCAGTTCAACTTTTAGTACAGTGACTGGTTCCAAAAAAATATACACTTTGAATTTGACTGGTTTCTGAATACAATGAAATATTGAAAAACAAGTATATAATTTTGGCTCTGCAAGAAGCTTTTTTTAACTTGAAGACTTATTTTTGTCATTAGATTTTACTGTTTTGCTAAGCTGGTCAGTATTTCCTGTCTATTTTTAATACCCTAGTATACAGAAATGGGTTTAATTTGAATACAGATTTAAGATGACTCTGGAAATCCAGAAACTTAAACAATCAGTTCCATTAAACAAAAAACTTGTTAAATGAAAGTTTATATGTTGGAACCAGTCTCAAAGCTTGACCAGTTTATTCTCTATATTTTATTTTTGCTTGAGTTTTGACAGTTTGTGATGAACACAGTTTGAGATGAATATTGTTTTTTCTTTTTAAAATTGTTACAAGTTTATTGAATTTTATAGATATTAGCACAAAAATTAAAATTTATGAACTTAAGTGCAAAAAAATATCTATAATTATTTGTTAAGAATTAAATTGTCATACAAGAATAATTTTACAGTAAGTTAAAGATTTTTCTTAGGCTATAAAGTTACTTTTGTAATTTTCTTTGGTTAAAGATGAAATTAAAATTTTCAACAACAAAAAATTAAATAAAAATAAAATCAATTTAAAAAGCGAAGTTTGAAATGAGCTTCGCCATGACAAAACCAACATAATGCGTTTGCGACCAGCATGGATCCAGACCAGCCTGCGCATCTGCGCAGTCTGATTAGGATCCATGCTGTTTGCTGACCAACCCTATTACAAGTAAAGAAACTGATAGCGAACAGCATGGATCCTGATCAGACTGCGCGGATGCGCAGGCTCGTCTGGATCCATGCTGGTCGCAAACCCATTATGTTTGTTTTGTCTTGACGCGGCTCATATGTACTATTCCATATGAAAAGGGGAAGGATTTAATACAGCTAGATTATGACATAGGTTACGTGTATAAATATATAAATATAATAGACATGTATTTATAATGTAGGATGTAGAAAATTTTATATTTTGCTTCTTAAGCTTTGACTATACAATCCATTACCCCTGCCTTTGTTAATTTAAAAACTTTGTTATGACGTTCAAATCCGAGCTCATGTAGAATCTAATTTGTTAAATACAATAACAATATTGTTCAAGAAATATTTCATTTAGTCAAACTTCAAGAAATTTTTTAAGGGGCATCCTTGGCTGAGTGGTTATGGTTGTTGACTTCAAACCACTTGCCCCTCACCATTGTTGGTCAGAATACCGAAAAAGACATTGGATTCTTTTATATGAAGAAGCTATTCCTCTAGCTTACGGAATGGTTCGACGCAGACTCAGATTAAGTTTTATGCTTATTAAATGAGGCTATTTACTTAAAGTCTCCTAGATTTACATGTACGCTTTATACTGATATTCCAATACTTAAAGCTAGTTTCCAACATATTATATATAATTGCCATTTATTTCTCTCATTTTCATTTTATCCCCCACACCCACCAATTTTTCTTTTCCTGTAAAAGATACACTGCTATACCAATATATTAGTACTGTCAGTCTATTATCTGGATAAAGCCCAAAAATACTTTTAACTACACCAGCAGTAATATTAGCTAATGGATTCAGTATATAGAATTCAATGTAGTTTTAGGTCTTTATGGTTCAGTACTTAATGTTTTTGACTGAAATTTACCTTAGCTTCATTGCAGTTTAGGTCAGGAGCTCCTATGAGGGACTTTAAGTTCTTCTGTATGATTGATGGTTCTCTAGTGGCAGTTTGATGGTCTTCCATATACCAGAATGCCTATGAAGCAGTCATATGATCTAAACATAATTACTGTTTTACAAAAAAAAGAAGAAACAAAATAGTGTCAGTAATGTAGTTTGAGATTTAAAAGAGTCTCTTTAAATGAAATTTTGAGTCCTTTAAAATGTATCTTATCAAGCCTTTAGATGGAATAATTTTAAGACATTTCACAGTGACAGGTCTTATAAGAATATGTAAAAATTGTTAATTATTTTGATTAAGCATTAAAATGACCAGATTTATTATCTGATATAAGGCATGATAAGTGTATGGTGACAGGATGTATGAGAGTTTAATGTAATGTCGGTGATGTTAGAGTTTTGATTGGCTTGTTTATTTTGTATTGTCTAATGTCGGTAAATGTGTAATGTAAATATTGTTTCTTTAAATAAGAATATAAAAATAATGAAATGTACATTATCATTGAAACTGGCTTACAAACAAACAAAACAAAATAAGTTCATCATTTGAATATCACTTTTGAAAATGTAACATGGCATGCAGTGAATTAATAACTAGAGATATTGATTGAAATGATATTTAAATTCCCCAATCTCTGTAAGAAGTGGAGTTTAATGGTAGGTACATGAGGAGGCCTTGAATTCCAGATTTGCTACTTTTTCTCAATTTCTTTGTTCATTTTATTTTTGTTTGTTTTCTTTTATTTTATTGTATTTATGTTGTTAAAAGTTGGTTCTAATATTGTTTTGTATAAAATGTTCTTTGTTATTGTTCCATTAAACATCTTTCATTTTATTTATTTTTTTATGTTTCAAATTAATTTTCGTTTCATTAAAATCTTGTTTTTTTTTGGTTTTTTTTGCAGTGAATTTTATTTTATGCTTTAATAGTAATCTTCTTTATTCAAAGAAAAAAGTATATGTATAAAGATAAAGCAAATGTACATTATAATTTTTGTTTAATATTATGTTTTGTAAAAATGCTAGAATTTTCTTTATCCACTTTATTATTTTTTTTTATATTGATTACACAATATATTTCAATGCCATTTTCAAGTGTAAATCATAGCAGCCTCATAAATGATATGAGAGGGGGAAATTTGAAAATACTTATATACCATATATCAGGTTTTTTTCAAAAGTGTCTCTAATTTCTGTTATATTCGCATGTAATGAATACTGCCAAAAATGGATTTGCTAAATTTTCCTCTCTAAATTGGTCTGTCTTTTGTCAGGATAAAAAGAAATATGTACTGCCGCTCTCATTGCCTACATGAGAAAACGTTGCCGTTTTCAATTTTAAAAAAATTCTGGTTTTGTTGTTGTTTTCTTTGGAGAGTGCGAGGGTTGGTAGAGGGGCTGTGCGGTTTTGACTAATTTTTCAGGCACACGTTCATGTATTGTCACATTGAGTATTCTAATGCAAATACTGGTAAATGGCAATTTAAGGTTGTAGGCATATGAATGTAAAATGTATAGATATTTTACAACGTACTTTGATTTTTGTAGCTCTCTCCTGTGAAGCTGACGAGATGGAGTGTGTTGTGGATAACAAGTGTCTGACACCAAGTCAGATTTGTAACCGAGTGTACGACTGCTCCGACGGCAGGGATGAACGTGACTGTGGTAAGATTATAATTCATTATGATACCATAGCCGACATTATGGTACTAATATTACAGGAGGAGATTCTTTAAATAGATTGAGATAATGGCACTGATAGTGTGGGAGGAGATTTTACAATTCTATAAATAAATTGAGATAGTGGTACTGATAGTTTGGGAGGAGATTTTGAATTCTATTAATAGATCGAGATATTAGAACTTTTTTGTCTGCTTAATAGACTTATTTTTCTGTTAAAATGATACATATGTAAGTCTGTAATATTTAATTGTTGTTTTTAGTAAGGTGTACATCAGGGGAATTTCAGTGTGAATCGGACAGATCATGTATCATGATAAGTTAAATCACTAATTGTTGTTTTTAGTAAGGTGTACATCCGGGGAATTCCAGTGTGAATCGGACAGATCATGTATAAGTCTGGCAGGAAGATGTAATGGACGTAAAGAATGCTCGGATGGATCCGATGAAATGAACTGCCGTAAGGATTGCCCCTCATTTACTTTGAATTAAGACTTTGATCATTTTTTTTTTGTAATAATTCATTGTTTTTTTTTTTTCAATCATTCTTTAAAGTGTTCATTTTCTGAAAGAGAATTGTTGATGAATTGAGAGGTAATACACCAGAAATAGTTATGGTATTTAAAATTCATTCAATGACATTAAAAGGGAAAAGTATCTTGAATATAGCTGACATGTATGTATAGAACTGTAGAACTGCATGTATAGGATATTATGCAAATATTAGCATAAACATAGCTTGATGCGCCCTTTTCAATGTTTGATATCATTAAAAGAAGTTGACTTCTGATAATCAGAAATTAAACAACTTTATTGAAGAACCAATGCAATCCTGATTACTTAGTGTCTACAACATAATAGCTGTGCTTATATTGTATATTTAATATTAAAACTAATTTAATGATATTTCATGTGAACAGCCACACCATCACCTATCAGTGTTGTTGTCAGTCCCAACAATCTGCGAATCAGACAAGGTGCTGAGGCAATTATCACGTGCATGGGTCAGGGGCTTCCTGCTGGAGCTAGTTTACAGTGGTTCCGGGGAACTGAAGTAAGTAGTATAGTCAGAATATTTTATAGATATTAATTTAAAGAAAAAAAAACTATGAGTCAGATGGTGTAGAGGGACATTATGGAAAAATGGAAACATAACAGTAATTACTGTGACAAAATGTTACTGAAGATTCAAAGCACTGAAGTCATTTTTTAAATGATAAGTAGTTCAGAATTAAGTACTGAAACTGTAATCTGAACAATAAAAATTTAAGAATACAGCACTAAAGCTGTTTTCTGAACAATAAATAGTTCAGAATACAGCACTGAAATAATTGTTTAAACAATGAATAGTTAAGAATTCAGCACTAAAGCAGCTGTAAACAGTGAACAGTTTAGACTCTGGCACTCACCAACTAAATACATGTAGTATAAACAATTAACAGCTCAGAATAAAGCTCCGAAGTTTTTATTTACATGTAAACAATGAACAGTTCAGATTTCAAATCACTAAAGCCATTGTCTAAACAATGAACAGACTAAACAAGCTTTAGTATCTGAATAACACACAGTTCAAAATTCAGCACTGAATCAGTTGTGCAAACAAGATCAGCTCAGAATTTAGCTTTGAGGTTATTGTTTAAACAATGGACAGTTCAGAATTCAAAGAGAATACAGCACTGAAGTTGTTGTACAAACAATACTAGTTCAGAATTTAGTGCTGAAGCTGTTGTATAAACAATGTACAGTTCAGAATTTAATACAAGGTAGACCATTGCACAAATTGATCAATGTAAAGCCTTATCATGTTTATATAGTTTGTTGTTCTGTTTTTGAAAGGGTTTACCGATGCAATCAGCTGTTGAACAAGGCAAATTGATGATACCTGTTGCCAAGGTGATGGACTCTGGTGACTACACATGTAGAGTGGTTGGAGTTTCTGGCAATTACCAGGCAACTGCCAGACTTGAAGTTGTTGCTAGTAAGAACTCTTTTTATTTAGAACATGTATTTCTCAATAAATTTAGGTTTGGACTTAATTTGGTCCAGCAGTGGTTAAGGTTGCTGCCATTAAATCACTAGGCCCACACTGATGGGAGTTTGAGTCTTTTAAGGGATTACAGTTTCATATATTTGTAGAAGCTATTCAGCTAGCTTAAAGAAAGTTTGTGGTTCTACTCTGTTACTTGTTATTGCCTGAAGCAATGCATGGAGGGGCAATTGAGTAAAGCTAGAAAGTCACAACATGACATTCACAGTGTTGATGGGACTTAGAGCTTCATCAGGATAATTACAGACATAAACAAAAATTTAGAATGTATTTTGTTCTACTTTTACCAAGATAATTATTTTACATGATTTATAATATTCTTCATATTTTGTCTTTGAGTTTATACACCCCTTAAAAATGTTCTTCTTTATTAAGTTATTATTTATGACCTTAATTTATGCATTTAGTTATGCAGTGATTTACTCAATAGAACATCTTAATAACAAGCCTTTGTACCTTTTTGGGTCAATTTTATGTTTTCATATATGAAAGCATAATTATACTCAATGAAACACCCTTGTGACAACTCTTTCGAATTGTATAGCGTTGCTGTCCTCTGACAGCTTTTTGTGTTTGTAATGTTATTATACATATATTGTTGCCTTGATAACAGAGTTAGGGTTAAGAACTAAATAAACATCATTGTATTTATAGTTGGACCGACACCAAAACCGGACGATGGAGATGGTAAATGTGGTAGGGACGAGGCTGTGTGTCAGAACGGACAATGTATCAGGAGAGAATATCGGTGCGATGGCGAAGAAGATTGTGCCGATGGTTCTGATGAACCAGAGGACTGTTGTATGTACTGTTTCTTTAAATTGTTTTTGTAGGACATTCTTTCAGTTCAGTATAGTTACATTTAGTCATGATTTTAAGTTTTTGGCTCAGTGTATGTTTTTCTGTGACAAGTTGATGATGATATTTCTTATGCCATATGTCCATAACCTCAGTTTTAAATGATAAACAGGGAAAAGTTTAACTTAATTCATTAAGATTTATCACTTGTTCGGATATAAAGTACACCAAATCAAATTAAATTAAAAAAAATGATGACAAAAGATTGCATAGTACATTATAGTATCTTTTCTGCTTTAAAATATGGTTCTGTGATCATTCTTTCTTTTGAAAAAATATTATTATGTTTTTAAATCAATTTCTTTTTTTATTGACTTACTTTGTTTTCAACTAGATGTTAATATTTTGTGTTGTCTTTAATAATAATAATAATAATAATGATAATGATAAAAATGATAATAATAATAATGATTTGTATCAAACCATTGTAAGTGGAAGTCGAATACCAAAGACTGATTTGTTTTTAAAAGCCCTTACCAAATCTTTGTAAGGTCAAAATACATAAGAACTTCCTTAAAAACTTTTGATTATGTTTCTGTTTTTACTATTTACAGATTCAAACCTGTGTGAACCGAATGAGTTTCAGTGTCCATCAGGTCAGTGTGTGATGAAGATCTGGAGATGTGATGGTGAGAATGATTGTGAAGATGGATTTGATGAATCCAACTGCAGTAAGTCTCCAGAATTCACACTTTATACAGGCACACCTGTGCTAAATGACCACCTGTCCACATATACCATCTGATCTTTAAAAAAAGAAAAAAACATTCCTCGACCATAATATACACTTTCAATACAGACTACTTGATATGAAAATATATATCTTCATGGTTCTGCCAAGGGTGTTAATATGATATTTACAGATTTAATCAGAAAACAAGTTGGTTTTTTTTGCAATTGCTTTAAGTGTGAGTAATGTAATATGATAAATTTCTGTTTGCATAGCTTTACTTTTTAATACTATTCATATTGTTGACTTCATTCTTGGTTGACTCATGAAAGCTCTAGTTTAATTTTAATTTTAGTTTAAGTTTAATTTTAGATAAGTTATCTAAGGGTCACTTGTTTGATTCTAAGGCATGATTTCTGCTTGACTATTGATTCTTTTGGACATTGAGTCTAAAGGTCTTTTGTCTGTCACTGCTGATACAGAAATCATGTGGGGTTAGTAGTGGTTCATTGGTGGAGAAATTGGTAATAACTGGTTAGTTATCCAATAAAAGCCATTTAGTTGAATTGATTGCTAAGATGTGACCAAAAATGTGTTTAGGGTTGGCATAAAAAAATAGAAACAAACAAACAAACAAACAACCATGGTGGGCATGACAAGGGAATACTTAAAAAGAATCAGCGTTTTTACTTTGAGAGATGCAAAGTTGTATACTAGTACAGCTTGAACAAGTGACGTAAAATTCCCATCCAAAATATGGTAGGAAATGTTTGAAATGAAAATGATTTTTTTTTATTTCAGTGGCCAAACAGCCTGATGAACCATGTGGTAGAGATGAGTTCCAGTGTGTAAGTGGGAACCAGTGTATTCCCTTGGCATACCAGTGTGACCAGGAGATTGATTGCCTAGATAGATCTGATGAAATAGGATGCTGTAAGTAATTCAGTGAAATGTTCATGCATGTCTGATAAACTGTTGGTTAATCAGTGAAATATACATGTATAATGTCTGATAAACTGTTAGTAATTTAGTGAACTATACACATACGTCTGGTAAACTGTAAGTTATTCCTGAAATATACATGTATGTCTTAAAAGTTGTAAGTTATTCAGTGAAATATACATGCATATCTGATAAATCGTTAGTTATTTATTGTAATATACACATATGTCTGATTATGTGTAAGTTATTCAGTGAAATGTAAAGGTATGTCTTAAGATGTAAAGTATTCAGTGACATATACATGTAAGTCTTATAAGCTGTTAGTTATTCAGTGAAATATATGTATATGTCAGATTAGCTGTAAGTTACATATAAATGTATGTCTTATAAGCTGTTTGTTATGCAGTGAAATATACACGTATGTCTAATAAGCTATAAGTTAGAAATGTGTCAGATGAAGTGTTAGTTATTCAGTGAAATATATGTGTATGCATAATAAGCTTTAAGTGATTCAGTGAGATATACACATAAGTCTGGTAAACTGTAAGTTTTTCAGTGAAATATAAATGTATGTCTTATGAGCTGTAAGTTATTCTATGAAAAATACATGCATGTCAGATAAACTGCCATTGTAATATAAACATATGTCTGATTAGCTCTTAGTTATTCAGTGTAATATATATTTGAGATATACATGTGTGTCTAGTAAATTGTTAGTTATTCATTGAAATAAACATAAATGTCTGATAAGCTGTAAGTTATTTAGTGTAATATATATGTGAGATATACATGTGTGCCTGGTAAATTGTTAGTTATTCATTGAAATAAACATAAATGTCTGATAAGCTGTAAGTTATTTAGTGTAATATATATGTGAGATATACATGTGTGCCTGGTAAATTGTTAGTTATTCATTGAAATAAACATAAATGTCTGATAAGCTGTAAGTTATTTAGTGTAATATATATGTGAGATATACATGTGTGCCTGGTAAATTGTTAGTTATTCATTGAAATAAACATAAATGTCTGATAAGCTGTAAGTTATTTAGTGTAATATATATGTGAGATATACATGTGTGCCTGGTAAATTGTTAGTTATTCATTGAAATAAACATAAATGTCTGATAAGCTGTTAGTTATTCAGGGAGATATACATGTGTGCCTGGTGAAGTATACATGTTTATCTGTTATAATGTCATATACATACTTTCTATAGGGACTGCTATTTACACTACATGTAAGATATTGTATAAGATAATAATTCTTTAGTTTGACTTTCTATAGGGCCAGCTAATGGTAAATTATGTTTTGGTGAAGGTTTTGATTCTGTTAAAATATTAATATTAAAACTGTTAAATCCCTTCCCCTTACTTCTAACCAACCTTTAAATCCCTTTATTGTGGCTGTCAAGTGTGAGAAAGAGGCAGACAACAAAGTGCAAATGACACCATTATGCACATGGAATATTAAAGCCACAAAGAAGTTTATATTGACATGTTGATTGTTTCTTTAACACAATTTCATTTTATCAAAATATGTTCTTCATTGATGTTTTGTCTTATATATTATGGGTAAAGATTTTCAAGATTTTTTTTCCAGAATTGATGGAGTTTTGATCTCTTAAAAGTCCTTCCTTATCCTTTAAACACTTCAAGAAAACACCTTAATTCACAATTTTAAGAATGTATTATATTTCAACTTTTACCCATGCCAAGTAATAAATATTAATTTTTACATGTACATTTAGGACTATAATACAATTAAATGTGTACTCATGCAGTGATATAATATCTCATTTTGACTTTAATTGGTTGATTAAATATAATGAAGTGTCAATTTGTGATTGATAAATTTTAAATGATTTTAAGAAATAGGTCTATGGCATATCAGTTTTAAAACTGTCATTTGAAATACTTTTTAAAGTGATCGTTATAAAAAATGAGGTTCATTTTTGTGTATATTTCTGTATTTATTTTAATAGCACCTCCAATTATCACGGTGCCACCTGTCGCTGAAATTGAGGTTGAACTTGGAGGCACATTCACGATAATCTGCGAAGCAGTTGGTGTTCCGACTCCACTTATTGTCTGGCGTCTTAACTGGGGCAACATTCCAACTGGCGATCGTATCATAACTACAAGTGAAGAAGGACGTGGCGTGTTAACTGTGCGTGATGCACGATACAGTGATGCCGGCGCGTACACATGTGAGGCGATCAATAATCGTGGAAGCATCTTTGCCATTCCAGACGCCCTTGTGATCGTAAGACGTAAGTAATGCATGGCATCAGAATTTATATGGTTAAGAAGTAATGTTTTGCATTATCTCTGGTAGTCTGTAAACATTCTTATATTGTTTAAAAGTATAAAAATATTAAATATCCTTAAAAATAATGTATTGAAATTAGAAAAATATTAAGCATTCTTAAAGATAACATGTGAAAAATATTATTCATTGTTAAAGATAATGTGTTTCAATTATAAAAAATATTTAACGTTGTTAAAGATAATGTGTTTAAAGTATAAAAATATTAAACATTTTTAAAGATAATGCTTTTATTAATAAAGTATAAAAATATTAGACATTCTTAAATAAAATGATATTTCTGAAATATTTTGATCATACAGAGGCATGAAATATTTATACATATACAAAATAATTAATGTGTTTGAAGAAACAATACAACAGCATAGGACTATTTTTTTACGAATTTTTATTATAAACATTCTTCAGAGACACAAGGTAAGTTTTCTTATGTTTACTATAAGTTACTATTGCACATGTGCAGAACCATGTAAGGATTGGGTAAAAGGTATATTTATCTGTTTTGTTTAATTGTGTATGGGTGAGACAAATGGTACAGATTATATGAGAGTTGCCTGTTGCCTGTGGGAGACAAATATATTTGTGTGAATATTTCTATATTTGTACTAGGTTATCAAGTTTAAGTATTATGTTTTTGTGAGACATTGTTAGATAGTTTCATCACTGGGTACAAGGGCACAAAAAAAGAGATAAAATAATAACTTGTTTTCATAATGTCCCACTTTCTATGTTTCATTTTCTTGGTCAGATGTAGGATTTTTTTTCATGAAGCTGAATTATCGTGCTAACTGATGTATACTTTAGTTGTTATAGGAGTAATGGGTATAAGTCAATAAGTCAATATTCTTTCATGCTACTCATTCCATTCCAGTAAAAATTCTGTCATAAAAAGTATTTTGAGTAAAAGTTAACTATAAACAAGCTAAGTACATTGTACTACACAATATTTGATTCATTACAAATGCTTGTACCCAAGAAAATGGAGATTTGCAAGTGGTTTTAAAACACTGACAAGTTCATGACAGCATTCAATGTATTACATAATGTGTTGTTTGCATGAAAATTGTAGTAAAATGTGTGTTTTATAAACATGTGAACTGTAGAGATGATGAATGGAGGTTTAAATATTTATATCTATGTTAACCTGTAGGAAAGCATTGACTGTGGGGAGCAGTGCTGGTTGTTAAAAGCACACAGTGTATTGTGGGATATCTACATACTTGTATACAAATGAAGGTATGGAAATGTGGGCAACTAAAGAAATGTTCTGAGTACACATATATGAAATGTTCATGCTGTATCTATGAAAGTGTTCTTATGATATCAATGAACAAGATTATGTGTATCTGTGTGTAAAGATTGTTATTATATGCATCAAAGAGGTTCATTTGGTATTTGACGGGAAGAATGGGTGTGGTTTTGGTGGACGTCTGCCTGTATATGAGATGTGCGAATAAATGGATAAAACACTACCAGTGAACAGTGTTGGAATTGGTTTGGATATACTATCACAGTCTATAAATGCTGTTTGGCTATTTATATTTTATATCACGAATTCAAATATGCATAAAAATGCTGACAAATGAATAAAATATTTAAAAGAAGAAATATAGTTTTAAAACTATGTTATTGTATCGCTAAAAGTATAGAAATTCATCAAAATTTATAAAAAAAAAGTTTTCTGAGAAAAAATTATTCTGTATTAGATACTTAAAGAAAGATTAACAATTACCCTTTTGTTATATGATTTTAGGAGTGATATTATTTTAGTTTACTTTACAACAAATCTCGGAAATAACACTTCTCCAAAAAACAGTATTAACTTTGTTGCAGTTATTCAGCCTGGAGATAAGGAGAACCTGAAAGAGAACATTATTGTCATAGGAGGCAGTGATTATGTAAATCTTAATGTAGAACAGAAAACACTTCTTGTGGGTGTATCTTCACAGTGTAAGAAAGACCTTGAACTTTCAATGGCAGGGTCAACTTTCTACACTGAATGTATCCCAGCAAATCAAAAAGTCGAGATTTCATATGTTGGCCGTAGTACTGTTGATATTCAGCTTTTGAAGAAAGTATCACTTATAGAAATGCGAGGTGATGTTTTACCTGATACTGAGCAAGACTTTGTGCTCTGGCACATCGGTGGTCTGCCACCGGATTTACAGCAGGAAGTGAGGCACATGCAGGTTATAGAAGGAATAACTGCTGCAGACTCAACAATGAGAAGAAGAGTTATCCAATTTGGTGGAAGGAAAAGAAATAAATACCAGGTGGAGAAACAAGTCATCCATATTGGTTTAAGTCAGGATTGTCTTGGACATCTGAAACTTGTTGACCATACTAGTCAACGAAAAGCTTTACAGTGTGTGAGAACAGGAAACGAAGTGCTTTATAGAACGGCTAATAGAAGTGTTGTGGTTACCGGGAAGAGCGATGGACAGCTGGAGAAAGGGAGAGAAATTATATTTGTAGCTGGAAAAGTACCCAAAAAGACAAGGAAGAAGTTGTCAAGGATTGTTGGGAAATCTACAGCAGACATAGTGAGCACTAAGACCATTGAAGTTAAGGAAAAGGGTTTCGTACATGGAAATAATCCAGAAATTTCAGACCAAATAAAAGTAAATATACCATATGGGACTGAAATTATTGAAATTGAGGAAAATAAAGTAGATGAACCAGAACTTTCGAGAACAGATTTGATAAATATTTCTGAGAGTGTTGAAAAAGTTAAGACTTTATCTCAAGCAGAGGTTATAGAGGTAAGGAAAATCCCTACTACTGCAGCACCAGTTAAAACATTTACACACAAAACAGTACCTATACTTGTTGCAGAAAAGTTTAAAGTTGTTAAGACAGGTCAGAGTGCAGAAAAGAAGACTGTTTCAGAAGAAATAGTTATAGTTGGAGAAAAGTCCCTTAATGAAAGAATAGTAGGCAAAATTGTTGAAGTACATGGTGCAGGAAGAGTGGAAACTAAAAAAGAAAACATGTTTGTAGAAATTGGAACTGGAAGACAGTGTCAAAATCAGCTTGGTATACGTCTTGTAGGTTCAGCATTAACATCAGTTTGCAAGGGAAGAAATGTTACTGTTGATTATATTGGGCAAGGTCCCACAGATTTAGAGGTTTCCTACAGAACCATCTTGTTAAAAGGTAACAGCTCATTGCCTGACTACCAGCAAGAAGATTCTATTATAATGTACATAGGTGGGATCCCAGCAAATGAAAAAAATAGAACTGTGAAATCCTTCTTTTTAAGAGGAGTTTCACCTAGAAAAGAAAGGTCTGGCCATAGAATAAAGAAGGAAAGAATTGTAGAAATAATCGGACAGGGAAAAAAAGCAAATAAAAACACAAAGCAAATTGTTATGGTTGGAGTAAGCAGGAGATGTGAAGATTTACTCCGTACAGTGTCAGTAAGTGGAAAAAGTATTGTTGAATGTGCAAAGATAAACAAGACAGAAATAAAAGAAATTGGGCAGTCTGTTGAAGAAATTGAACAGCAATCAAGATTTAAAGAGATTGTAATTCATGGTGGTCCTACTGGAACAGAAAAGCATGTGGATATAAAAGAAGAATCTGAAGGAAGTTCAGATGAATCTGAAAGTAGTATAGACACTGAAAGTGATGATGAAGAATCTGAAAGTGATAAGGAAGATATTGATAGATACAGACATACAGAAAATGTCGAGCCAATAGAAGAGTATATAGATGAGAAATTATTAATGATTGGTGGGACTGAATCAGTAACCATTGACAAAGCAACTCAAAAACTATCCATTGGATTTAGAGGGTCTGTTTGTGATACTTCCAATTCTTATAGAGTCATGTCTCAAGATACTAACTTGATTATAGATTGTGCAAGAAGATGGTCACCAGTAAATATTATTTACATGGGACAATCTTCCACTGATATATATCTAAGTAAATCAGTCTTAGTTAAAAATGAAGGACCTTCATTAAAAAATAATGTAAATTTATACTTTGGAGGAAGAGCAAAGAAGATTATTTCAGAAAGCAAAGTAGTTGAAATAGTTAGAAATGTTCGTCAGTCAAGGAGAACTGGTATTAGCAAGGTAATGACATTTGGTGGACAGTTTGTGGGGAAAGGAAATAAGACTATTTTAGATGTTGGCTTCAGCATTGAATGTGATGGACATTTACATAAAGAAGAAGTTTATGGCAGATTTATCATTTCTTGTAGAAGAGGAGGTCCTTCTTCTGGAAATGATGAATCAGGTACTGTTCATTTTGATGGAATGTCAAGAAACAATGTTGAAGAGGAACAGTCAATAGTCATATCAGGCCATTCTCCAAGGAAAGACACAACTATTACGGTGCCTATGACAGAAATGGCACCTCAAGTTAAGAAAAAAACCATTATCCATGGTGGAAATGGGGAAGAAGACAAAGAAGAGAAACCAGTTATTGTAAGAGGAAGAGATGCTGATGATACAGAAAGTAAAACTTTAAACAAAACAGTTGTTTTGGCTGGAAAAGGATCAGAAAGGAATACAGAAGTAGAAATAAAAGTTGAACCTAAAATAGTTGAAAGGGAAAGAAATAAGACAGTCATTATTGCTGGAAAAGATGGCTTAAAGAATACAAAAGTAGTGGTTGAAGTTAAACCCAAAGTTATAAAAAAAGAAAGGGTGGACATAGTTGGTGAAATATTGGAACAAGATACCACAACTGAATTACCAACAAGTACAATAGGTCTTGATGTTATTGAAAGTGTATCAAAGAGGCCAAAGCTGAATATAGTAGAGGAGCAAGTTGAAGAAATTGTTCTGACTGGCGTGATGGAATCAGCTCAGAAAGTGGGAAATACTCCTACAGAAAGTCCAAAGCCTGAGATGGAATTGGAGGCTATTGAGACAAAACAGAAGGAGGATAAATTATTATTAACTGTGTCAGAAGAGACAATGACAACTGATGAAGATAAAAATGTGTCTATAAATGCTGTAAATGGTATTTATATCGAAAAAGTGCTTTTAGTCGCTGCAGCAGAATATATTAAATTGAATGAAAGTGGTCAAAGTTTAGAGCTGGATTTTGAAGATCATTGTAAAGGTAGCTTTAATGTCATAGCAAGAAATAGAAATTTCAGAGTGGTATGTGCTGAAAGAATGAATGGTGTTGAGTTTGAGTATGTTGGTAAAGAGGGAACTGATATTGAAGTTAAAACAACTGTAAGGCATGAACAGGCCTCTATTAGTAACAAAAGAAGAGACAAAGTATTTATAAAGCTTGGTGGTTTCCTTGAAAACCAACACAGTTATGAAAAGAATTTTGAACTTTTTAGCACAGACTCAAATTTAAGTTCAGTAAAGAATGAAAGCAAAACAATTTCAATTAAAAGTTTTTCTGAATCTGAAGATATTAATGAGATAAGTGTAGTTGAAATTGGAATTAAGAAATCATGTAAAACTGGTGGAATATCAAAGTATGTGAATGCAGAGGGCACCATTATATATTGCTCAAGGAGGGCAGACATTCTGCCAGAATATGATGATGGAGATGAAGAGATTGGAGTTAGAAAGATCATTGATAGAACAGCATTTTCTAATGCTGGAACCATTGTAGGTAGAGAAGGAACTGAAATAATAAATTCAAAAGATATCACAGTTCTTACTGGTGCAAGACAGAAACTTACTGAGGGAACTGAAGTAATGTCAGGAGAATATTCAAATGTTAGAAATGTGGAGAATGGTAGAAAACACCTGCAAATAGCTGTTACTGAAGAGCGGGTTAACAATAGTGGAGACAGCTCTGTTACACAGAATGTGAATTATAATGAAAGGAGAACAGATATGACAAATAATTCAGAAGGATTCAATGGAACAGGTTATTCAACTGGACTAAATACTTTTGATGACTTTATACCTAGAAGAAGAGGAGATTTATCAATAGAAGAAGTGTATGGGAAAGAATTTACAAGTTCCTTTCAGACTCACAGATCAGTAATTCCTCTAGTGAGGTATGGTGACACTAGTAAAGGGCCAGTTTATGAAAGTATTGACCATGCACTAAAGAAGCCAGTCCAGGATTCGGCAGGGAGAAATATTGTAGATTATGATATAGATACACATGGAAGTTTGGATATGGATTTGGGAAATAACTGCAAAGGAAAAATTGAAGCAATGGAGGTAGATGATGGTGTGATTGTTAAATGTTCAGTTGGGGGAGAAGATTTCCAGATCAATTTAGTAGGATTTGGAAGAAAAAATATCCAAAATTCTTGGAGTGTTTTTCAAATGCAAAATGATGATTCAAGCCGATCCAGATATCTTCAGAATGATGGAAACTTGATTGCTGAAAGGGAAGTTGTTGTCCCAGGTAAAGATGATAGATCATCAAACAAAATGACAGTTCATGAGGTATTCTATGCGAGTAAGAAAAGAAAAATCAATGAATCTCAAGATCAGTTGCACAAAAGAGGCAAAAGGTCAACAATTGCAGAAGAGGTTGGGCGAGATTGGAGTAACCATATCTCATCGAGGGTAATAGTCCCTACAGAAAGAGTTAATAAGTTTGCTGAAAGATCATACAATGGCTTAAGGAATTCAGAATTTAAACCAGTTATGATAAGAAATGTACAGAAAAGCTACTTGAGTATTAACACAGCCAATGAGCATGATAAACAATCTGGAAAATATAGTGTCCAGCATAAAAGTGAAGCAAATCATGATAAGTTGAAGTCACTGAAAAATATAGGGAAAGATAGAATTAAGGATTTGAATTTTGAAAGAAAAATGGATTATGGGAAATTTGATAAATATGATACTGCAGTAAGACATGGCCATCAAAGGCACACAAGAAGAAAATTTCAGAATGTTAGAAGGCATGCTGGCCATATCGGGAAGAGAGCTTTAACTGACAAAACAATAAAGAATAATGAACTGGAAGGTAATGTTTTCGAAAGTCCTGGAGATTTGTATTTCCATCCATTAACAAGTCATACTCCGAGGGATCTAAGATTTGATGCAACTGGTGTATTACTTGATCAAGTAGACAATACTAAAAAAGGTTTGAGTGCTGAGTTACATTTTGGTAAAAGCAAGAAGGAATGGACTGACAATGCGTATAGGCGTAGAATAAGTTATGAAGAATATAAGAAAAAACAAATGAAGGACAGCAATAAGAATTATAATACACCAATAAAGGATGAGAAAATAAAACCTCCAACGTTGTATTTTGGTAATGACGGGACTGAAATAAGAAAAGGAGATAATAAAAGGCAAGGTCAGGGTGGACTGAGGAATGATGTGGGAGGAAGTAGTAGCGTTGATAATAACAAGAATAGTTTTGTACATGGAGGAGACATAAGTCATATACAGGGCTATCAGTATGATACTGCTCAAGTTCAATCTGAGATCTTGTTTGGAAAAGGGAACATTCGGGGTGGTGAGTTGTTTAAAATTTGGTTGAAATATGCATTGTATGTACATCATATTGTAAAATTTTACTCAAACTTTGGAAGGAGATAATGATTCTTAAACAAGACGGAATTCGTTATTTGTATTGTAGCTATGCAGAAGAAAAACTTTAAGGTAAGAATTCATTTTGTCAGGATTGTTTGCAACTTTTAAATGAGAGTTGACAACATTTAAAGGTAGGTGTTTTTACATAATATTATAAAAATAAACCTATGAAGATCTAAAAAATCATTTACTGATATGACTAGTTACAAGTCAACTTTTACAACAGTACTTTGATTATATGCCTACAGGGCTTCCATTATGTTTAAAAGTTTGGAAATCAGAGACTGCAAAATGTCTGACATTGGAAGTCACTTTATATAGGTAAAGAAGGAAAAGCATTTTTTTTGGAAGGCTTCCACTAATGGAAGCCCTGTGCCTATTGCTATTTTGGTTAATGCAGGCAGTTCAAATGCTTCGGAAGTTTGTGAACAATTATAATAGTACCTTAACATAATAAAAGAGGTAAGTGTATTATTTTCAAGGTAGATATTATAAGGCTAGAAATAAAAGAGAATATATTTCTTATTATAGGTCAACCAGGTCCATGTAGTGAGCCATTCTTCAATTCTGTTGCTACGGTATCTGATGAATGTGTAAGATGTTTCTGTTTTGGTCACACAGTCCAGTGTTTTAGCAGTAGCCTTCAAGTGTCCAAGGTGAGATTATTATAGGTTTTTTTATAACATTCTAAATCACACCACCACTGTTTCTTTAAGGTTAATTTCCATCTTCAGTGGTGATGGGAAAAAAGCTGATAATAGGAAATATATATTAACTATCTCAGATAGCTCTTTAACATGAAAGCATCTGATGCTTGTATAGGAATTACAAGAAAAATTGTAGAAAAGGGCCTGTGATTCTAAGTCAGGTGCTTCATTTGTTAGGATACTTTTAACTATTGACACCATTTTTTCCATTCCATCAAAACTTTGTTATTATATCAGGTTGATGCAACTTGTTTTTGATAACAATTAAGTTATGCTAAAAGCACATGTTCTTCTTACTTCAAGCTTGTGATAAGTTAGTGATTGATTTTGTTTATTGTCTGCTATCCTAAAACTCAGCTTTAAAAACAAAATGTTTCCAGAAAGGCAGTTTTTTTTAAAAAAATTATCCTTTAAAAAACTTTTTAGTCACAATTCGCATTTTAATTGATTTTCTGCATTTCTGTGTTTTGGCATTTCCAAATTTAGATTTAAATTGAGGTAACTTTAAATTGTCATAACATTTTAATAAGGACATTAACACTGTATGCCCCAGCCTTTTACTTGTCTAACAAATATTAGAATTAGCTTTAAAAGATAACACGTGTTATTGAACTCATTATTTGGAAGGCAATATCACCTTCATATGTTGTCTTTTCAAACTACAATATCTATGCATACACAGAACAGTATAGTTTGATGCATTTTTTAAGTCAGAACCAAAGTCTTTCAAAAAAATGTACAATTATAAAGTTATCACTTTCTTGAGTGTTGATGCTCTTTCTTAGAAACACTGATATACAATTTTTATAAAGTTGGCATTAGAAAAACAAATGTTCTGACAATGTCCTGTTTTTTTCTTCATAATTATTATTATATTAATTGATGATCAAATTAAACAATGATTTGTTTTGATTTATTTCAGATTGCTTTGGTAAATCCAATGCGGTTTACAAGCTGGGAGGGAGATAACAGACTTGTACCAGTAGATCAGACCTTTGTCAATTTCAGACAGAGAACCGGAGAGTACCAGGTTCAAGACATTTCAAGAGCTTTGCCACAAGGCAGTTACTATTGGCAAATGCCCAGAGAGTTCCTTGGAGAAAGGGTACGAATGTTGATATTTTCTTATTTAGTATGATTTATGAAGAAAAGAAACACTGAGGACTATGAAGGACTTCTCTCATTTTCTGTTAAGGAAATAAGGAGTTCCAGTTTGGAAAATAAGGATATTATTATGTTCTATTTAGGAAATTAAAAACATTATTATGTTCCATTTTGGAAAATAAGGACATCTATTATTTTTCGTTTTGGAAAACAAGGACATCCATTTTGGAAGTCAAGGACATCCTTTATGTTCTTTGAAGAAAATAAGTCCATCGGTCTAATTCTATCTAGAAAATACGGACACCCGTCATGTTCAATTTTGGAAAATAACAAAATCCAGATGGTTCTAGTTATGGAAAATAAGTTGTCCTTTATGTTCTGTGAAGACAATAAGGACATCTACTTTCTTTTTGCAAAAACTTTTTAAGGCAACAAAAATAGTGAAGAAATAGTAACTTTAGAAAAAATATATATATTGTAAAGTAAATTTATTGAAATACATTTATCATTTTATAAGGGTAATAACTTTGGGACCTGAAGTTATCAATTTGAAAATAGCAATGTCATAAGACCATAATTTACTGTGAAATATTATATTACAGTTGACAAGTTATGGAGGAGAAATCAAGTATACAATCTCCTATGAGATTCAAGGTCGTTCTCAATCCAGCACTGGAGATCCTGATGTTATAATGACTGTAAGTTATAAATATATTTTCTGGTATATATTGAAAAGAAATGGATAATTTAAACTTTTTTTTAGCTTTCTACTCAAGGTGATCTATTGTGATCACTCAGTGTCCATCTAAGTAGAAATATTTTGATGAATTGGATTGTTTGAGTATTTTTCAGTCCTATCAGGTGACCTTCCAGTTATGCTTTTGGGAGAACACCTAATGTGCCACCTCCGTTTATTATTTGAGGTGTACTTGACTACAGCAATCACAACATTTTGTATATTTGATGGATTGGTGTCATTAAGACATAGTATAGATTGATATGTAACATGAATGTATGTGATATAAATTGTATAATATATTACAATTACGTGAGACTTTGTTGCAATTAAGAGGTCATAAATGATATCACCAAATTAAAAGGATTTTATTATTAAGGATAATTGGTGTCACCATAATAAACAACATCAAGAACATACCATTTTGCTGCTGAACAGTTTAGTATAAATAAATACTATTTCAAAGTAATTATATATATGACCATTATATTGTCCAAGTGGATATAATCCATTATGTTTTTATATAAAATATGTATAATTTCAGGGAAATGGTATCACTCTCTACTACAGAGCACGAACAGTGCCATCACCTGGTGTACAAACATCAGTGGCTGTACCACTTATGGAGGTATGCAGAATTTAAAGAAAATTATACTTGGCTTAAATAGACCATTATATTTTACTAGGATATCTTTGTTGAAAAATGTGTTTTGTGGTCATTTTTAGCTCGACTATTCGATAAGAATAAGTAGAGCTATTGCAGTCACCCGAGCGTCGGCGTCGGCGTCGGCGTAACCACTTATGTTAAAGTTTTTGTAATAGTTCAAATATTTTCAAAGTCCATAGACATATGGCTTTGAAACTTTGCACACTTGTTCACCATCATGACCCCAACCTGTAGACAGGAGGAGGTAACTCTATCAAGCATTTTGACAGAATTATGCCCCTTTTTCGACTTAGAATTTATGTTAAAGTTTTTGTAATAGTTCAAATATTTTCAAAGTCCATTGACATATGGCTTTGAAACTTTGCACACTTGTTCACAATCATGACCCCAACCTGGAAACAGGTGGAGGTAACTCTTTCAAGCATTTTGACAGAATTATGCCCCTTTTTCGACTTAGAATTTACGTTAAAGTTTTTTGTAATAGTTCAAATATTTTCAAAGTCCATTGACATATGGCTTTGAAACTTTGCACACTTGTTCACCATCATGACCCCAACCTGTAAACAGGAGGAGGTAACTCTATCAAGCATTTTGACAGAATTATGCCCCTTTTTCGACTTAGAATTTACGTTAAAGTTTTTGTAATAGTTCAAATATTTTCAAAGTCCATTGACATATGGCTTTGAAACTTTGCACACTTGTTCACCATCATGACCCCAACCTGTAAACAGGAGGAGGTAACTCTATCAAGCATTTTGACAGAATTATGCCCCTTTTTCGACTTAGAATTTACGTTAAAGTTTTTGTTATAGTTCAAATATTTTCAAAGTCCATTGACATATGGCTTTGAAACTTTGCACACTTGTTCACCATCATGACCCCAACCTGTAAACAGGAGGAGGTAACTCTATCAAGCATTTTTTTTACTATCAAGCACTAAGAATAGTCGAGCGTTGCTGTCCTACCGACAGCTCTTATTTATAACAAAATTCACTAGTTGGATTCTTCTACAACACTTGAATCCTAAAATTGTTATTCTTATAGTAATATACCTAATGAGTGATGAATCGGCATTACATAAGGTCATAAAAGTATTTTAATGTCACTATGTTTCAAAACCATCTTCTTAACTATTTTTAGCTATTTTATCAGACACTGCTTAATTATGTGGGCCTGTTTCAGAATAAGAAAAGATATTATTACCAAATCCATTTTCACTATTTATGAAGTTTTAATAGAGTGATTTGTATCATATTAGGAGATGGGTGGGGGTTCTATCTAGAAATTGACTTATTCATTTTCATATTATTAAACTATTTTAAAGACTGCATGGGAGAAAACTGACGGCACAAGAAGGCGTGGCGACACACCGGTAGACACACAGTATGCCAGTAGGGAAGATTTCATGATGGTGCTGGAAAACGTAGAGAACATTTTGATAAGGGGAAGTTATGATAGAACACAGACTACCAGCAGGTAACATTAAAACAAAGATATTAAAAGCTGCATGCCTCCAGGTGAGCAAAATGCATTCAAGAAAATCAATACTTGAGAGGAAAAATGTACTCAGGTTTTAAGAAATGTAAAGGGGTTCAAGATTCAAGAAACAATTTACATGCTTTGTGTGATTAATGATTGATTTTGCAGTACAGTCGACTCCGGTTATAACGAACTCAATGGGACATAAAAATATCGTTCGTTATATCCGAAGTTCGCTAAAAGCGAAGTAGCAACAACTTTCTGACTTGTTTGGATGGGGAAATTTGCCGTGAAAAAGCCATACTCTTCACTGGTTACCTGTGTAACCGGTATTTTACTGCAGCGGTTATTTAATGGTTATTTAATGCAGGGCATTTTATTGAGCAATATATTATGTACATGGTACATTTTATTCATGTATTGTCTCTGAAGTTCTTATCATTTGTTTTCTTTTGCTATTTGTTTATTATCGTTTGGTAAATATTGCAAACACAAAATATCGATTACTTGGCAATTATCGGGCATTTACATCAATCAACTGAGGGTATGAAATACAAATTTTCCGTAACAAGTAGGAAATTATGTTGTGAGAACATCTTTCAAAATCTTTATTCCCTGAAGCCATAACTAACATGTGCAATCATTCGATTGTTTCATTATCGGATAGTGTTATTCGTGTACTGATCCTAATCGAGCGCATCCCAATATTTCAATTATAATAGTTTGTTATAACCGAGGAAATTTAAATGTTTTCCGTCATTTGGAGCCTTGAAAAATGGTTCGTTATAGCCGAAAATTCGCTATAAGCGAGTACGTATTAAGCGATGTGATTTAATATAAAACAAAGAAGGAATCGGCCGGGGATGTCAGATTTAGTTCGCTATTAACGATAATTCGTTATAAGCGAGTTCGTTATAAGTGGAGTCGACTGTATTTATCATCAAATTTCAACTGCATGAATGATGCAGTAAGAGCTATTTTTGCATATTTTGAAAGGCGAAGACTTGAAATCTTCTTCTGCAGAATAATCATGGAGGTGGGTAGAAATCTTGTATAGGCGCCCTGTAATTATTGTGTTGTTGTGTCTTCACCTCAAAAGGTTCCAACTCTTACTGGTATTTTAGCTGTTCTTGACCTACACAGAAAATCCATTTTATGTCAATGCCAATACTTTTCTCCCACAAAGTTATATTATTATATCAACTTTAGAATTGGCGGAGTGTTCATGTCAACAGCTGTAGATTACAATACAGAGTTTGGACAAGCTTATCTTGTTGAGGAATGTACATGTCCAACAGGATACACCGGATTATCATGTCAGGTATGATATATCATCATCATAGTGCAATAACTGGTTAACTCGTATTAAATTTAGAAGGACTTAACACGTTACTGCACTAAGGTATTCTGTGTGTGTGTGTTGTCAAATTTCACAATTTTCCTGCATATTTAGATATTAATGGATTTGTTCTGTTTGATTGTAGAACTGAAATGAGCTGTGTCATGACAAAACCAACGTAATGCGTTTGCGACCAGCATGGATCCAGACCAGCCTGCGCATCCACGCAGTCTGATCAGGATCCATGCTGTTCGCTAACTAACCCTATTACAAGTAGAGAAACTGATAGCGAACAGCATGGATCCTGATCAGACTGCGCGGATGCGCTGGCTGGTCTGGATCCATGCTCGTTGCAAACCCATTATGTTGGTTTTGTCGTGACGCCGCTCAAATATTCTTATTTTAAATGCTCATTCAACTTCTGGAGTGAATTTACTGCCTTTCCTCCGAAAACAAAGCAAGACTGTGTTTAATAATGCTTTAATAACACTCTTTTAGATTTAGAGCATATTAGAATTTATCTCGTAAGAAAAACTATGGTGAATTAATGGGAAATCATTTATCATTAAGGTATCAAAATGTAAACAAAGAGGTATTTGGTTTTCCTTACAAATAACCAATCACTATAGCATTACTTTACATACTTTCTGTAAATTTCAATTACATTGTATTTCACGTTTTTTTTCTCATGTGAATGATTTTCTTTTCTCCGTGTCTTATCTATGGCTGGATATTTTAAAGGCTAATTATTTTGTACTTATATAAAAGAATATATACTAGTATGTGTGAAAAAACCTCACTCAGATTGTGTTCTCTAGCTTTTGACTTACATTGAAAATTGCTTATGGTATAATTACTTATAACTAATTTTACAATAGACTATTGTTTGATATAATAGTTAATTCCCATAGTTACAAATTGAAAGTTTGAAAAAAAATTTTTTGGTGAGATTTGAACTAAAAATGATATCAATTTGTTTACAATGTAACTACTATGCTAAAGAGTGTTTAAATTTATATCTAGATGCAATTGTTTGGTAAGGAAAACGTAAACTTATTTTTTCAGTAAACCTATTTTTCATATGCAATTATATCCAAACTTGTGCCCATTTGTAGATTGTACAGTAACTAATTTATGTACATTGATACAGTGCTTAAGGTCCTTGCTTTATATTATGTAAGCATATAAGATGATAATGTATTTTTGCAGGATTGTGCCCAGGGCTTCACTCGTATATCAAGAGGACAATATCTAGGTCAATGTATATCTTGTAACTGTAATGGACACTCAAATGATTGTGACCCAGTTACAGGACAATGTCTGGTGAGATATTTAGATTGCTATTTATTGATATGTTATATATGGGATCATGTATTCAAAGTGGAAAAATCGACAATGGGCATAGTTTCCATAAGTATTTCAAATTTGATAAAAACAATAGCAATATAGATATTCTTATGAAATATTTCTGTAAAGCCTAATGTTCACAGAGTTCTAAATTGATTTAGTGTGAATATTTATATGATGAATAACAATATTTTGTCATAGAAAACTTTAATATCAGCTATATATTGATATTTCATATTGGATCATGTATCTTTCATATTGGATCATGTATCTCACACACTTGCCAACAATATTCATATATGCATGTCATTAGCTGAAAATAACATAATAATAAAAATGAGTATTTTATTTATTCGACAATAACATAATAATAAAAATGAGTATTTTATTTATTTGACAGAACTGTCTACACAATACAGAGGGACCACAGTGTCAGATATGTAAAAGTGGTTACTATGGAGATGCTAGAAGGGGAACACCCAATGATTGCCAGGCATGCCCATGCCCACTTACAGACAGAGCCAATCAGTAAGTATCTCCATGAATAAATTACATACAAAGTCATATTTAAAGATAAGCAGAGCTGTTATACTCGCCCTGACATCGGCATCATTGTTGGTTAAGGTTTTTGAGGTTTTAGCTTGCAAGTTGGTATATCTTAAACTACTGAAAGGAATGGGTTGAAACTTCAGCACTTATTCCTCTGTATTATCTTACATGATTGGCACAGGTCCCAAAAGTCTAACTTTCTAATATTTTCACAGAGTTATGCTCTTTTTCTTACTGTGAAGTGCTGATAATAGATAAGTGCACTGTTTTTCGTGACAGATCTTGTTTTATTTCACAATGAGAGTTTTGTTTTTAATGATATATTTGTGTAATGAAAAAAAAATAGAAGTGTTTTATCTTAGTGGTTGACATATTTTACAGATTTAGTCATTCTTGCTTCTTGGATTCTGACAATGAGGTAACTTGTGCCAACTGTCCGGCCGGTTACGAGGGTCGTAGATGTCAGAGATGTTCCGAAGGATATGTTGGTGACCCTATGACCCCGGGCAGCTCATGCACTAAAGTTGAAGGTTTGTATTAGCTTTTCCAATACAATACAAGTCAATACAATACAATGCCATACAATATTTTATTTAGCATAAAACATTTGACAATGTTTTTAGCATACAAAGTATACATATACAAAGCGAACAAGGTTTACAGAAGAGTCTTTGCATGATTAGCAATATTTATTGAAACTTGAAGATAATTCAATTCTAATACAAGAAGAAGGATTGATCATTTGCAAGGCACAGTTGTAAGACAAAGGGGCATTATCTTGAAAAGCACCTTTTTAAATTTTTTGTTGAAATTAATTGGTTACTCTTGGAAATTTTTGAAAACAATCTAAAGATACTGTAAATAAATTTGGCATACTTGCTAAATGGAACAAGGACCTGGATAAGGATTGTATCTTAGTGATCCGTATTTATTGAGGTAAGTCTGCTTTTTCAATCAGAAGACAAATATTTAACAATTATTTTAACTATTTTTTCAGTTGAAGATTATTGTGATCCACGAGGAAGTTTGTCTACCCAGCCCAACCCTGTCACAAACAGATGTCAATGTAGAGTAAGGTTCTTTAAACATCTCACTACATGTTTTATTATATCCCCCACACTTCAAAAGTTGTAAGGGAGGTTTGCTGATTTATGACTGTATTGATTTTTGTCAGTCTGGCTTTATGTGTGGGCCTCTCTTAAACCAATTTACCAACTTTAATTGTCATGATGTCTTATTGTGAAGAATTTGTCCTTGACCCATAAATGACCTTGACCTGCTAGGTTAATTCCTTAAATTATGCTGGAATTTGTTGTAATTGGCTATTAATTAATGGATATATTTATTTCTACTTTGACACAACAACCTTTTTATCAATACCTTTAAGTACATGTAGGTGAAACTCTACTTTACCTTTATATGGCCTTGACCTTTATGGTAAAATCATTGAATTTGCTAAAATTGGGCATAATTCTGCTATTAATAATTGAATTTGATTCATACTTTGACAAAACTATGCTTGGCATAAAACATTCATGTTGAGCAACTCAAATGTAGTGTTGACTTTAACATGACTTTGATTATTGAATTTGCTAAAATTGACCATAACTTATTATTGAATACATTAGTTTATACAGAATTTATTTTAGTTTGATTGTGTAGGAACCTATAAGCTTTTAAGCACACTCTAAAAGCCAACCATTACTGAAGAAACTTATGAACCATTACTTAGGAAACTGGTTAGTTATCCGGGAAAGTGTGGCTCGGTAGACCGATCACAGAGATATGACCAAAGATCTGTTGAAATTATATAAAAACCAAAACAAAGCTATAAATGTATATTTTATAAGTGTGTTATAATTCTATACATATGTTTTGCAGGATAATGCTGCAGGTGAACGATGTGACACATGTAAGGCTAACACATTCTACTTGAGCAGTACGTATGACCTTGGCTGTGTCCAATGTTTCTGTATGGGTGTATCAAAACTTTGTCAGAGTACTACATGGAATAGAGCTCAGGTAAATTTAATAGATATAGTTTTTGGTTTCGTTTGCTAGAGTTATCATTCTTTATTAATGTACTTTGTATTGTAACCATGAAAAGTTATGAAATGGAATAAAGCTTAAGTGAATTGATACATGTACTTTGTATTTATTTCAAAAGTACTGAAGAAGTGCATTGACATGTAAAAAAGCCTTGGTAAAAAAAGAAGATCAATAATAAATTTATTCTAGTATGTCAGATATGATATATTTATTATTCCTGCATCAGATAAAATTGTGTTTCAATTGTAAACTGAAAACTTCAGTAGAATAGCGAATTCTCAAAAAATACGAATTTTTATTTTTGATAGGTTGGGTTGTCATTCACTAGAGACGAGGCTGGTGTAAAGATTACCGACATGAATGGCAAACCTCTATCAGACCAGAGACTGCTAACAACTGACACTAGTAACCGGGAAGTGATTTACCGAACCAGAGATTCGAATGAAGACACCTTGTATTGGTCACTGCCAACCAGTTTCCTTGGTGATAAGGTTACTGCCTATGGAGGTTCGCTGAGGTTCACTTTACGATACAACTCGCGCCAGGGCCAGGAAGTTGCTGAAGCCGAACCTTTGGTCAAGATTTCTGTGAGTGAATTTTGTTTCTTACATACTGCATTTGTACTTTATATTAGCACTATATTATGTATTATTTTCAAAAAAATTTGTTAAAAATAATCAAAACAAAACTGTGCTCAAAGTTGTTAAAGATAGGTTTGCAGTGATAAGACAGTGTGGTGTTGTTTTTGCTGTCATAATATAAATATATTTCATGCATTAATGAATAATTATTATAGCAAGCAAACTGTGATTAGCCAAAAAAGAAAAAAAAACACATAAATTTTAACGCTTTGAGTAAAATTTTCTCTTTTATAGATACTAAATAAATGTTAAAATTGCTCTGATCTCAATATGCAGGATTTATCTGAATTTCAAAGTGTACGTACAATATGAATATTCGCCAAATCTCTTGTCCGTTTTAAAGAGAAAAACTCATTCATTTCAATGATTTTAGTAAAACTTGCTCTTTTATAGAAACATTTCAAATGTTTAAAGTACTGTGATATAAAGCACCCTTGGTAACCCAGGCATACTTGTTACATAAACACTTCATTATCACGATGAATGTTGTACCAGGGTCCGAAAGATGATCTTCAGATGCAGGATTTATGTGTATTCCATGTTGTATTTGCAAAGTATATATTGGCTTAATTTGTTGTCTGCTCAAATGATGTTGATGCATATTTAATGATAGAAGCAAAATTTATTTCAATTTCAAATGGTAATTACCATGCCAAGATACAAAACGACTGCATTTAGTTGGCTAACAGCATTGTATGAAAAGAAAAAGACAGAATGACAGCCCAAACACACAAAATAAAACATAACATGATTATGTAAAAGTGCTGAGCAATCGTGAAAGTAATATCCCAGAAAGACATGATCTATTGACATGTTTGATATATTTTGTTTACAGGGTAATGATATAACACTGATACATAGAGGAGCATCAGATTTCCAGCCTACACGACCAACGGCAGTGAGTGTGATGATGTACGAGGTATGTATTTATTAAACTTTAACAAGTAGAGAATATGATAGCGAACAGCATGGATCCTGATCAGACTGCACGGATACGCAGTCTGGTCTGGATCCATGCTAGTCGCAAACGCACTACGTTGATTTTGTCGTGACACGGCTCAATTGAATTAAATACAGTCTAACTAGTCTACAAACACAAGGGTGATCTATTTCTTACAGGTAATTTTGTTTTGTGACCTTGCTTTAAAGTTAGAGTGACCCTGCTAAGGTCCAAGAGCCTAAAAACGTAGAATTTTATTATTTTACAACTTCATAAAGGAAAATATGCTGTAGATAATATAGAAATATACTCAGAATTAAATAGATCACTCTATATGTTTCGTCTTGTGAAATACTAGCTAAGTATAAAATCCATTTGACCCGAGTCAAACTTTGAATTCTTTCATGTGAGGAAGCTATCCAGCTAGCTTACGGAACGTCGGTGGTTCTACTCAGGTACCCGTTCGTGCCTGAAATAATGCACGGAAGGGCACCTGAGGTCTTCCTCCACCAGAAAAGCTGGAACATCGCGATATGACCTATACTGTGTCAATGTGATGTAAAACCCAAAAACAAACCCGAGTCAAATGCATGAAACAGATTGTGATGTTATATGATAAGCTTATTGTATTGTTTCAAAAATTTATTTATAGCCTCTTCCAGTAATGTATGGGTGGAAAAAAATTTAAATTAAAAAGACAAATATAACAGGAAGTAAATGTCTCATAGCCTTTCTATGCTGTTCAGGTCTTAATAAATAAAAGTGTTAAGATTTTGTATGTATTGAAGATGTTATAAAGATATGTGCATATTTTTCACTTTCTTAGCAAAATTGGTACAGAGTTGATGGTGAGAGGGCAACAAGAGAACATTTATTGATGGCCTTGGCTGACCTTGATTCCATCCTCATTAAAGCTACATTTGAGAAACCGCAGGTTGAGACTGGGTAAACATTTTGATTTCATTATCTCAGACATTAGAAAGATTTATCTTATTACTTGAATAGTAATATATTAGCTTGCTAATTTAGACAGTTTTCCTTATCTTGAATAGTATATACATGTTACTAGATGGGAGTCAGGCTATCTAAAGAATGTTAGAAGTAAAGGTATAATATTGAAGTGAAGTTAGTAGTCTTAATAATACAAAATATTGAAAGAAAAAGAATAATTATATCTCCCATATTGTTCTTGCTTAGACTGTATGTCCTTCCACATTAAGCTTGTCTGGCTTTCACAGGTCAAACTGCTGTTGGGATTTCAACCAAACTTCACAAGAGTGATCTGTACCATCCCATGTTGTGCATATCCCCGGCATGTTCTGCAATGCTGCCCAAACTGGCGGCAAGAGCTAAAAATACAAAAATTTTGTCCGCCTTTCTCAGGTCAAGCTGCTGGTGGGATTTCAACCAAACTTCACAGGAGTGATCCATTCCATCCCTAGTTGTGCATATTGCCGGCTTGATCTGCTTTGCTGCACAAAATGGCTGCCATAAATAAATAAAAATTCTTGTTAGTCTTTTAAAGGTCAAATTCCTGGCTGGATTTCAACCAAACTTCAAAGGAGTGATCAGTATCATACTTAGTTTTGGGAAACATGTTTTTGTGACTAAAACCCCTTCTAGTTTTTAATGCTCATAAAAAAACACACACAAAAAACAACAATATAAATGATTGATTATTTCGCAAATGTACAAATGATAAATTATTTTGCACATGTACTACAGATTACGAGATGTAACACTGGATATTGCTGAGAGCAGACAAACACGACAGGACCGAGCCTACGCTGTCGAGAGCTGTCAATGTCCTGTTGGTCACCGTGGACTATCATGTGAGGATTGTGATACGGGGTACACAAGATCCGGCCGTGGTCTCTACCTTGGTCTGTGTGAGCCGTGTAGGTGTAACGGACATTCCAATGAGTGTGATCCTGAAACTGGAGTTTGCAGAGTAAGTTAAAGTCATATAAACAGTGTGCTGATATCATAGTGTCCTGAAAACAGAAAATGAACTTTAAGGTGATGAATTTTGGATGTCAGTATTTCTTTTAATTTTCAAGCTTATCTTATCTGAAATAATGTACAATAATTTTAACTTGTCTAAAACAGGTAGTGCATAACAAGTAACAGTGTTACATGGCACTAAAGAAATGCATACATAGATTGGAAATAATGAAAACATGTAAAGTCACATGTTATAAAACAGATGCACCTCAATTGGTTTATGACCAGTACTGTATATTATATAAATTGGAGGTTCTTGAGATTAACTTCTTCGTATATTTGACAGACACTGGGTATTTTAAATATAAAGAAACTGGAAATGAAAATAAATAAATAAATATTTGCGATTTTTTATAATTTGAAATGTTTTATGCAATGAAATGACGAGTTATATATTTTTGTAAGTCAAATTTGAATTTGTATTATCATAACATTTCTAAAATCTGGAAATGAAATTTTACTTTATTTACTGAATTTTGATTGGTTAATTTGATTTGTCTCCCCTAGAACTGTCAACATAATACAGCAGGAGATAAATGTGAGTTGTGCGCTGTTGGTTACTATGGTAATCCTACACAAGGTAGACGTGATGATTGTCAGAGATGTCCCTGCCCACTTACAGAATCTCCAAATCAGTAAGTTATTTAGATATCTACCTTCATAGAGAAAAATATTTCTATAATATGTTTGTAACGTAGTATGTTGTTTGCTATTAATAGGTTACAGTGTATTGAGCATGACTCATGAATAACTATCGAAAAAATATCATGATTCTGTATATATCTGTATAACATACAATTGGTTGCCTCCATTTATCAAATTATTATACCCCCAAAAACGAAGTTTGGGGGGGTATATAGGAGTCACCCGGTGGTCGGTCGGTCGGTTGGTCGGTCGGTCGGTCCAGACGTCCGTTGCATTTTCCTTGTCCGGAGCATAACTTGAAGACTAATGGTTGGAATTCAATATAACTACATACAATGGTAAAGCACATTGAGAGGAAGTGCAGTGCACAAGAACCATAACTCTATCTTGACTAATTACAGAGTTATTGCCCTTTGTTACTTTTCCTTGTCCGGGGCATAACTTGAAAAGTACTGGTTGGAATTCAAAACAACTTCATACAATTGTCAAACACAATAAGGGGAAGTGCAGTGCACAAGAACCATAACTCTATCTAAAGTAATTACTGAGTTATTGCCCTTTGTTGCTTTTCCATTGCTTTTTTTTTGTCCGGACCATAACTTGAAGACTAAAAGTTTGAATTCAATATAACTACATACAATGGTCAAGCACATTGAGAGGAAGTGCAGTGCACAAGAACCATAACTCTATCTTGACTAATTACAGAGTAATTGCCCTTTGTTACTTTTCCTTGTCCGGGGCATAACTTGAAAACAACTGGTTGGAATTCAAAACAACTTCATACAATTGTCAAACACAATAAGGGGAAGTGCAGTGCACAAGAACCATAACTCTATCTAAAGTAATTACAGAGTTATTGCCCTTTGTTACTTTTCCATTGATTTTTTTGTCCGGACCATAACTTGAAGACTAATGGTTGGAATTCAATATAACTGCATACAATGGTCAAGCACATTGAGACGAAGTGCAGTGCATAAAAACCATAACTCTATCTTGACTAATTACAGAGTTATTGCCCTTTGGTACTTTTCCTTGTCGGGGCATAACTTGAAAACTACTGGTTGGAATTCAAAACAACTTCATACAATGGTCAAACACAATAAGGGGAAGTGCAGTGCACAAGAACCATAACTCTATCTAAAGTAATTACAGAGTTATTGCCCTTTGTTGCTTTTCTATTGCCTTTTTTGTCCGGACCATAACTTGAAGACTAATGGTTGGAATACAATATAACTTCATACAATGGTCAAGCACATTGAGAGGAAGTGCAGTGCACAAGAACCATAACTCCATCTTGACTAATTACAGAGTTATTGCCCTTTGTTACTTTTCCTTGTCCAGAACATAACTTGAAAACTACTGTTTGGAATTCAATACAACTTCATACAGTTGTCAAGGACATTAAAAGGAAGTGCAGTGCACAAGAGCCATAACTCCATTTTGACAAAATACAGAGTTACTGCCCTTTGATACTTTTCCTTGTCAGGAGCATAACTTAAAACGTTCTGGTTGGAATTCAAAACAACTTCATACAATGGTCAAGCACAATAAGAGGAAGTGCTGTGCACAAGAACTATAACTCAATCTTCAGTATTTATAGAGTTATTGCCCTTTGTTCCTTTTCTTTGTCTTTCTGGACTTATTACAGAGTAATTCAATTAAACTTCATCAATGGCCAACCACATTGAAAGGAAATGCAACATATAAGAACCACAACTAACTTGAATCGCCCACAACCATAACTCTATATTTCAATTCTTTTACAAGGTATTCTGTTACTAGTAACATCCTCATTTCCGAAGCAGTCTTGTGGGGGTATTAATCACATTTAGTGATAGTTCAAGTTTGATTACTGGTACAATTTAAAAAAAAAAAGTTGATTTGTAGAAAATAAACACCATCATAAACATTACTGCCATGTATGGTAAAACATAAAATTTTCTTTGATTTATGATAATTATTTGCACTGAAGATTGTAGCAAAATGTATACTAATCTAGATGCGAACATATTTTAGTTTATTTGGAAAAAACTGGGCAATAAAGAAAAATATGAAAAACAGTTTGACATTGAATGTTTTCTATTTTGAAAGGTTCAGCCCGTCCTGTATCCTGGATACAGATGGTCAGGTGACCTGTACTGCCTGCCCAGCCGGACACACCGGAAGAAGATGTGAAACGTAAGACTATTTTTATACTGGCAAGAATTATTGTTTTGCCATGTCCAATCTCTGTTGGTTAAAGTATTCTGATATTATTTGTTGTAACAAATCAACAGTTGAAAAAAGGACATAACTCTAAGTGACCATTTGAGACTGCATTGCTTTATGGACTTATACATTTTGTTGGAACCGCCTCCGTGGTCGAGGGGTTAGAGTCGATGACTTCTAATCCAGTTACCTCTCTGGCGTGGGTTCGATCCCCGGGAGATGCTTTGGTAGTTTAGGGCGGAGGAAGGTAGTCTAGTACTGGTGTAACTCTCCAGGAATGATGGTTAGGAAACTACCTACCTATATGACTGAAATACTGTTGGGAAAAGGGGTAAAATGAAACAAACAAACATTTTGTTGGCGGATACTACGAAATGGTTTTACATTTTATCTACAAAGGTCATCAGTTTATTAATTTCAGACTGATTGATTATGGTAGCGTATGTTTAAGCATAAATTTTGGTCAGAACAAAATAATTTTAAAAAAGAACAAAATATGGTGCAAATTATAAATAAATGTGATTTTAATTTCAGATGTGTACAAGGATATCAAGGAAATCCACTGAAACTAGGAGATTATTGTAGGATTAAAACAGGACCAACTTGTGATTGTGATTCTCGTGGTATTGTTCCTAACACACAGTGTGACGAAATTTCCCAACAGTGTCAATGCAAGGTACCAGCTATTCTTATGATATAGATATATTTTTTACATAGGGACTAACAAGGAGATGTGGCTACAGTGCAACCTCGACCCTGAAAGAGCAATTACCTTATTACAACAACAGTTTCATTTTTTGCTCAAAGTAAGGCTCCCCAATAAATTTAACCTATCTTGAGCAAAACCTCTCTGCAGCACTAAAATTTTTGTCCTCTTCTAGGATGTTTCTCTGCAAAATTTGTATTGGAAAAAAAACGTCCAGATGCTTTACATAGGCCTTTAGTAAGGAATGAAACATAATGTTCTTTGGATATGTTATTCATTAGACATATTTCTGACTAGGAAATGCTAATTTTCCTAGTTCTAATAGAATAACAGTATTTTTAACCATATGAAATGTGGCAGTGTTATAACATAAAAGCTTATTTTGGTTGTCTTTTTTTCTAAAACCAGAACTGTTTTATATTTTTTCAGCCATATGTTCAAGGTCTACGATGTGCCAGATGTAGGGAGGGACATTTCTATCTAGAGGCCAATAATCCCCAAGGTTGCCTCACATGCTTCTGTTCCGGTATAACAAACCAGTGTACTAGCTCTAACTACTACAGAGAAGCTGTAAGTACTGTTTACTTTAGGTCCAAGACTACAGAGTATTTTTTATGGGTCCAAAATAATATAATTTCAAAGACTAAAGAATATTATTTACTTTTGGTTAAAGACTAAAGAATATTATTTGATTTGGGTCAAAGACTAAGCAATATTATTTACTTTGGGTCAAAGACTAAACAATATTATTTACTTTGGGTCAAAGACTAAAAAAACATTATTTACCTTGGGTCAAAGACTAAAGAATATTATCTATTTTGGGTCAAAGACTAAAGAATATGATTTATTTGGGTCAATGAAATATCAGACTTGCAGAAATTTTTCCATTATCTTTAGTTTTATAAAAGTTTACATTTCGTTAATGCAGCTTCGACCTGTACTTGGAACTGATGGCACTCACAACTTTGTATTGATGAATAGACGTATGAACAACATCATAAGTGATGGCTTTGTTGTTGACGCTAATCGTAATCAGGTAACCTTCAACAACTTTGAAGGTGTACAACAAGAAAGAGAGAGCTTATTCTTCCAGCTTCCGGCCAAGTTCCGTGGTGATCGGGTCACATCATACGGTGGTTACCTGAGGTTTACTCTAGAGTTCTCTGCTAGGCCAGAAGGAAGAACTTATCGTGATGTGGATTTGGAAATAATTGTAAGTTTTATTGATTGCTATGTAAAATGCCATATAAAAGTCACCTGTGGATTAAGGATGTATAATTGTTACTTTTAATATTGTTTAAGCCTGTTTTCTGTAAATTTTAATGAAAATTTGTCTGTGTAAATTCTAGATTTTACAAATTGCCAAAAATATACCTGAAAAGTTCCCTTGTTAAGGTACCCTCATTATTTTATAAGATGACTTACAAGATTTTAAATGTATGTTTTAACGAAGTTTCCTGACAGGAGTTTATGATAATATTTTGTATATAATTTGCAGAGTACCGGACAAGCCCTGAGACTGTACAACTTGTTTGAGCCAGGATTACAGGAGGGTAGAACACAGACTTACGAAATCTTGCTGAGAGAGGTGAGGTTCTCTATATTGTATCATTCAATGTTTATGTCTTGTCTCAGACACTGCCTCATCTTTATTTTTTAAATTGTCATTCCAAATATTTATATATTTTTAAAGTCAATGATTTTAAATATTAGAATAATTGTATTATTATCATTTTCTAGATTTAGATTGCTTGTTTTCCATACCACAGTGTACTTGTATGATGTATAAGATATTTCGATTTAAAGTTTTATCATGAAGAAATCAAAAAATTTCTTAAAATGAAATCCTTTATGCACCTACATGTATGGTCATAACTGCATGTTTAAGTATTATTTCAGGTAGAAATGTGTTTTCTATTTCATAAGTGGATTTTACAATGATTTTAGTTTAGAAATGTTTTAGAATGTGTAAGAATGTTTAAATGGAAGAAGTGTTTAAAAGGAAGTCTATTATTCTGTCACAGGGATTGTTTTTTTACTCCTGATACATATAACAGAAGCAGACAAATAAACTTACCATGAAGTATCAATTTTGTGTCTTTTTTTTTCAGAGCTCATTTAACGACCTAAGAAGTAATACCGCACCAACAAGAGAAACTTTCATGACAATATTGTCAGATATTGCTGGAATATTGATCCGTGCCACATATCATCAGAAAATGGCCTCGGTCACTCTGAGAGATGTCAGTATGGACACAGCTGTTGCCTCACCAACCAGTTAGTACCTGTACTATATATTGATAACAGAATGTTATTTTAAAACCTAAACAGTTTCTTACACCTGTGAAGCTGGGATGTAACTATATAACATCTAAGTTCAAAACCACTTGCTCCTCACCGCAGTTGGTTCAAATTCTGCCAAGAATATCGGATTCTTTCATGTGAGGAAGCTATCCAGCTAGCTTACGGCAATGTCTGTAGTTCTAATCAGGTGCCCTTTTGTGCCTGAAATATTTCATAGATGTGCACTTAAGGTCTTCCTCCACCAGTACATCTGGAAATATGCAATATGACCTTTGTTTTACAAGTTATAAGGTTACAAACAGATACTTTCAGATTCTCCTTTATTATGATGAGATGTATTTTTGAAGATAACCAATAAAAAATTTACGTAATACTTTCATAGATCTTGGTGGTGCACCAATGGTAGAGGACTGTCGCTGTCCAGAAGGTTATACTGGACTCTCATGTCAGCGATGTGCTGATGGTTATCTCAGGGTATCTGACGGAAGAGGCGGTGTTGGACGTTGTGTAAGATGTAACTGTAATGGACATGCTACATCATGTGACCCAGATTCTGGACGATGTCTGGTAAACATTTTTTTAACTGATGCATTTGATTTTAATTGGAATTTGTTAGACTTACATTGCAGAGTTCATACATTTTGAAATATATTTAATTTTGTACCATTTAAAAACCTTTTAGATAAATGCACTCAGTAGATTTAATAGATGATTTGCAAAGATTGATTTATTGTTATATATGCATAAAACAAAATTCTAAGTTAATTGTAAAACCTGTCTGGTAGGGTTTTAAATCTTAAAACCTAAAGAGAGTTTGCTTACTCTTATTAAGCATTTGCTTGCCAAAAAATAATGCATTTAGGGAGCACTCAAGGTTATTCCAAACAAGGAAACCTTTAAAGTTGTCATATGACTTGTCTGTCTGTCTTTCTGTCTGACTTTAAAGTAAACCCTAAAGAAGAGAAACAAAAGATATATCATTGTTTTCTATATTGTTAATGTTTCAGGGATGTCAACATAACACAGAAGGTGATCGTTGTGAGAGATGTGCCACTGGTTTCTATGGTGATGCTACATCAGGCACTCCCAATGATTGTCGTGCTTGTCCATGCCCCCTTACAATATCTCCAAACCAGTAAGTAAAACTGTTGTCCATGCTCTCTTATAATGTTGTCCATACCAGTTAGTAAAACTGTTGTCCATGCCCCCTTACCATATCTCCAAACCAGTAAGTAAAACTGTTGTCCAGACCAGTAAGTAAAACTGTTGTCCATGCTCTCTTACAATATCTCCAAACCAATAAGTAAAACTGTTGTCTATGCCTTCTTATAATATCTCCAGACCAGTAAGTAAAACTGTTGTCCATGCTCTCTTACAATATCTCCAAACCAGTAAGTAAAACTGTTGTCTATGCCTTCTTATAATATCTCCAGACCAGTAAGTAAAACTGTTGTCCATGCTCTCTTACAATATCTCCAAACCAATAAGTAAAACTGTTGTCCATGCCCCCTTACGATATCTCCAAACCAGTAAGTAAAACTGTTGTCCATGCCCTTTTATAATATCTTCAAACCAGTAAGTAAAACTATTGTCCATGCCCCCTTACGATATCTCCAAACCAGTAAGTAAAACTCTTGTCTATGCCCTGTTATGATATCTCCAGACCAGTAAGTAAAACTGTTGTCTATGCCCTCTTATAATATCTCAAAAACAGTAAGTAAAACTGTTGTCTATGCCCTCTTATAATATCTCCAGACCAGTAAGTAAAACTGTTGTCTATGCCTTCTTATAATATCTCCAAACCAATAAGTAAAACTGTTGTCCATGTCCTTTACAATGTCTCCAAACCAGTAAGTAGAACTGTTGTCAGTGCCCCCTTTCAATATCTCCAAACCTGTAGGGATTACTGTTGTCCATATCCATTTACGAAATCTTCAAGGCACTAAGTAAAACTGTTGTTCATGCATTCTTACAACATTTCTAAGGCATTAAATGTTATTGATGCCTATCTTACTTTTCTTGTCAGAACCACAACTAAAAAATTGTTTAAGGAGTTGAAAGAAATGGAACATTTAATGAATATGGATTTTTAGTTATTTTTCTGGTAAATAAATATATGTGAGATTTTCCTATCTTTGCTGTTGGTTAGTTGATGTAGAAATGTGCAATTATTTCAGGTTTTCACGAACATGTTACCTGGCAGAGGATAATCAAGTCACCTGTGACAGATGTCCAACAGGATATAGCGGAAGACAATGTGAAGTGTAAGTACACTGTTTTCTTTCGTTAATCTTTCTTTTTTTAGCAGGATATTTCTTATATATGATAATTTGCTATTTCAATAATTTGTTTCCTTGTGAATTTTTATGTTCTGAATTGTTTGAAAATAACAAAATACTAAATATATAGCTAATTATAATTTTTGTTTTGTTAGTTGTGATGAAGGCTATGTTGGAGATCCTACCCAGCCAGGAGGTTCTTGTAGACGCCAGGACACAGACTTGCGCCCAGGTGTTAATGTATCCCCTGTCAGAGTGGAGGAACCATTGGGCTCTACTGTTGTTTATCAGGTAAACTGATACATTGTGATAATATATTTCTTGGTACTTGTTGTCATTATTTGATTTAGTGACGTCTTTTTGTTGTTAAGCCTTTGTATGATAAGACAGTCTACCTTCATTTACACCTTTATAGAAAGACAGTTTGAGATTTTCTAGGAAAATTAACTTAACTTGTCAAACTGTTAAGTCCATGCCATATTTGCTATCAAAATAGTTTATTAATAATCTTCTAAGCATGCAGTATTTCCAAAATAATACATGTTTGGACTGTTTTGGTTGAAATGTGAAGAAAGGACAGCATGCAAGTAGGATTGGATGTGGGGCAAATGTATTAAGAATTCTGATTTTAAATCAGTTGGTCCTGATCAGTATATAAGTTCTAATTTAGCCAGGAAAGATGAACTGTTTGATATGGCGAAGCTATGAAATTGTAGAAGGTTTATGGCTACATTCAGATGCCTGATCATGCTGGAAATAATGAAAGAAGGGGTCACCTAGGAGCTTTCTGTCCTTATTAATGCCTCAAAGTTCCTGTAACTGTGTTAAACTGAGTAAATTTTACTGATCATGCTTGAAGTAATGAAAGAAGGGGTTTTCTCTCCTAATGGATGCCTCAAAGTCCCTGTTACTGTGTTTAACTGAGTTATTTTTACTGAAAAGAAACATGTTTTTAGAATGTTGATATGAAGTGTATTTTGTTTGATTTTTCAGTGTCAAGTGACCGGTGAGGGACCATTTAATGTTGTATGGAGCCGACTGGACAGTAGACAATTACCAGACAGATCGACGGTCAGTCCCAGATATTCTCTTACTATCCGAAATCTAGAGAGAGATGATACTGGCAGATACATATGTACTGCTACAAACAGATACGGTGTTACAAGACGGGAGGTTGAACTTATCGTCATTTCTGGTAAGTCAAAAGCTTAGAGGTACAAATCAATAAAATCTAGCTTGATTATACCTTAAACATGGAAGGCAGATGTCAGGCAAGGAAAAAGCTGTTTTGGGCGTTTTATTGACATCAGTTGCTATACAAATGTGGATAAAGATCAGTCTATTACATGCATTTGTAGGAAAATTGAAAGAAATTTTACCCCCTTGTGTTCCGCAACCACCATTTATCCCTGCTTGATCATAAGAGGCAAATAAATGGGTTCAAATTACTGGAGTCTGTGTTTCTCTTAGCTCCAGCAGGTGAAGTGGTTTTGCCCCTGGTGTTGCTTTATTTTGTAAAACCCGAGGCTAGCCAAAATCATCTTTCCTGTTTTGGTGCCATACGACCTATATGGTGTTTGCGCGCCATAAAAACAAACAAAATATCAAAGAAATTCTATGACACAGCCTTCATTCTGCCTATGACTCTACATGTATATAAAAACTTAAGTTAATGCCCTTATAGACAATTTGTTCTCCATACAAAGAAATTATTATGGGAGGTAAAATTTATGAAGACTCAATGAAGAAATATTTTTAGTCTAAGATTTTATTCAGTTGGTAGTTTGCCATATAACCTAATCTATATCTGCATCGTTTTATCCTAGAAAAATGTTATAAAAACTATATGGAATATTTTACTTTCAGGACGTCCATCTCTCCAAGTCAGAATTGATAAAACACGTCTAGAGATAGAAGAAGGAAGGTCTGCTAGATTTGTATGTACCATAGTTGGACAAACTAGAGAGGTTAGTCAAGTTTTAAAGCATTTCTATAGTGATATCTCTCTAAATTGAGCTAAAGGTCATCTGCATAAATTGAGTTAAAGGTCATCTGCATAAATTGAGTTAAAGGTCATCTGCATAAATTGAGTTAAAGATCATCTGCATAAATTGAGTTAAAGGTCATCATCATGAATTGAGTTAAAAGTCGTCTGCATAAATTGAGTTAAAAGTCATCTGCATAAATTGAGTTAAAGGTCATCTGCATAAATTGAGTTAAAAGTCATCTGCATAAATTGAGTTAAAGGTCATCTGCATAAATTGAGTTAAAGATCATCTGCATAAATTGAGTTAAAGGTCATCATCATGAATTGTGTTAAAGGTAATCTGCATAAATTGAGTTAAAAGTCATCTGCATAAATTGAGTTAAAAGTCATCTGCATAAATTGAGTTAAAGGTCATCTGCATAAATTGAGTTAAAAGTCATCTGCATAAATTGAGTTAAAAGGTCATCTGCATAAATTGAATTAAAGGTCATCTGCATGAATTGAGTTAAAGGTCATCATCATGAATTGAGTTAAAGGTCATCATCATGAATTGAGTTAAAGGTCATCTGCATAAATTGGGTTAAAGGTCATCTGCATAAATTGAGTTAAAAGTCATCTGCATAAATTGAGTTAAAGATCATCTGCATAAATTGAGTTAAAGGTCATCATCATGAATTGAGTTAAAGGTCATCTGCATAAATTGAGTTAAAGGTCATCTGCATAAATTGAGTTAAAAGTCATCTGCATAAATTGAGTTAAAGGTCATCTGAAAATAAATTGAGTTAAAGATCATCTGCATAAATTGAGTTAAAGGTCATCATCATGAATTGAGTTAAAGGTCATCTGCATAAATTGAGTTAAAAGTCATCTGCATAAATTGAGTTAAAAGTCATCTGCATAAATTGAGTTAAAGGTCATCTGCATAAATTGAGTTAAAGGTCATCTGCATAAATTGAGTTAAAGTTCATCTGAAAATAAATTGAGTTAAAGATCATCTGCATAAATTGAGTTAAAGGTCATCATCATGAATTGAGTTAAAGGTCATCTGCATAAATTGAGTTAAAAGTCATCTGCATAAATTGAGTTAAAAGTCATCTGCATAAATTGAGTTAAAAGTCATCTGCATAAATTGAGTTAAAAGTCATCTGCATAAATTGAGTTAAAGGTCATCTGCATAAATTGAATTAAAGATCATCTGCATGAATTGAGTTAAAGGTCATCTGCATATATTGAGTTAAAGGTCATCATCATGAATTGAGTTAAAGGTCATCTGCATAAATTGGGTTAAAGGTCATCTGCATAAATTGAGTTAAAAGTCATCTGCATAAATTGAGTTAAAGGTCATCTGCATGAATTGAGTTAAAGGTCATGCTCAGAGAATTTTATATCAATTTATTTTGCAGATACTGAATGTAATGAAATGTTACTGTTTGAACAGTTGTTTTAGATGTATTTGCTTTTGGCATTACTTTGGTGATGCATTTTAGCTTGAAATTTATGGTTACTTTCATTGTTCAATTTTGGCCTACATTTTGTCATAACTTTGTACATTTTTAGAAGCATTCTTTTAAGAATTGGTGTCCTATTTTCAGATATCCCATAATTTGTGATGATTTGTTTTTCGGAAATAACTTAACATTTTTTCACGAATCAATTTTTTCATTTGTCAGATGACATACATTCTGTCATGGAATAAACAAGGAGGCCAAATGCCAGCCAAGGCAATAGATCAGAATGGTGTTTTAGTGATACCAAATGTTCAGAGGAGTGATGCTGGAAACTATGTGTGTATGGGATCCGACATGAACTTTATTGATGAAGCTGTAGCTGTTCTCATTGTGTCTGAAGGTATAGTATAATACTTCACATTTATAATGTCGCTTTTCATTGGATAATTATGACATTTATATAAACTATGTACTATATAAACTATGTACTATATTAACTATATACACGCTACTGTCAGTTCATGAAGTCATTTCATTTTTTTTTTATAAATGAAGGAAGTTAACTGTTTTATAAGTTTTTTTTATAAGAAATATTGATAGGTTACATGACTGTGTATATAAATGGTTGCTTGTGATTCTGGTTATATATATGCAACAGCCATTTATATAGGGCCATATAAACTGTGAAAAATCTTTATTTCTAATATTATACTCCTGGAATATAAAGATGGTAATTTAGTTAGTTTTCATGTATATCAGGACAATATATTACACAAAAGAGAATGTCTGAGATTGAAATTTGAATTAGCACTAGAATTGAAATTTGATGGGTATGGGCTACATAATTATGTTTAAATTCTGACATTGGCATTGAATCATGTTTAAGATTGGGAAGTAAGGATTGAATTTGTGAAAACTCAGAAATGTTCATGGAATAAGAATGAAAAATTAGGAGTATAGAAATACATGTTAAATATAGAGTCGAGGTGTAAAAACAAAAAGTCAAGGTGAAAATTATTACGAGTTATATTTGTTGGAACTAGTGAGATTTGAATATTTGGAGTTAAGTTTAAATTTGAGGGATATAGATTCAAAAGTCATGTCTGATATATATGAGCCCCGTCATGACAAAACAAACATAATGGGTTTGCGACCAGCGCAGTCTGATCAGGATCCATGCTGTTCGCTTACCTAATCTATTACAAGTTGAGAAACTGATAGCGAACAACATGGATTCTGATAGCGAACAACATGGATTCTGATCAGACTGCGCAGATGCGCAGGCTGGTCTGGATCCATGCTGGTCGCAAACCCACTATGTTGGTTTTGTCATGGCATGGCTCATATATATTTTAAGGTAAGGTCATAATCATGTCAGTTTTGTATTGATATCTTTGTTTTAATATAGGAGAAGATAAAGCGCCAACTGTAAGAATTGAACCAAGATACCAGAAAGTCGACGAAGGCTCTCGGGTGCGTTTCACTTGTATTGCAACCGGAGAACCGGCTCCTAGGATAGAATGGTACCGTGGAAACAACAGAGAGATGAACCCAGAGGCCACAATCACGAGTGATGGAGTTTTCACAATTCCTCGTGTAAGACAAGAGGACGAGTCAGATTATTACTGTAAAGCTACAAATGACCTTGGCACGACAGAACTCAGGACAATTCTTTATGTAACAAGAGGTAAAATGTGTATGTTTTTATTGCAAATAGAAGAATATAATGTTTTGTTAATGAAAACTGAATATGTTTGTTAGTATACAACCATGATCATACTTTACCTAAAAATATGAAAGACTGAAGTATCATTACAATTTGAAAATTGAGTATTTCAATTAAACAATTAAGATTACTGTTGAATCCATTATGTAAATGAATAAGTGTATGAAATAAAAAATTATACTGTAAGCAAGGTAACTTTTAGGCATGTAGGGCCATATGTTCTTACTCTTGTTATATATTATTGTTTTGTAATTACTGAATTATTGATAAAACACATTTCACTATTATACAGTTTATCATATCTTACATTTTTGCAGTTGAGAGACCAGAGATTACAATCATTGTAAGACAGACTAAGTACGTAAGTATCATCGGAGAAACTGCTCGTCTTGAATGTTACACGGAAGATGCGACCGGTAGAGTTACGTTATTCTGGTCTCGGTCTAGTGGACTACCTTCCGGATCATCACAAGATAACGGTATCCTGACAATTCCGAATGTTCAACCAAGCTATGCTGGTAACTATGTTTGTACCGGAACAGACAGGGAAAGTGGACGTGTTGGTACAGCAGTAGCCGTTCTTGATGTGCAGATTGAGGAAGAAAGTATGTTATTGTCTTAATATTCTTTTCATGGTTGATTTTATTTAAAAGAAGTGTTTATCTTATGTATATACATTTTTTTGCTTTCATCAGTTGTTAGAATTAGCTAAATAGATTATAACAACCTATTAATAGCTGTTTAATGTGCATTAGAGTTTCATTACATTTCCGTTTTAAAATGCTTCTGGTTGAATTGGTGATTTGGATTCTTGTCAAATATATATATCTTCTGTATATAACAATATATTGGCTTTTAACAATTGTTTGAATAACGTTAAGGGGTGTCCATGGTTGAATGCTTTGGGTCGTTGACTCCAAACCACTTGCCCCTCACCGCTTTGGGTTTGAATCCTTACAGGGACTTGTGATTCTTTCATGTGAGGAAGCTATCCAGTTAGCTTACAGAACGTCAGTGGTTCTACTCAGGTGCCCGTTTGTGCCTGAAATAATGTACAGAAGAGCACCTGAGGTCTTCCTCCACCAGTAAAGCACAGCTTTGGCGGCACTTAAATTGAAAAAGATGAAAAAAAAAGAACAATAAAGAAATATAATTATCAGAATTAAATTGAAAATTGATATTGGTTTTATTCTTAGCCCCAATTTGAGTTAAAAGGATTAAAACATTTTTCATTTTTAAATAAGGTTATTATGCATGATGAAAATGATATATAATTCCGAAAAATGGAGTGAGCAATGATCTGAAATTTCCCTTCACACCATTTTAAATACACTTCTGGTCTAATTTGTTTTGTTAGATGTTCCTCCTACTGTAAGCCTGGAACAAGAAAAGATAACTATTCCAATGGGAACCACTGGTACTCTGCGTTGTACAGTGACAGGAAAACCAGAACCAAAGATTACATGGCTCAAGTCTAGGGAAGACCTGTCATCCAATCACCAGGTATGATAATTTTATGATATCTTTCATTGGTCAGTGTCAAATTTGAAATATGAAATGTTGTTTAAGGTGTTAAAAATTAGAAACTAGGTTCTTAAAAAGAATGATATAAATAATGATGTCATTGAAAGTAGTTACATTTATTCAGTTTTTCTTCGGACACAGAGTGCCTTAGGTCATTGACTTCAAACCGCTTGCCTCTTACTGATGTAGGTTCAAATCCCGCCAAGGCCTTGGATTCTTTTATGAGAGGAAGTTGTTAAACTAGCTTACGGATTAGAATATTGGTGTTTCTACTAACCCTAACCAAAAAAAAAAAAAAAAAAAAAAAAGAAAAAGAACACCCTTCATTGCATCACTGATTCTTTTAACAAATGTATTTACTACAAAGTCTGGACTAGCTGAAAAAAAAAATGCAAGGCATGATTGCATGTACAACATGAATAACTTTTTGAAATATTTTTTATGCCCCCCTTCGAAGAAGAGGGGGTATATTGTTTTGCTAATGTCGGTCTGTCTGTCTGTCGGTCTGTCCGTCGGTCTGTCCGTCGGTAGACCACATGGTTTCCGCTGATTATCTTGAAAAGTATTTATCACAAAGTCTTCATATTTTACATAGTGATTGGTCATAACTAGTAGATGACCCCTATTGATTTTGGGGTCACTAGGTCAAAGGTCAAGGTCACAGGGACCTTAAATGGCAAAATGGTTTCCGCTGATTATCTTAAAAAGTATGTATCACAAAGTCTTCATATTTCACACAGTGAGTGGTCATCACTAGTAGATGACCCCTATTGATTTTCGGGTCACTAGGTCAAAGGTCAAGGTCACAGGGACCTTAAATGTCAAAATGGTTTCCACTGATTATCTTGAAAAGTATGTATCACAAAAGTCTTCATATTTCACACAGTGATTGGTCATCACTAGTAGATGACCCCTATTGATTTTGGGGTCACTAGGTCAAAGGTCAAGGTCACAGGGGCTTTAAATGTCAAAATGGTTTCCGCTGATTATCTTGAAAAGTATTCATCACAAAGTCTTCATATTTCACATTGTGATTGGTCATCACTAGTAGATGACCCCTATTGATTTTGGGGTCACTAGGTCAAAGGTCAAGGTCACAGGGGCCTTAAATGTCAAAAGGGTTTCCGCTGATTATCTTGAAAAGTATTCATCACAAAGTCTTCATATTTCACCTAGTTATTGGTCATAAGTATTAGATGACCTCTATTGATTTAGGGGTCATTAGGTCAAAGGTCAATGTCACATGGGCCTTAAATGTCAAAATGGTTTCCGTTGATTATCTTGAAAAGTATTTATCACAAAGTCTTCATATTTCACATTGTGATTGGTCATCACTAGTAGATGACCCCTATTGATTTTGGGGTCAAAGGTCAAGGTCACAGGGGCCTTAAATGTCAAAAGGGTTTCCGCTGATTATCTTGAAAAGTATTCATCACAAAGTCTTCATATTTCACCTAGTTATTGGTCATAAGTATTAGATGACCTCTATTGATTTAGGGGTCATTAGGTCAAAGGTCAATGTCACATGGGCCTTAAATGTCAAAATGGTTTCCGTTGATTTTTCCATAATTGAACACTTCCATGTACCCATTTTTGGCAAGTTTCTTTAATAAAATTACCAATTATGTGAGTCAATGGCTAGAAAGGGGGTTATATGTGTCGTTCGACATTCTTGTTTTTTGAACTTCTGACTTTTTACATGGAATTGAATTTATCAGTTGTGAAATATAAGCTTATTTACTATACTATACTATAAGACTATTTACTATGCTATTTACAGGTTAATGGTAATGTGCTTAGAATCACCCAGGCAACGATGGCTGACCGAGGTATTTATGTGTGCCGTGCCGAAAATGCCGCTGGTTTAGACCAAGATTGGACTGTTGTTGAAGTAGAAAGTAAGTTAGCTAGAAGCATACTTTTCCTTGTCATTGAAATTTATATATTTCAAGATAAGTGAAAGTTAACTTTTGGAAAAAAAAATCAGTTTTTGGTTTTAAGATTTTATCTTTTACTAAAACAGTTATTGATTTAATTTTTACAACCAATTGGTTTGATTTTTCATAAAGAAACTGTCCAGTTTGCACGATTTGAATAGTGATTTACTCTAAATAATCTACTATGTTAACATCAAGAACTAAATATATGTTTTAATAACATCTTATAAACTAACCACTGTTTTTGGTTGTTGTTTTTGTGTTTTTTTGCTCAATTATGGTAGTGATTTACAAAATGGGATTTCTTTTGAAGTTTTCATTTCATGAACTCAACTAGAGTAGTTAAAGCTTTTGTGGCTAAGTTATTGCTATTGTCTTCATAGTAACCTTTCCCTCACATCCATGTTGAAAAATGATTGATACAGTCTCAAGGACTTCATCACAATCAAACTTAAACTAGAATAATATATTAAAATGGTAACTATGTTACAGGACGCATGAGGCCAAAGATTGACCTTTATCCTAACACAACTCAGCGTGTGGCTGTAGGTAGCAGTGCATTGTTCCAGTGTAGAGTTATGGATGGTGATCCGCCACCAAGAATCTCATGGTCCAGGTAATACTTTATTGGACAGCTTTATATAAGGGACACTACTGTCATGCTTATTACAAACTTTTGTAAGGTACAATTAATATTAAAAGAAAATGATTGGCATGCTACATTATAAGATTTAATTGAATGATATAAAAAGATATATATCTTTAAAGTATTGAGTCTTATTCTGAATAGGTATAAAACATTTCAACAGGTTATATGGCCCAGTACAAATGGTTGTAAGGTTATATAACCTGAGCAGTTATATAACCTGGATTGTTATATTACATGAACTGTTATATAACACAATCTGTTATATAACCTGATCTGTAATATAGACCTGACTAAGCTGTCATATAGACCTGACTAAGCTGTTATATAGACCTGACTAAGCTGTTATATAGACCTGACTAAGCTGTTATATAGACCTGACTAAGCTGTTATATAGACCTGACTAAGCTGTTATATAGACCTGACTAAGCTGTTATATAGACCTGACTAAGCTGTTATATAGACCTGACTAAGCTGTTATATAGACCTGACTAAGCCGTTATATAGACCTGACTAAGCCGTTATATATACCTGACTAAGCCGTTATATAGACCTGACTAAGCCGTTATATAGACCTGACTAAGCTGTTATAGAGACATGAGCTGTTAGATGACTGATGAGGCTGAACCTTATAAAAGGTTTTGAGGTTCTATTTCCATGGCTTCTTTAGGCTGACATAATGCAGGTAGTTATTCCATGATGTTGCTCTACTTGTTCACCTGGAGAAAGTCACCAAATGATATTATCAATGTTATTGCATGTTAAAACCCAGGCAGACATATATTTTAACTATATTTGTATGTATATTATAGAGTTGGAGGCACCCCTATGCCAGCAGACAAAGTGGAGACAATGGACAATGGTGTAATCATGTTTAAACAAGTAAGCCAAGCTGAACAAGGTGGTTATATTTGTACAGCAGAGAATGAGATGGGATCAACCACAGCTACTGCAACACTTATTGTAGAAGGTAGGTTTCATCCAGAGAAATCATTTTACAGTAAAAAAAACAAGACTAAAGATCAACAAGACAAAGGCTACATTCAAAGGACAAATAAATTTAGTTATTGGCAATATAAAAACCGATTTAGTTCATACAAACACTGTTTGATAAAGTTCAAACACTGCACTAGTAAATTACAAACAATACTCCAAAATACATATTCCTTGCTTAAGAAAGCAGTCTTGAAGATAGTGAAGAAAAAAACTTTAGGTAAAACATAGACCATGTTTGATTGAATCTGTTTGTAAACATGTATGTAGCCATGTTCCCAAACATTGTATCTGTGAAAATGGAAAAACCAACTTTGTTTGGTTAAGGATGTTCATAAAACCTTCCTGATCCCTTGGAGGGAGATATCCAAAATTAAACATATTTGTATAACTAATTTAAACAAAAATAACAAATATTTGCACAATATGTTTGTTTTTAGGTCCACCCACAATAACTATCCAGCCTAGTAAAACAGTGTACGCTCTGATTGGTCAGCGTGTTACACTTGAATGTACAGCAGACGGCGACCCTATTCCATCTGTATACTGGATAGAACCAGTACGACGTGGCCGTGGTGATGTTCCCCTTGAAGTTGACCCATCCACCCCGGAACGTTCCTTTGCAGGCACTGCAATTGTTGATATTGCAAGTGTAGAAAGGGACGATCAGGGAACATATACTTGTGTAGCTTCAAATACAGGTGGACGAACGGAAGATAGAGTTCAGCTTGTTGGTATGTAAACTATTACTTATCCATTTATATAATTCATTAAAGTGTTTACTCTGGTTGTGATTTACTGGATGACGTGATGTGCTAGAGTGAAAGGCTTCCAATACAAACACATGATATGTTAATGGAAAAAGTTTAACTGATGCATTAATTTCAAGCCTGTACGTTTAACAATTGCGTATAGTTAAATAATTACTAAATGATATATAAAGTTAGTCAGATTAGTTTTGTTTGAATCTGTTTTCTTGTAGTCCTTTCAGTACAAAACAATACTGTATAAGTGAATATTTTTACATCACATAAAGTTTGTGAATGTCAAAAAATGGACCTTTTACATAGTAACTGGTGTAAAGGTAAATTGGCAACCAAAGACTTTAATTAAGTTGATGTAACTTTTGCTGACTCAATTGTGTTGATTGGCAAACATCGCAAATATTTCCACGCTGAAAATAAAGCACTTATACAGTATTAGGCCAGATGGTTTTTGCTGACAAAAATAAGTCTATTGCTGTTGTTTCAAATGAGTAAATGAAGAGAGTTGTAATTTATATGAGATAAATTATAGATGTTTTACTGTTCCAGAGTCCAGGAACAATTGTTTAGTGCCAATAAAAACATGTTATATAAATGATTATCTCCCTTTTTCAGTACGTGAAGGGGAAGGCAGGGGAGTGTCTATTGGTGGTCCAAGCACATTGTCAGTGGTTGAGGGACAAAGTGTAGAACTTATCTGCTCTGCCAATGGTATTTTGCTTCTTTTTGTTTGAATAAATCAAACCATATTAAATACTTAGAGAGATGTATTAACACAAAAACAATCCCGAAATCTCTACGAGTCAACCTTACACCCCAAGTACCGGTCATCAACTCATTATTACAAATTGAATGGGAAGAAGCTCACATTACGTTCGGTCTAAGATTATGCTCAATTTTATTACAGTATTGGAAGAACAGAAAGGAAATAATCATAAAAGAAATGGAAACTGTCAACACAGATTTAAATAAAATCACATCACAAGACCAAATTAATCTCATCACCGATATAGCAAAGATTACACTCAATGTGGAAAAAGAACTTAATAACAAGAAAAAAAGTCCAGAACAATGATTTCATCCACATAACTCTTGGAAAAATATCATAGATAGTAAAATATTTATATAAACCGTAAAATCTTGCAGAAAATTGTAAATAATTGGGCCTCATTTTCGAGAGGATATGGATTCCTCCCACATGGCCTTAAATAGAAATTCACCCTGGATATATTCTTACACTAATTGAACACTTTTTGTAAGACAATTAACTATTTAAGAAGATTACAGATACTTTATACTAATCAAAGCTCTTCAAAACCCATTTATACTTGAGATTGAAAGAACCAACAGCTAAAATATCGTACCAGAATTTAAGTTATACATGTACATTTGTTACAAAAATTACATAAAGCAATCATCCACAGGAAATCCCAATTAACGTCTACATATTTACTCATAACAATGAAGAATTGTAGTTTGTTAATACTGAAACCAACTAATTTTTCCTCAGTAACTATATTAAATCAACCTAAGACTACAAAGTTAGAACTACATTTATGCAAAACAATCATTAAGGTTAATATGAACACTTAAACCATGCTGTAAAATGGTCATTGACATAGATATGATCTGTGGTTATCTATTTTATATGGAAAAATAACTTGGCACTTTGCCCAGAAAAACTTGGCACTTAGCCCAGATAAACTCATTTATATGTCTATTTATAGTAACATACGTCACATTCTGTAGCCGCATTTTTAGTACTTCAGTAATCATTTTTCTTTGAAATATATCCTGATGAAGGTCTTGAAAGACCGAAACCGGTAGATCCTAGAATAAACCAGTTATAAACCATCCTGATGTTTGATGTGTATTCTCTCCTTCCCTTGATTTAGTTGTTTATAAATCAAATATTGTATGATAAAGGTTATGAATATGTGTAATATATTGTAAGTTTAAGGTGAAAGATTTCTATTATTTGATTTTTAATGGTCTGCTTTTCCTTTCATTGTTGGCATCAATTTTTGGTTATTCGATTTTATCATTGTTATTAAAAGGAAAGAACTACGGTATTTATGTAAATATTTTATAGATTTGAGAAACCCAGTAATACGTTGGCGACGTCGTGAAGGTCGACTGCCTGCAGGTCACAGTGTACGTAACGGTGTGTTGACGCTACCAAGATTCAGATCGGAGTATGCTGGAGAATACATTTGTTCTACAACTGTTCAACAACAATCTTACGAAGCTTCAGTTTTCATTATCATCACAGGTCAGTAATGTTTTGGGAATATTTTCATTAATAGTAGATTATTGTACAATATTAATATGTCCTTGACTGTAATTAATATACAAATATGTACAAATGTAGTAAATGAAGATAATGTTTCTTTTGCATGAATATAAATAACATGGATAACTTTATACAGAATTTTAGTTAGATTGTGAAGGAAGCTATAAGCTTATATAAACACAATCCAATGAATCCATTCCTGAAACCAACCAGTACAATGTACTTAGCAACCAGTGTAAACTTTTTGCTTAAGGAAACCATTGATGGGGTTTGAACCCACCCAGCTAGCAATCCTTAGATCACTAGTGCTTTTTAGAATTATTTACATAGAACTTGTTATACTGTCTTACATAGTTTAAGTTACTAAGCTTACTCTCTATAAGCTAAAAGTCAATTTTAAATTTTCAGATATTGAATAATTACTAGTGTTATGTTACTACATTTGTATCTGAATTTTCTCTGATGAAATTAGTTTTGATTATTGTGGTGTGCTTGTTACCATAATTATACATGTATGATTGATTTTCAGTTAATTTATTTAAAATTTCATTTAATGATATTCATGTTTCAGTTGCGCCACGTCTCACAATATCACCACAGCGTATCACAAGTCGTGCCGGAGATACCATACAGTTACGATGCACAGGGGCCGGTAGCGGACCTTTTAATATTGAATGGTCAAGAATTGGTGCTCAGATGAACCCAAGTGCAACAGAACGAGATGGCGTTCTGGAAATTCGTCAAGTGACAGCAGCTGATGCTGGCAGGTACCGATGCGTTGTCCAAAGCAGTTCTGGAAGTCAAGATGGATACGCCCTCGTAGAAATCGAAGGTAAAGAGTTTTATTTGATATAATTTTTGCATATTCTGTTTACGATACAAATGATGGTTTAAACCATATATAAGTTAAGACTTAAAAACATTGATCTATAATGTGTTTCAAATCTAAAAAAAATGAGCCGTGTCATGACAAAACCAATATCCGCGTAGTCTGATTAGGATCCATGCTGTTCGCTATCAGTTTCTCAACTTGTTATAGGGTTTGTAAGCAAACAGCATGGATCCTGATCAGACTGCTCGGATGCGCAGGCTGGTCTGGATCCATGCTGGTCGCAAATCCATTATGTTGGTTTTGTCATGACATGGCTCAAATGTAGTTTTTGCACTCTTAACAGGCTATTTAGTTACTGACAGACTTTTGTTTATTCAATACTTTTGGTTTCAACAAAATTTTTTTTATCATATTTTGATATCAATATTTTGTTACAGTTCCCCCATCTATAGTGGTAGCACAACGAGATGTGTACACGGAGGTTAACAGGATTGTTAGATTACAATGTGACGTCACTGGAAGTCCTCCCCCAGTAGTGAGATGGGAAAAAGAAGGAGATCAGCTTCCTTCACAACATAAAATACAGGATGGAGTTCTTACGTAAGTTTTCTGTTTTTTTTGGATGCTTGTAGCTAAAATAAGATGTTCCTCATTTTAGCATTTTGAATTTTGACATGTATAATGTACCTTTTCAGTTTTTAGCAGGGAAAAGTTTAGCCCAGCCTTTTCTATTCATTGCTATGTAAATTGCTCACAGACCGTATCACAAACAAAACCATGTGTTCTTTTGTGTTAACCAGGTCATCCACATTTAACACAGTGTAGCAATTTGATAGCCTGTGAACCAATTTGCATAGAACTGTAAACACCAGAGAGATCCATTCAGATTAAATTTCGACTTCATTAACATTTTGTAAGGGAAAATAAACAAGTTAAAGTGGCCATATCACTACACAGGTCTCAACATCAAACCTACCTGATGAAAAGTATAATTGAGCCGCGTCACGACAAAACCAACATAATGCGTTTGCGACCAGCATGGATCCAGACCAGCCTGCGCATCCGCGCAGTCTGATCAGGATCCATGCTGTTCGCTATCAGTTTCTCTACTTATAAAAGAGTTGGTAAGCGAACAGCATGGATCCTGATTTGACTGCGCAGATGCGCAGGCTGGTCTGGATCCATGCTGGTCACAAACGCATTACGTTGGTTTTGTGGTGACGCGGCTCAAATCATCCTGATAAAAAGCATAATTATTTAAACTGTGTTTTAAAATGCATAGAAGATACAGTTGGATTTGTCTGAATTTTTTTATCAAGAATGGCACAGTTGGTCACTACATACATATATAAATGAATCGCAATAATTATATGTTAAAATTAATACTCATAACCCAAAATTTATAACCAAGGATGTAATATAAATTATTGATACAGTATGCATTGAACATTTAGAAACTTTTGGTTAGAGTAAAATAACAACCAGTGTGTTAACAATGTGTTTATATGACTATAATGTATTACAGAATCTATGGTGTACAAGAAGCCGATGCTGGTAGATATATTTGTTCAGCATCTTCCAGTGCTGGCTCGTCCAGAGACTATGCTGTCCTTCATGTTACCAGTATGTAATAGTTTCTACATGTTTGAAACCCCAGAAATAAAATTCTGTTGAAATAAAAAAAAAAAATATGTCTAAAATGAAATTTTATGATTGAAATGAAATTTTTATCTGAAATGAAATTTTATGTTTGAAATGACATTTAATGTTTAAAATGAAGTTTTATGTTTAAAATAGGTTTTCATGTTAAAAATGAGATGTTTCATTTCTTCATTAATTCTTTTATAGGCATGGTTTTGTCCATTAGTTTCCTTTTGATTTTGTGTACAGAATTCTATGGTCATTGTTATTTCATATATTTTTATGAAACTCTTGCAAGGAAGATATTTTGGACCTCTTCCAGAGTTTCACTTACTTTCATTCTTGGGTATTTCATAACCAGGTTTATCACGTATCGGTGTCGATTATGCGACTCCGTAAAAATGGTATTACACAGCCATGCATATATATTAATGTGACGTCATTTGTGTTATAAAAGCATAGCATTAAGAAGCGCTAAATGTTAGCATTATACTATGTAGGCACATCAATGAAAAATGTTTCTTTATCACTTCACACTGTCTTTATTTTTGATATGTGATAAATAGAATATTATATTCATGTAAATTATTACTGAATTTATTTAACTCATTGAATAAGATAATATTAGACTCGACAGCGGCTCGCATAATATAATTTTATTCAACTCGTTCAATAAATTCTGTATAAAATTTACACTCATTCAATATCCTCTATAAATTACCTTCCAATGTGTTCTTAACCAAACAGCTACTTCCTGGTAATTTCATTCACTTGTTGCCTTTGTAACAGGAACCTGTTTTCCCATCTACTATGATAGAAATGATACAGCTTCTGTCAGGCAAAATTTATGTATGATTTGTTACATAAATGTTAACCATGTCAACTCCTCTTTTTATGAAAATAATGATTGAGTAAAGAAGTTTGATTATTACAGGTATTGATGATGGCCGTGGAGAGAATGTTGATACACAGTACGTCAATGTCGGAGACAGGGTTTCCATGGAGTGTATTGTTACAGGTATGGCATACATTATATATTTTTTCAAATTCATTTTAAAGTATTTTTCATATATTCAGACAGTTATTTTTTTTTTAAACCTGATTGAGGTTTGGAGCAGGTGCAAGTGCTGTGTGGCAACTGTAAAAAGTTGCCCTGTACTTCACTTCAGTGTTGTTATATTTTTAGCTCACCTGTCACAAAGTGACAGGGTGAGCTTTTGTGATCGCTTTCCGTCCGGCGTCCGGCCGTCCGGCGTCCGTCTGTAAACTTTTACTTTAAATGACATTTCCTCATAAACCACTAAGCCAATTTCATCCAAACTTCACAGGAATGTTCCTTTGGTGGTCACCTTTAAAAATTGTTCAAAGAATTTAATTCCATGCAGAACTCTGGTTGCCATGGCAACCGAAAGAAAAAACTTTAAATATCTCCTTTTAAAAAACCATAAGAGCTAGAGCTTAGATATTTGGCATGAAACATCTTCTAGTGAGTGTCTACCAAGTTTGTTCAAATAAAAGCCCTGGGGTCAAAATTGGCCCCGCCCCAGGGGGTCATTGATTTTCCCTATATGCATATAGTAAAAACTTAAAAAATCTTCTTTTAAAGAACTCAAAGAGCTAGAGCTAAGATATTTAGCATTAAATATGTTCTAATGGGTGTCTACCAAGTTTGTTCAAATAAAAGCCCTGGGGTCAAAATTGGCCCCGCCCCGGGGGGTCATTGATTTTCCCTATATGCATATAGTAAAAACTTAAAAAATCTTCTTTTAAAGAACTCAAAGAGCTATGGCTAAGATATTGAGCATCAAACATGTTCTAATAGGTGTCTACCAAGTTTGTTAAAATAAAAGCCCTGGGGTCAAAATTGGCCCCGCCCCAGGGGGTCATTGATTTTCCCTATATGCATATAGTAAAAACTTAAAAAATCTTCTTTTAAAGAACCAAAAGAGTTAGAGCTAAGATATTTAGCATGAAACATGTTCTAATAAGTGTCTACCAAGTTTGTTCAAATAAAAGCCCTGGGGTCAAAATTGGCTCCGCCCCGGGGGGTCATTGATTTTCCCTATATGCATATAGTAAAAACTTAAAAAATCTTCTTTTAAAGAACTCAAAGAGCTATGGCTAAGATATTTAGCATCAAACATGTTCTAATAGGTGTCTACCAAGCTTGTTCAAATAAAAGCCCTGGGGTCAAAATTGGCACCGCCCCGGGGGTCATTGATTTTCCTTATATGTGTATAGCAAAAACTTAAAAAATCTTCTTTGAAAAAACCCAAATAGCTAGAGTTTAGATATTAAGCATGAAACATCTTTCAGTGAGTGTCTACAAAGTTTGTTCAAATGAAAGACCTGGGGTCAAAATAGGCCGAGCCCCGGGGTTCATTGATTTTCCTTATATGTGTATAGCAAAAACTAAAAAATCTTCTTTGAAAAAATCAAAATAGCTAGAGTTAAGATATTAAGCATAAAACATCTTTTAGTGAGTGTCTACAAAGTTTGTTCAAATAAAAGACCTGGGGTCAAAATTGGCCCCGCCCCGGGGGTCATTGATTTTCTTTATATGTATATAGCAAAAACTTAAAATCTTCTTTGAAAAAATCCAAATAGCTAGAGTTTAGATATTAAGCATGAAACATCTTCTAGTAAGTGTCTACAAAGTTTGTTCAAATAAAAGCCCTGGCCCGGCGTGTCATTGTTTTTAACTATATGTGTATAGTAAAAACTACAAAAAAATCTTCTTTTAAAAAGCCCAATGAGCCAAGTTTGTGTATAAATAAAAGCCCTTGGGTTAAATTGGCCCTGCAACATTGGGGGGGGGGGCCTATATACAGGTGAGTGACCTCAGGGCAATCATGGCCCTCTTGTTCTCTGTTGGGATGATTGATGCCAGCACTATTAAGCCAGCACTATTAAGCCGGTGCTAGTGGGCGTGAGGGATGTTGCACTTATTCATTATCCCTCATGTACAGACTCAATGAAATCGAGTCTGCAATTTTCATGTTATTTTGTTGTGATTAGTGCGTCCGAGGGATCACTTTGTTTCCAGATTTTTTTAAAGATTTAAATTCTATTTCCTCTGTTTGTTGAAATTTTTCTTTCTGCCAAAGATTTCAACATCTTTCAGGCAAACTTATTGAAACGTTTGATTTTTTTGGCATATAGCGATTCACCTGTGTGTGTTTGTTTGTGTGTGTGTGTGTTATATAGATTATATAGTGAACTTAAAAAATCTTCTTGTGAAAAACCACTAGTCCAATTTCAACCAAACTTGGCAGGATTGTTCCTTGGGTGAAGGGCTTCCAAAGTTGTTCAAAGAATTTCATTCCATGCAGAAATCTGGTTGCCATGGCAACCAAAAGGAATTATAAGAATAAATTTAAAAAATCTTCTTGTAAAGACCCAAAAGGCCTAGAGCTTAGATATTTTGCATAAGGCATTGTCTGGTAGACCTCTACCAAGATTGTTCAAATTATAGCCCTGGGGTCAAAATTGGTTCCGCCCCGGGGGTCATTGATTTTCATTATGTACATATAGTAAAAAAATAAAAAATATTTTTGTCTGAAGGTACAAGGCATAGAGCTTTGATGTTTGCTATATAATATCATCTATAGGTCCTCTACCAAAGTTGTTCAAATTTTTCCCCTGGTGTCAAAATTGGCCCTGCCCGGGGGCAGTGATTCTCATTATGTACACATAGTAAAAACAGAAAATAAAACAAATGTTTTCTGAATGGGAGAAAGCTACAGCTTAGATATTTGACTTGAAATGTTGTTTGGTGGACCTGTATCAAGATTGTTTTGAATTAAACCCTTGGGTCAAAATTTTGCCTTGCCCAAGGGGACAGTGACCTACTTTCTTGTCCTTTGATGTACAGCAATGAAATTTTGACCATGTGCACAGTTTTAGTTGTAAAATTGAACTTTGATATCAGGTGACCTAGATTTTGATGATGTGACCTACTTTCTTGTCCTTTGATGTACAGCTATGAAATTTGAACCATGTGCACAGATTAAGATGTAAAGTGAACTTTGATTTCAGCTGACCTAGATTTTGACAAAGTGTCTTACTGTGTTGTCCTTTGATGTAGTCATGAAATTTAGGCTGTGTGAAATATGACCTTCACCACCAAATTCACTAGACTCGCGTGCATTGATATATTCCTACTCTGATCTTTTATTGAGTTAACAACAGATTTCACCACTAATCTGATAATAAGAATTAGATTATATATAAGGTCAGGGATCTATGCATTATGACAATCTTAAAAATTGTATAGAAACAAAAAAAAATCTGTTCCTACACTACTATTTAGTATTGTATTAATGCGGTGGCATAGCATTTTTCTCAAATGCAATCTTGTTTTTAAATTGCTCTACAATGCCTCAAATTTTTGCTTTGACAATGTTAAGAGGTAATACAATATTGTAGGAACACCTCTGCCAACTATCACATGGTCAAGGGATGACGGACCGCTTCCAGCAGACGCTATTCTTGGTGATGGTATTTTGATCATTCCTCAGGCTAGAGTGGAAGATGCTGGTACCTATACCTGTCGGGCTGTAAATGAGGCTGGTTCCATCACCTCTAAAGTTATTCTCTATGTAAAAGGTAAATAAAGGTCTTTCTTATCCATATTATTTATAACAAGGGTTTTTGAATTTTTTTGGCTATTTCTTAAATCATAGCAAACTTTTTTTATATAGAGTAAATTTGCAAAGATGTTGATGAAATGTTGTGGGTAAAAAAAAAACCTTGTTAGAAACAAGTTGGATTTATATATTGATTGTGAAACAACATGTATATAATTACATCTCCTATAATATGAATGGTTGAATTGAATATGAAAACTGATTATTCCCTCTTGCATGACTGATAAATTATAATATATAAGCCTTGAAAATTGCATCAATGAAGCATGATCTTAAACATATAGATTGTGCAACTTAATGCCATTACTGACTTTGTCATATATAGCTCTTGTCTTTGTACTATAACATTTTAAATTCAGCATTACTGTTCTCTGAATGGTCAGTTTCAAAAATATATGTTATATATATGTAAGAAATACCAGTGTTCTTTCACAGACTAAATGAATTCTGTATAAAAAGGAGAAAAAAATCTAGTTCCAAGATAAACAAAATGGAATTATTTTTCTTTTCTGAAACTGATGAACTGAGAGTCTTGCCATAAAAATGTAGAATTTTTTCCCCTATGTTTAAAAAAAATTCTTTGAACCCGTATTTGAAATTTGAAGAAATGAGCCATAAAAGCATAGTAGCCTAAACTACAAATATTTTATAGTTCTGAAAAATGAGTTTGTAACCCTGAAATATAAATTTTTGTAATCCTGAATGTAGCCCAGCACTTCAAAAGTTTCATAGTCCTGAAAAATAAAAGTTTGCAGCCCTGAAACATAGACATTTGTAACCTTGAATGTAGCCACGCACTACAAAAGGTTTTTTAGTTCTAAAAGTAAAGATTTAGCAATTAATAAATTTGTCATATTTTAACCCATGAAATGTGAATGAAAAACATTATTTTGATATGCCTGTATATGTGTAATGTGAAACATGCTTGGAGTTATGTACAATTTAAAAAAACTGAAAAAGAAGAAAGCTGGGCCAACCTGCACATCCATGCAAAAACAAATAATTGACAGATCCAGAAAAGGAAACTGGACAAGTGCATATAAAATATTAAGCATGTTAAGTGTTAAGACACTTTTAGGACGATTTTTCCTTGTATTTATATAATGTGTTTATTTCTGAAACCTAGGGTACAACAGGATAGGCTATAATGGTAAATAGGAAAATATAGGCTAAAATGCTTACATACTATTATTTATCAAATCTTATTTTTTCATGCTTTCTTGGTTGACCTTATGTATATGGCAGAAAATGTTTAAAAATTTGTGATGTATTGCAGAATTAGGCTTCAATTTTGCTTTGGAGATAGATTTATTATGTTTATTGTTATTCTTTCACACACATTTTTTTTTCAATCAAAAAGAATGGTTTTAATAAAGTGGCTATTTTTACGGAAGCTGCAAATAAAAAACACATTAGGTGTTATGAAGACGTAAATTCTTTTTCAACAGTTGGTGAAAGTAAATATCATTATTTATTCACTAAATTCCTTCACTTGTGGACTAGTTAGTTTTCAAGGAAAGCCTGTTAGGTGTACCAACCTTCTAAATAGGACCAAATATGTGATAAAATTAGCGCTTTAAAAAAAAAAACAAGCATGCCTTGCTATTTTTTCAGTACAAATTCATATCTAGATAAAATAATTTATTTAATATGAGAGCTCAAAACTCAAAATATGTTTAGATGAAAAAATTATTTATCAATTCAGTAATCTTCCTCATTACATATACTCAAGTATTGCCTTATACATATACTCAAGTATTGCCTTTAAAAAAGATATAAAAACTTTGCTATGGATTCTAGATATGAAAGTAAGAAAGAATTACTACTGTATTAATTAAGGGTTTGCATTTTTTTATCTTTAGATCGCTTTTCTATGCATTTTGCAGCTGGAATCTATAAAATGTATCTTATATAACCATTATTCTGCCTTTTTATATAATATATTATATATACACAACAGTATGACCATTTTTGTCATGTTGCATTTCATGTAGTTAACAATCAGTATTGTAAGTATGCATTTTACTAAATATCTTCTGCTATTGTATGTTTTCTTGTAGTCTAGAGCATTGCTTTCATCCATTGTTTAACCCTGCAGTTGCTGGAACTTATATTTATAAGCCATGGTGACCAGATTTAAAGCCATTGTGACCAGATTTAAAGCCATTTTCACCAGACGTAAATCCATTGTCACCAGACTTTAATTAACTGTCATCAGACTTTAAGCCATTGTTAAGCCATTGTTACCAGACTTTTAGACATTGTCACCAGTCTTCAAGCCATTGCCACCATACTTTAAGCCATTGTCACCAGACTTTAAGCCATTGTCACCATACTTTAAGCCATTGTCACCAGACTTTAAGCCATTGTCACCAGACTTTGGGGCATTGTCCCCAGACTTTAAGCCATTGTCGCCAGATTTTAAGCCATGATCACCAGACTTTAAGCCATTGTCTGTCATCAGGCTTTAAGCCATTGCCACCAGACTTTAAGCCATTGTTTGTCAACAGACTTTAAGCCATTGTCTATCATCAGGCTTTAAGCCATTGTCATCAGACTTCCAACCAGAATTAAGTCAGACCAGCTTACACATCTAAACAGCTTGACCAGGCTCTTTACTGGTGGCTTACTAAATTATATATTCATGTTGATATCCCCAAAATTGATAATGAACATTTCCAAAATAAAGAAAACTAGAAAAGTCCATTTTGTCAATTTAGCAGTGTTTGAACATAAAGAGATGTTATTATCTAATACTTTTTATATGAATAATATCTTAATTAAACAGATGTATAATTATACAATGCACTTGTCAAAGTAATGCTATTTAAGAAAGCAATGGAAGTTGGTTTAAGTTTGTTTGGCTTTCAGTGTTTGACTTAAGCAAAAATGGTGTACTATAGATATAAACAAAATAAGGACACAAAGGTCGTCCTGTGAAGTTGTAGAGTGTTTGTTCATAACCTTTGGATAGGGACATCATGACTGGTGTTTTATGACTATTTAAGATCTGTGTAGTCTATATACACGCACTCTACTGTCGGCTGAATAATTTAACTTTTTTTAAATCAAAAGCCTTTTTAAAAAAATAGAATTGAGTAATACCAAATGCAAACTAAACCAGGTTCATTATATCAGATTTCAAACCTGAAGTTGACAAAATGAAATGATGTATAGTCTTATTATAATATAAAAATAGAATACACATCATTGTAACCATATATAATTTTCTAAAAATAGTAACAATTTAATGTGACTGTCACAGTAACTAAGTATTATAGTATTTTACAACATTATATTATTAAGGCAGTAAAACATGTATATATGATAGCAATATGAATGCTTGTTACCTTGCTTGAAGATGTTTACAAGTTGTTGTGCAAGAATGCATATTTGATTAAAACTTAGCTACATATCTAATGAAATATTTTGTAATTAATAATCTGTAAAAGATATGATCTGTTGCAAATGCAAATTTTGCTTCCATAATCCTATGCTACTGTATATTCTTGTACAAATGTATTGCTTATATATATGTTCATAACATTAGCAACCCATGTTTGATATAATACTATAGCTTATTTTTTTAACATTTAAATACATAGTTTTTGGTTACTATTTTAAGTTGACACAAAAAATGGATGTAAGTGGAAACAACCTAGACTAGTTTTAACTTTTTTTAAAGTCATAATTCATTAAATGACTAAAGACATAGACCATATTTACATATACAGTAAGTAAATCATACACTTTTTTTGCCAGGATTATTTCTAACTCAAAGTGACATCATAAACATTGAATATTAAAAAAAAAAAAAAAAACACACAAAAAAGAACTCTACAGATTTTATGCTCTCCAAATTTTTCAATGAACATGTCAGATGCTATTTTGTACTTCCTGACTTCATTGTGTAAAGTTCAAAGTTTAAAATACACCCCTTTCATTGGCTGATATGTTTGAATATACTAGTATGATAATAAGTCCACAGACTTTCTCTGGATTGGGACTGTCTGGTGAGCTCAATATGTGGAATGTTGGACTGTGAATTGGGTGATCCAGGTTTGATTCCCGGGCGGTGCAGGTCACTCTCGTTGTGATTTATCATGAAATCCTTTCTACGGTCATTCACACTGTACCTCTGCTCTGGCATGTACAAAAGTAAACAGTTCTTTTCTAAATAGAAGGTACAGTCATGTAAACTGCTTGACAGCCTTCCCAGGAACAATGCGGTGGCCGAAGTGTGCTTTGGTAAATTTAATATGGAAAACTACCAACACCACCACCACCATTTTCTATAGTCAAGGTCATTGACACTAAATATAAGTTTTACAATTTGTCCTTATATGAAGCTATTAAGGGAGCATTTGTCAGTGTTTTTGGTTATTTTGGCTTTTCAAATTTTTTGAATTTCCTGATCCAAGTGTTAAAGATAATGTAATATGTACTGTTGTTGAAATATGGTCTATGTCATTTAAAGGATTGGTAAAATTAATCATTCAAGAAAAACTTGAGTTGTCTGATTTGATTTTTTTCCCCTTTCATCCTTAACACCTAACCCATGTATGTTATTTTCTGTGCAAATTTTCCTCTGTGTTGAACACCCTTTTGTTAACTAATCTTGAAATGTTGACTTTGATTATTACTTTTTTATTTGAAAAAACACTTTCACTAATTGACAAATTATTTGACCGTCACTATCACCTAGTTTTATTGGGTCATCAGTGTGTTAGATTAATAGGGTATGAACCCCATCTGCTAGTACCTAGCTTACTTGGCATTTAGTATCAAGGTCAAATTTTAATGACTGATCAGCTCAGAGTCTTGGTTTGGATATTTCTAGGTGTCATATCATGTTTTAATAACTTTTTTTCACTTTCTTTTCCTTGCACAGTAAAACTATTACAATTATTTTTATTATATTTTACTATTCTTTCCTGTAGCAAAATCAAATATAATGGACGAAATATATTCTTTGAAATTAAGATATTTTATTTGAAGATTTTTTTAAAATACTTCCTAAAAATCTTTAAATGATAAAAATGTCTTCCATTTATTCATTTAAATGTATTGTCATCCTCTATTTATCCCCAATTTAGTATAAGCAGTAAATGTACATATTAAAACATTATACTCTCCCTTTGTTAAGAACCATAAAACAGTTTATACCCCTTCAAAATAAAGATTAACTGTTTCAATGTCCCTCGATTTCAGCTCAGCCATACATTTCGGCACCTTCTGCTTCAACAGCTGCACTTGGTGATAGCGCTAAACTTGTCTGTGATGCCACTGGTTACCCGTCACCTGATATCACATGGTTCAGGAAGGAAGGCGAAATGCCAAGGTATGTGTTTACATTATGTCAAGGTATGTGTTTACATTATGCCAAGGTATGTGTTTACATTATGTCAAGGTATGTGTTTACATTATGCCAAGGTATGTTTTTACATTATGCCAAGGTATGTGTTTACATTATGCCAAGGTATGTTTTTACATTATGCCAAGGTATGTGTTTACATTATGCCAAGGTATGTGTTTACATTATGCCAAGGTATGTGTTTACATTATGCCAAGGTATGTTTTTACATTATGCCAAGGTATGTGTTTACATTATGCCAAGGTATGTGTTTACATTATGCCAAGGTATGTGTTTACATTATGCCAAGGTATGTTTTTACATTATGCCAAGGTATGTGTTTACATTATGCCAAGGTATGTGTTTACATTAAAGTTAATACTGTTGATGTTAAAATCCCAGGTAAGTATTGTTGTTGATTTTAAAATTGTGTGTTGATGTCAGTTGTACAAATAATTGGTGATATCAATTTTCCAGCCATATGTTGATGTTAATTTGCCAGTTATCTTTTGATTAATTTGTCAAAATACCTTAAGATTTTTAACTTGCGTGATATCTGTTTATATTAATTTTTCAGCTGTTTGTTTATGTTGATTTGCCAGATATCTGTTCATGTTAAATTTCCAGCTGTTTGTTTATTTTGTTTTGCCAGATATCTGTTCATGTTAAATTTCCAGCTGTTTGTTTATTTTGTTTTGCCAGATATCTGTTCATGTTAATTTTTCAGCTGTTTGTTTATGTTGTTTTGCCAGATATCTGTTGTTATTTCATGCTTTCTAGTGTTTTATTGTAATATATCAGATGATTATATTCTGATAAAGCACTAGTGAAATTTATAAAATATAATTTTCACTGTAGCCAGACTATATCTGAATGTGGATGAAAAGAAAATCATAACTTAATGGTATAACAGGCAGAAATAAATGCTGTCATCTGTAAATTTTGCTTCTTTAGGAATAGAAAGTCGATGTCACCATACATCATGTGTCTTTCATGTGAAGAATCTATCCAGCTAGCTTACCAAACGTAGGTAGTGTTACTTAGGTGCCCACTCGTGCCTGAAATTATGCACGAAGAGCGTATACCTGAGATCTACAGTATTGTTGCAATGTTAAACCAACCAAAAAAAAAATAGTTAGAACAAAAATGAAGATTGCATTTCAGATCTATAGTTCTATAATATTGTTATACACTACAAATTATTATTGTAATTAATTTTGTTACTTAATATTTATTATTGTATTTGATTTATTATAACAGTGACTACAGAATAGTTGATGGAGATCTGTTGATTAATCGTGTCAGACCAGAAGATGCCGGAACTTATGTTTGTCATGCCGAGAACGAGTACGGTGGAACTGATTCACCTGTCAATCTAAATGTGAATGACCTTGTACCGTACTTCTCACAGAACCCGAACTCATACATTTCTTACCCAGCAATGAATGATGTCTACCTCGACTTTGATATACTTCTCTCGTTGAAACCAGAGTCCACAGAAGGTGATTATTTCATTGTACATTGTTTGTTTCTTTTGGTGTGTTTTCATATTACTTTAACTGACAGTTCTGACGCAGCTGTGAATAACGAGTTATTTTATGTGCTTGCCTATTGTTTGTCAGTGGTTCTATACAAGTTCTCTAATACATTAAATAATACAATTAGATAATTTTATAGTGTTCTTTTACCAGTGAAGCTGAAAAATTACTGTTAAGCAGTTAAAATAACAAATAAAATGGTATTGCAATTAAAATGACAAAGGAGATGGTATTGCAGTCAAAATTACTTAAACAATGGTAGTGCATTCAAAATTACTAGTTAAATGGTATTGTAGTATAAATAAATTATAAAATGGTATTGCAGTCCAAATAACTAATAAAATGGTACTGCAGTCATTTATGACTTAAATAATGCTATTGCACTCAAAATTACTAATAAATTGGCATTGCAGTAAAAATAATAAAATGGTATTGCAGTTCAAATGACTTTATGAATGCTATTGCAGTCGAAGTAACTAAAAAATGGCATCTGTGACAGTCAAAATAATTGAGAAAATTGTATTGCAGTCAAAATGACTTAAAGAATGATATTGCTGTCAAAATAACTAATAAAATGGTATTGCAGTCAAAATGACTTAAATAATGCTATTGCAGTCAAAATAACTTTAAGAATTGCAGTCAAATGACTAATAAAATGGTATTGCAGGCAAAGTAACTAATAAAATGGTATTGCAGTCAAAAATGCTTCAAGAATGCTATTGCAGTCAAAAAATCTTATAAAATTGTATTGCATTCAAAATGACTAATAAAATGGCATTGCAGTCAAAATACCTGAGAAAATGGTATTGCAGTCAACATGACTTAAAGGATGGTATTGCAGTCAAAATGACTTATATAGTGCTATTGCAGTCAAAAATGACCAATAAAATGGTATGGCGGTCAAAATGATGAATAAAATGTTAGTGCTAAATAGGCAAGTAGATCAAATTATGTTCTGCTACACCTCCTTGAGGTGGAGAACACTGGTGAACAAATGATTACCGTCATAGCATTATAGTTAATCCTTATAAATGTATGTATATTCATTTGTGTTTTATGCTATTATAGGTATGGTATTGTACAATGGCCAGTTTGAGGATGGAGGTGGAGATTTTGTCTGCTTTGGACTTAATGAGGGATATCCTGAATTCCGCTTTGATGTTGGATCAGGTCCAGCAATTATCAGGGGCAATAAAACACTTCCTCTTAATGAATGGCACACAATTAAACTGACTAGAGACAGACAGAAGGGTAAGAATACTTGAATCGTGTGTATATAAATAAGCCGCACCATGACAAAACCAGTGTAATGGTTTTGCGACCAGCATGGATCCAGACTAGCATGCGCATCTGGATGATGTTCGCTATCAGTTTCTCTACTTGTAATAGGGTTTGTAAGTGTAAAGCATGGATCCTGATCACACTGGACGGATGCGCAGCCTTGTCTGGATCCATGCTGGGCACAAATGTTGGTGTTGTCATGGTGCAGCTCATATGTATTTTATACTATATTTGAGCCGCATCATGACAAAACCAACATAATGGGTTTGCGACCAGCATGGATCCTGATCAGACTGCACGGACGTGCAGGCTGGTCCGGATCCATGCTGGTCGCAAACGCACTTTGTTGGTTTTGTCGTGACGCGGCTCATTTGTATTTACATGTTATTTCATAGATCATTTTGTTGCATTGACATAATTCTTTTTCATATTTTTGAATAAATGATGATTTGAATAGAAACAGTCTATGACTGGCAACCTTCCTTTTAAAAAAAAACAAAAAAAAAACACCTATCATATCCAGGACATGCATTAAAAAGGTCATAATTAATTGCTTATAGATATAATTAAAAGAAAAAGAGAACATCATGAAGAGCATGCTTGATGCCTTCTCATCAAATGCTTAAATGATCAAATAACATCTCAGTTTTAGGAAAATTCAGGCAGTTTTCATCTCTGCGGAAAACATAAAACTTGTAAGAGTGATTCAAAAATAATTTTATGTTAAATCCGGTCTATTTCAGGTTCCATGATTGTTAATGAAGAACCAGCATATACAGGACAGTCACCAGGTTACTTCACCGGCCTTGACCTCCAAGGTAACATGTATCTTGGCTCCGTGCCAAATTATGACAATATTCCCAGAGCGACTGGATTCAGGGAAGGATTTGTAGGTAAGCAATTATTCAATGATAAGTTTTAAATTAAATACTGTGAAATCATTATTATTAACAGGGGATTATTATTTGTGGATAAGGTCAAACATATATATTCTTTTTTTTAATTGCGGAAAGTCAAAATTTACGGCCCCCTATTTTTTTGCTTGGCAAATGAATTCCATGATTTTATTACCCCATGAAATTGCTTTTTGTCGGCAAATCATTAAATTTTATGCTTCGAACTTGAATGATGTCATAGTATATAACAGTGATGTATTACTTTATAAGTGATTTACTTTTAGTTATTATATTGGTATGCATAATTTATACTGATACTGACATGACAAAATGACATTGATGCAGAAAAAATATGTATATTGATACACTACAGTCAGAAAAGCCACAGTGACTGGTTGACAAATTTGTGTATGATCTCAAATTGACCTAGGGATTACAAGTAAGAAAATATAATTAATTTTTAGCTCACCTGTCACAAAGTGACAGGGTGAGCTTTTGTGATCGCTTTTTGTCCGGCGTCCGTCTGTCCGGCGTCCGTAAACTTTTACTTTCAATGACATCTCCTCATAAACCACTAAGCCAATTTCATCCAAACTTCACAGGAATGTTCCTTTGGTGGTAACCTTTAAAAATTGTTCAAATAAATTAATTCCATGCAGAACTCTGGTTGCCATGGCAATCAAAAGAAAAAACTTTAAATATCTTCTTTTAAAAAACCATAAGAGCTAGAGCTTAGATATTTAGCATGAAACATCTTCTAGTGAGTGTCTACCAAGTTTGTTCAAATAAAAGCCCTGGGGTCAAAATTGGCCCCGCCCCGGGGGTCATTTATTTTCCCTATATGCATATAGTAAAAACTTAAAAAATCTTCTTTTAAAGAACCCAAAGAGCTAGAGCTAAGATATTTCGCATGAAATATGTTCTAATGGGTGTCTACCAAGTTTGTTCAAATAAAAGCCCTGGGGTCAAAATTGGCTCCGCCCCGGGGGGGTCATTGATTTTCCCTATATGCATCTATATATAGTAAAAACTTAAAAAATCTTCTTTTAAAGAACTCAAAGAGCTATGGCTAAGATATTGAGCATCAAACATGTTCTAATAGGTGTCTACCAAGTTTGTTCAAATAAAAGCCCTGGGGTCAAAATTGGCCCCGCCCCAGGGGTCATTGATTTTCCCTATATGCATAAAGTAAAAACTTAAAAAATCTTCTTTTAAAGAACCAAAAGAGTTAGAGCTAAGATATTTAGCATGAAACATGTTCTAATAAGTGTCTACCAAGTTTGTTCAAATAAAAGCCCTGGGGTCAAAATTGGCCCCGCCCCGGGGGGTCATTGATTTTCCCTATATGCATATAGTAAAAACTTTAAAAAATCTTCTTTTAAAGAACTCAAAGAGCTAGAGCTAAGATATTTAGCATTAAACATGTTCTAATAGGTGTCTACCAAGTTTGTTCAAATAAAAGCCCTGGGGTCAAAATTGGCACCGCCCCGGGGGTCATTGATTTTCCTTATATGTGTATAGCAAAAACTTAAAAAATCTTCTTTGAAAAAACCCAAATAGCTAGAGTTAAGATATTAAGCATGAAACATCTTTTAGTGAGTGTCTACAAAGTTTGTTCAAATAAAAGACCTGGGGTCAAAATTGGCCCCGCCCCGGGGGTCATTGATTTTCTTTATATGTGTATAGCAAAAACTTAAAATCTTCTTTGAAAAAACCCAAATAGCTAGAGTTTAGATATTAAGCATGAAACATCTTCTAGTAAGTGTCTACAAAGTTTGTTCAAATAAAAGCCCTGGCCCGGCCCCAGGGGTGTCATTGTTTTTAACTATATGTGTATAGTAAAAACTTAAAAAAAATCTTCTTTTAAAAAGCCCAATGAGCTAGAGCTTAGATGTTTAGCATGAAACATCTTCTTATGGGTGTCTACCAAGTTTGTGCAAATAAAAGCCCTTGGGTTAAATTGGCCCTGCAACGTTGGGGGGGGGGGGTTGGGGGGGCCTATATACAGGTGAGAGACCTCAGGGCCATCATGGCCCTCTTGTTTCTTTTTAACTTTAGCTTTTACTTTTTTCTAAACTTTAGGAGCTGTCAGTGAAGTTAAACTAAAGGGTGTGGATTTAAATCTTGGTGCTGAAGCTATCGATATGGAGGGAATCGAGCCATACAATACATGTAGGAGAAACCCTTGCATCAACCGAGGCGTGTGTTCCGTCGCTAATACAAAATATGGCTTTAAATGTATATGCCCACAGGGATATATGGGAACCCGTTGCGAGGAAGTCGGTGAAAACTGTTACCCAGGTAAACGTTTAGTTTAAAGGTTTAAGGATCAAGTACATAGTAGGGCATTGTAGGCTAGTACGTAGTCTGTAACAGGTGGAAAACATGTTTGATATTAAGACTCATACCAGAGTACCATAAAAAAGAATGATTTTTGTAAATTTTCTATTGAGAATTGCTCAAAATTAAATCATAAAATATGTTAAAATCGAAAAAAGATATTAAATTTGTGAGTATAAGAAAATAATTGCCTATTTCTGCATTATATTATTTAAAAATACAAAAGTGCCGTTTTGAATGGTGTTTCATTAACATTAAATTTAGAACTCCTGTTAGTTTGTAGTTATATGTTCTTTATCCTCTTTAAGATGTATTAAAAGAAAAGGTTGTCTGTGGAGTAACTTGTATGTCAATAAGAATAACTCTAGTTTATACCAATTTATTATAGTTTGATTGTGTTGGGAGCTATAAGCTTATTGAAACTTTCTATTCCATTCCTGGAACCAGCCAGTACTTAGCAATGAGTGTAAAATTTCTTGCTCAAGAAAACAATGGCTTGTCCCTGACAGAGTTTGAACACGTGACCAACAATCCTTAGATTTCTTGTCCGACGTGTTAACCACTAGGCCACTGCCAAAATAGCTCTTATATTACTTTCAATACTTTGATATTATTATATTATACACTTAATTGGTAGTCAAAGCAGGACATTACATTAGCGTAAGAGATGATATACATAGGGTTATTAATTTTCATACTTCACAAACTACCTTTTTGTTGAAGGTGCATGTGGAAGAGGCAGGTGTTATAACCTAGAGGGTCGTTCAGGATTTAGATGTATCTGTCCACTTGGAAAGACAGGAATGGGCTGCCAAGCAGGTATTGTAAAGTTTTGATATTAATACTACCAGTACTCTTCATATGAAAGATTAATATTTAACACTGAAAATAGGGCAAAATGTCACCAGAGAGATGATAGGAAAATATTACAGTTGTGTCAGTATCATGAAGATGGTTGGTGCTATATAATATTTTCATGGCTATGAGAATAAGTAGTACAAGTCACTAGCTCTAATTCTAATCTGATTGGTTAATTCAAAAAATCAAAATTTAAAATCAACCAATGAATGAGCATCATAAGTTTTATCATTTAGATATCCATGTATCTTGGGTATTTTAAGGTAGACAAAATTTTTATATACTTACCTGCAGACATGTCTAGAACATTAAAATTTTTATATCGCCTTTGTCTGCAATTCTCAGGAGTTGTGCCACATATTCAGCTTCTTGAATCTACTTATCTATTTGAAAAATCAAATCACTGATGATGATAGGGGCTGTGGAGGTTCTACTCAGGTGTACGTTCAGGTCTGAAATAATGCATGGAAGGGCACCTGGGGTCTTCCTTCACAAGTAAAGCTGGAAAGTGGCCATATGACCTTTAGGGGTTTTATGTTGCACCAACACAGTAAAGGTCATATAATGACTTTCCAGCTTTACTGTGTTGGTGTGACATAAAACCCGTATAAAAAAAACAAAAAAAACAAAAAACTGATAATGATAGATCTAAACAATTGTGGATATTTATGTTAAAAAAAAAACAAACAAAAAACTGAAATTTATCCAATTTTTCATAACTTTATGACAAAAGATTTTATTTTATTTTCATTTCATTACATGAATATACCTTATCTCATTTTTACTTCAGATATTGCCATTATCAACCCATTCTTCAACAGGACATCCTTTATATCATACCCACCAGCAGAGGCATCATTGTTTGATTTACAGATCCAACTGGAATTCAAACCTCAGTCTTATAGTGACGGTATTATCTTGTATGAGGGTAATGATGAAGATGGAACTGGTGACTTCATGGCCATTGTTCAGAAAGACGGATATCTAGAGTTCAGATTTGACACTGGTTCTGGTAAGAAAATACATGCAAGATTTTTATTTGATAAAAGAGTATGAAATGATATTCAGGTTGGATATAACTTAACATGAATTTCATTGCCATTGAATAGTACATACATACTTACTGCAATACAAATGGTTTGTTATGGTGGAAAGCAAAAACATGAAACAATATAAATCCTTTTCGGAAAATGAAGTTTAAGCAGTTATTGGCTAATAGAAATATATATACCAAAATGTTGGATGCAGAGTTTAAAGTAAAAAAAGTTCTTTTAAGAATTCTGAATCTGTGTGTGAGGAATGGGATAGTGGTTTTAAAAATACCATTTCAAGTTGTAGTCAATGCTTTACATATAAGGAAGTATATAGTAGAGATCTGAAGAGATAAATATTTATTTACTATTTACAGAATTATGTCTGATGGTTCTACTTTATGCCTGCTTATTCTTGAGTTAATTCACGTAGGGGCACCTGAGGGCTTTCGCCACCAGTAAAACTGTATACTCGCCATATAAACTTTAAAAGTGTCAATGTTTCTTAAAACCAAATCAAAAACAAATGGTGATTTTATCTTTATTATCATTCTTTTGTCTCGATTTTTTTCATTAGGTCCAGCAGTTCTCCGTAGTCGTAGTCCTCTCCGTATAAATGAATGGACACGTGTTACAGCCACACGGAAAAATCGTGACGGCACACTCGTGGTAAATAATGAACAGCCAGTCACAGGTGAGATTTTATATTTTTATACAATTATATGTTATACAAAATAATATTTATTGATATAATTATTATATATAATGATTATGTTATAGAATATTTTCATATAAGAGAAAATATAATTTTAAGAATATATTTTATTTATTATGCCCTTCACAAAAGAAGAACAGATTCAAGGTTGGAAAATTTTCACATTATACTAAGATTTAATTATTAGAGTAGTTTTGAAAAAAATATCTCATTCTGTTCATATTTCAAAAAGGCAGATTAGGAAAGATTGTTTCCAGAGGTCTGTAAAGACTGTAAAAAAAGGTGAAGATTCCATTAGGGATTTTTTTTTTTCAAGGGGAGTTAATTATTCTTAAATATATTTTCTTTTTAATCTTGCAAAAACTTTGAAGGTATTTTTTCAAAATATTTAAAGAAATCATAAAAAAAAATCATGTGAGAAGGAAATTTAAGTCCTTTAAAAATGGAAGCATTCCTTTGAAGTCTTTTGTTGTAACTGTAGACACAGTTTAATTATTTTGAAATTTTAAAAAATAATATGCATGCAGTGAAGTTGTGGGGAATGTTAAATGACCAGCCACCGGTAATAGCTGCACCAGCCGCAGCCGAACCGGCACGATACTACAACTACTACAATCACAAATTGAAACGTTACCGTAGAGGTATTGTCAAAATTTACGCGGCAATTTTCATATATATTTTTCTATTGCTGTTTACAATCACAGAATAAAGTGATTGATATACTATATATACTATAGAAAACCAGATGCACACTCAAACAGATTTCCTTGAAACTTTGTAAAATTCTCTAACCATAAATTCTAATTGTCTAAATTTTAAGATATCTTTCTTTATTTTGGTAATATGCATATATAAAAATATATATATTATATGCATATATAAATTTATTACTTTCAAGGATTTCTGTGTTTTTGTATTAAACTTTTTTTAAGCAGATTTAGAGCGCTTTCTCAGATAATTATTTTTAGCACTGTTACCATGGTTTCTATGGAAAAGTGATATTCTAAAAATAGAATGAAATGTGATCGTCATTTGACATAAACATTTAGAGTTAAAATGTGATCAACAATAAGAAAATTAATATTATTTTTATTGATGTCTTTTTTCGAATACATACATAAATGAATGACTAAATATGTAGGCAACTGTCAGATTTTATAACTGTTACTATCACTTTTCCAAAAGGAACAATATATAACAAAGTTTGAGAAGTCTATAATTAGATAAAATTAATAAGGTAACTCTCTAAATATTAACTGATTTTTTTAATTTTGAAAAATGATGGGCCAGTAAAACTTGCTATATTGTTAAAAATTTATGGCTAGACATTTTTGTTTTATTCATGAAAACAGTTTTTTAGTTCGACAAAGATATCATTAATCTTTTATGATAGATTTGAAATATTTATGTGAGAAAGTTAAAGAATGTAATTTTAGTCTAATCGGTCCTTTGTAACTAAAAAAAAATCTCGTTTACTCCTTTGAAGTTATGGTAAAGTAACAATTTATGATATTTCTAAAAAATTGAGAAAAGGAAATACTGGTCCATCAATTTAATAAACAGATTTTACAGGGGTTAGGCTCTATAATTTTATTTTGATTTGATCTGTTTTTGTTTTGCTTTTTTAATTTTAACTATATATCTTTTCGCATTCTCTCTTTCATGTTTTGTTTTCCTTTTGAACTGCATTTAGATTTGTTTTTGTTGTCTTTTTATTTCCAATTTCAACGGTTACAGGGACTTTCTAATACAATTTTATCTACAAAAAATGTCTGCTTTTCTACAGTTTTAATGGTTGTTTAATGAATCCTTAACGTGCTTAAACTGGAAGTGATTTGTCAAAGCCGCCGGTATAGAGCCAAGTCAGCCTGCACATACATGTAGTCTGACCCAGCTCACTACAATTTGATAATTTAAAGTTTCCATATTGATTTCCCTAAATTTGATAATGAACAGTTTCAAAATTGGAAAATGGGTCATTTCATTTCAGAAATAAAGGAGGTTATGAGTTAATTTATTATATTTAGACACATTTTTTTGTGCCTTAATATACTATCGTGAATCATATTATTTGTTCACAAGACAACAGTTTTACTGTGTAAAACACTCGCTGCATTTAATGAAAAGTTGCATGAATTTGTAGGAATGATGTTTTTAAAAAAGATGTACAATATATTACCTTGACTTTTATATTGTTTGTTAAAAGTTTTCTGTATTGCATTTAATCCATTGCCTGCTAGGGTATACTGAGGCTACTGATTCTGGTATTAGTGCAGACCAAAATCAGCAAGCCCATCTGTGTCATCTGATCATGGTCTGAACTATTTCTTATTTAGTCAGTACATTTTTGGAAAAAATATGTCCATTATAAAATGGTCTTGATTGATTGAAAGATGGACAAGATCATTTAAGGTATTTTGCATGTTAACAATTCAACTCAAGGATCCTGGTTACTGGTGCAAGACCTAATTATCTGAAAGAAAAAAAACAGACCATTTGAAACATCAACTTTTAATTGACTGATGAAACATGGTTATATGATAAAACTATTTGGTATTTAACTCAAGAAGCTTTGCTGAATGCTTAATTTCTTGTCTTATTATCTTATTTGAGAATTGAAACATTAATTTGGATAAAATAATACAGAGAGCAAAAATTGGAACAAATTCGTTGAGTTGCCAATAAGATTGTAATAAAAGCAGGCATTAACATTACAGTTTTAGGAGATATTTTACACTAGTTTTGCTGTTCTGTGGTGAAGCATTGTGTATTGTGTTTTGAAATTTATTTAACTCTATAACTCTTTCAGAATTTTGCTCAATATTTATGTATTTTGATAGGTTTAGCTAGCATTTGATGTGTAAATATATATATAAAGTTTTAATAGTATTTTAACATCCATATTTTTATTTGAACTTTTGAAGCATCATCCAGTTGGCCAGGTATGAAACAAAATGTGGACACAAATGTTATTTTGCATCCTTGCTTATAATTGGTTGTTCACTGTCAATGTACATAGTAATGCATTTTTGTAATCTATGTTTTCATTGGGTGATGATTTCATTTCATCTATTGGATGAAGCTTACCTAATCTATGTTTTCATTGGACAAATATTTTTCTTGTTAGTCTTAATCACATGAAGCTTTTGTTACCCATGTTGTCATTGGATGGCGCTTAGAATTAAAGTCAATGTTTTTAATTAGATGAAGCTTTATTGTATGTAATCTGGTTTTTCATTGGATAAAGCTATTTATAATCAGTTAGATAGAAGAAATTCTTTTTTTTCTTTTAATTTGTGAAAATTTTGTACTTTACTATTTCAATTCATTCAAATTTTCTGAACATTAAATGTAATTTAAATAAGTAAAGGCCATAATTTTGCCCAAATTAATTTTATACTAAGATTTATGGTTTGGGGATGGTGACATATATTAATAGCAAGTTATGAAAGAAATTTGACATCTAAATTTATATATTATGTATTTGAAAAGTTTGATTGTATATATAAATTATTTTATTATTTTGTAAAGAGGGTAATGTGAGGTTACAGTCATTGCATGATATAATTAAAGCCAGGACTGCCTGACATCTATGTAAATAGATAAATTTTGTCAATTTATAATATTTTGTGAATAAATGCAGGAGTAGAGATCTATGTTTTAGATTTGTAGTAGCAAAACCCACTAGCTTTTTTTGCTGTTAACAGCTTTCACCTTCATTAGGACAGAAGCTGCACTAAAAGCTTTAACCTTCACTAAGACAGAAGAGAGTGCAGCTTTATTTTGGCAATGGCTGCTCGCTATCGAGTTAGATTGTTTTTGATGTAAAATAACATTGCCAACTGCATCAAGCCTTTGATTGACAATTACACTGGTGTATGATTGTGACATGTTGTAAAATTTTGATTGTGTTTTATTCTCACGCACTGTGATTATTCACCCACAGTATTGTTGTTGAACATTTTATATGTTACTACTAAATAAGAAAGAAAAACACCAAAAAACAACTGAAAGTCAGACCGTATAACTGCATGTAAAATGGTCTTGTGTCACATGTAAGTTGACTTCATCTATGCTGCAGAATATTTTATAGTATACTGTATTTTGTTCCTTTTTTGTGTGTAAATTTGTATGAATCTTAAGGCCTCAAAGCATTCCACAACTTTGTTTTATTTGAAATAAAGCCTTGTTAACATGAAGATTTCTAGTAACTTATTGTAGACTATTGAAAAAAGCCATTTTATATACAAGTGGATGAATCATTATAAATTGATAATTAGAGCAGCACCCCTCCAATACAGGCTACCTTTGGTCTTTTATAAAATGTTTGCTGCATGTTTTATATAACTTTAAGTACTAACATACGCAAATTATTCTTTGATAATTAACATGGCTAAAAAATACCTTGAAAAAAAAGACCAAAATAGACATTCAAAATATCCTAGGTCCAGCTTATCTCACTATGGAGATAGTATGGTGTCTGAAAGAGATTGCACTTATGAATGTGAGTCCTTTGATAGGGGTAATTCTTTCCTGTGAAAAATTCTAATGAATGAAAGAGTTAGTTTTATCTAAAATCCCTGACTAAAATCCCTTCACAACTTGCTTGACAGCTGAGTGGTTAATGTGTTGGACTAATAACCTATGGATTGCTGGCTGATTTGGTTCAAACCCCATCAGGGGCAAGCCATTGTTTCCGTGAGCAAGAAACTTTAAACTCATTATTTAGTACTGGCTCTGGTTCCAGGAACAGATTCAAGAGTATTTCAATAAGCCAATAGCCTCCAGCACAATCAAACTACAATAAACTGGTATAAACTAACTAATATGAATAGTTCCAAATTAAATCAGTGCAAGTTGATTACACAAGCAAGTTTGTACTTGTGTACCATGATATCACTTTTACTTTAATAGCATGTGATAAAAGTATCCCATTTCTTGCCATTTCATTGTAAAGGCAAGCTTGACTATCTTCTAAAATTATTATACATTTTGTATCTAATAAAAATTGCATTTTACTTTTTTAATTTATTTTGGATTGGGTTTGAGTTTAATATGTTTTTACTTTGTTATAATTACAGTTTTGTTTTGCATTTCTTGCCTTGCTATGTAGAAACCATTATCACTGTTTTGTACTTGTTTTGTTATGTGAAATATATTGTCAGATCTAATTATTTTGATTTCAATTAATTAATTTATTAATTAGTTTATTGATTAATTTAATTTTCTTTTTACATTGTATTGTTTGTTTCTTGTCATTTTATCATGATTATGTTTGAAATATATTCAGATTTTGATTTATTTCATCAAATTATATTCAGTTTGTTACATTTTAAGTAGATTCAAGTTTAAATATAGTTATTCTAACAGTCTTGAAGTGTATTAGATATTGTAATAGAAGTGATAAAGCAAGAGATTTATAGGAATGTTTTTGGTACTACATTAAACGTAGTATACTTCTACCATAGAAGTAAAAATTACTAATTCGCATTATATGTAATTATGAATATATATTTACATATTTCTAAGCAACAGTAGTTGACTAGTTTTGTTGATAATTACTTATATTTATGTACCTACCTTCAAGCTTTTTTAAATATACCCAATATAACTTTTAATCTGAGAGGTGTTATAATATGTTGAACAATAAGCATAATTATGCTGACCAAGAGGGAGGGACATCTGTAAATTATTTTTTGCTAGAAAGGCTGGGAAGCTGTTGATATGACCTTATCCATGTTTATGTGATGCAAAGTTGAACATTTCAGTTCTACAAAATAGTTTGAATAAAATATTATATAAAAGATAATGAAAAAAATATAATAGAACAGATGTTTCAGACCAGTAAGAAGTTAGGCCTGCATGTACATCTATGTAGTCACGACATCTCCTATATTGTTTACTAACTTTCTATCGTAAATAAAAAGCAATATCCCCCAAATTGATAAAAGACAGTTCTAAAAAAGGAAAGTTAAGGAACAGTTCTAACAAGGAAAGATATGTTTATTGAAGACATTCTGCAGGTTAAACTTTGATTATGGTTGAAACTTACTTACTTTCTTTGTATAAGTACATGTATATACTATAAAACAACAGTTTGTTGTTTGTAAATTTTTGTTTAGTGCTCAAAGGTTATGTTTAGTTCTCAAAGGTTTCTCAACTAGTGGTTCAAAACAGGTATAAGTATCTAATCAGAGCAAAATCAACAAGGTCACAGTCACAAGTGTCATGAAGCCCATAAAATAAAAATGAAATTTGACAATTTTCTTCCTTGTTTTTTTTTTAATCATCCAAGTTTTCAGATATCCTAGCCTTTCATTTGGTAAAATATGAACTTGAAGAATGACTTTGTATCCTCAACTATGAATAAATATTTCCCATATTTATCGGGTTTTCTTTTATAGTAATCGAAAATGGAATTACTTCTTATATTTCGAAGAAATGAGTTATTAAGTAGAATGGTTTAGAAAAGCTTGTTTGTAAGTATATATGATACCCCTTTGAAATAATTTAAGCATTTTCACAGCTTGCTGTATTTATAATATTTAGGTACATCACCTGGCAGTACAGTGGGCTTGAACCTGAAACTGCCCTTGTACCTAGGAGGACCGAACCCCACTGCTGTAGTCTCATCAAATACTGGTGTCACTCAAGGTTTTGTTGGATGTGTAGCCGAGGTAAGATTTTTCTTGTCTTTGAGTGTGAATTCAATACACCCTAAGGTCTTAGGTTATAAAGTAATGTTCTCAGCTCAAACATAGATCTCAGGTATTTGATTGATCATAAACTGCCACAGAATGTTCACTCAGTGACCAATGAAAATCCTGAGATTTGAGACAGAACTCTGAAAAATGTTTTATAACCCTGAGACCAGGTTTTTATAGAGTCAATCAGAACAGCATGTAAATATATGCAGTTTGATGTTATTCTTTATAGTTTGACATGGAAATATGTGAAATTAGCAGAGGAAAGGTCCAACTATAAGCAAGATATGTTCATTTCCTAATGTTTATAATGAAACAGTTTATTTTCTTTTCTCTCACTATTTTGTAACGTTAATTTCCCATAGGCCAATGGGAGTTATTCTTACTGTTAATTCAAGTGTACTATGTAACTACACATTTAGTACTATTAACCCTAAACCTGTTGAAACTGAAAGTGATTAACCTTGGCCACAACTATAGAGCCAGGCCAGCCTGAACATCCATGCTGTCTTACTATACTCTTATAATGTTAGTAGCTTAGTATTTGAATTAGGAAAAAAAAACTGTTAAAAATTCAGAACTTTGTAAATCCTTTACACTATGTTAGCGGATTATGAGCTAAGCATGTTCCATACAGTTATAGCAATGCAAATATGTTTTCTTGTTGACCATTTATGTGATAGGGACGATTTCTTTCTCTTTGCTCAATGTTTGTCTGAAATCTTGCTTTTGTATAAATAAAGGGAAAAAATACATTGTATAATTATTGTTTCTAAAATAAGGGCTTTAAACTTACTTTGATACATATTATGTGTATGACATTGTCACAAAGGATGTTTTCTTATTTGCACTGAATGAAGTATACTGATATATTATAATACTGTACGTTTGTAACATTGCTTTTCATTGGATAATCATGATGTTTATATAGTTTTATATACACGGCTGCTGTCAATATTTGAAAAGCAAATCTCCCTTTTTTCTCTTAAAATAAATGCTTTCTGTATTATACATTTGTTATAGATATGTCTGACAGGATATATGGCCATATATATAAGATTTTTTGCAGTTTAACCCTTGCCTGTGAAAAATCTTTATAACTAATAATATATAAGTTTTATCTTGTAAAATGATTATAGCTGACAGTGAATGATGTGAAAATAGACCTGTTGAATGATGCTATCGAAAGCGCTAACATTGTGGATTGTGGAGAAAGACGTCTGTGTGCTCGTAACCCATGTAAGAATGGTGCCACTTGTGAAGATCTTTCAGGACCAGACTTTAGGTATTACTTTATAAGATAGAAACAAGAGCAATCAATGATCATATGTCTTGTCAAAAAACATTAACAGGGAAAAGCATTTTTATATAAGGGCCATAACTCCACTCTGCCAAAAAACATTCTACCAGAAAACCCATGTAATATGCGCATGTACTTGAGCTACTAATCAATCCTTTAAAGTTTCATTGAATTTGCATAAGTGGTATAGACAAATTTCAAAATTAAAAATCATTTAAGGTCCATAACTCTGAAAAAAAAATAAAGAAAATGGTAGCCTAAAAGAAATCACAACACCGCTACATTTAAGATATTGCTGGCTTGGTGTGATTGAGTCTTCATGGACATTTGTGATAAATGTTACTTACCATGTCCTCAACAACTGGCTTGAGCAGAACTCAACATGTTTCCATGACCACTGTGTTTAATGTAAATGAAGAATTTTGAAACAATTGTAGATGTGTTCATACAGTAATGAACAAAGAAAGACCCTCATAATTATTCTTTGCAGTTTTATGTTTTCAAAGAATTTTACTAATGCCTTCACTTGAAGACCCAATTCAGTAGATTTGTGAGATTTTCAACTGCATGATTTTTTTGATTTCACAAATCAGTCCTTAATTTAATATCTCATATATTTGTGAATTACATTAAATTTTGTATTATGATTTTAGCAACTTAGTCCCTCAATTGCAATAGTTATTTGATTTTTGTTGTTATTTCACAGATGTATTTGCGAAGAACGGTACACTGGTAAGACCTGCGAGGCCGAGATTAATATCTGTTTGACTAATTCTCCATGCCAAAATAACGCCCCATGTAGTATAACAGATACTGGATATAGATGTGACTGTCTTATAGGATATTCAGGCGATAACTGTGAATATGGTAAGTCAAAAACTACGGGATGAACTTTTGTAGGGTAATAAACATACTCAAGGAAAATCTTTTTGACCTTTGTGACCTTTGTTTTATTTCCTTAACCTGCTGAAAACTCAAAGTTGTTAGTCGCCCCAAACAATGTAAAGCCATATAAGTCATCACATTCTTGCAATCTGAACAGGATCTACACTGTTGGCAGCTTAAGTTTTTGTATTTTGTTAATAAAATACCTTAAAATTAAAATGGACTGTTCCAAATTCAAAGCAAGAAAAATCCATTGCACTAATTCAGCAGGTAAAGGGTTCAATAAATTTTCTGATTTGTTACTATGACCGGTCACTAATTATAAATAATTTGCTCATATTGGTTGTGTCAGTCTGGACTGAAAAGAAAGCCTCCCTTTATCAGGGTGGGCGATTCCATGATTTTGGTTAACAGTAACATTGTGTCACTACTTATAGCAGCCCCTATAACTTAAAAGGTATTTGCCTTTTTTAGCTCACCTGTCACAAAGTGACAGGGTGAGCTTTTGTGATCGCTTTTCGTCTGGCGTCCGTCCGTCCGTCGTCCGTAAACTTTTGCTTCAAATGACATCTCCTCATAAACCACTAAGCCAATTTCATCCAAACTTCACAGGAATGTTCCTTTGGTGGTCACCTTTAAAAATTGTTCAAAGAATTTAATTCCATGCAGAACTCTGGTTGCCATGGCAACTGAAAGAAAAAACTTTAAATATCTTCTTTTAAAGAACCCAAAGAGCTAGAGCTTAGATATTTGGCATGAAACATCTTCTAATGAGTGTCTACCAAGTTTGTTCAAATAAAAGCCCTGGGGTCAAAATTGGCCCCGCCCCAGGGGGTCATTGATTTTCCCTATATGCATATAGTGAAAACTTAAAAAATCTTCTTTTAAAGAACCCAAAGAGCTAGAGCTAAGATATTTAGCATGAAACATCTTCTAATGAGTGTCTACCAAGTTTGTTCAAATAAAAGCCCTGGGGTCAAAATTGGCCCCGCCCCAGGGGTCATTGATTTTCCCTATATGCATATAGTAAAAACTTAAAAAATTTTCTTTTAAAGAACCCAAAGAGCTATAGTTTAGATATTAAGCATGAAACATCTTCTAGTGAGTGTCTACAAAGTTTGTTCAAATAAAAGCCCTGGGGTCAAAATTGGCCCCGCCCCGGGGGTCATTGATTTTCCTTATATATGTATAGCAAAAACCTTCTTTGAAAAAATCCCAAGTAGCTAGAGTTTAGATATTAAGCATGAAACATCTTCTACTGAGTGTCTACAAAGTTTGTTCAAATTAAAATCCTGGGGTCAAAATTGGCCCCGCCCCGGGGGTCATTGATTTTGCTTATATGTGTATAGCAAAAACTTAAAAAATCTTCTTTGAAAAAACCCAAATAGCTAGAGTTTAGATATTAAGCATGAAACATCTTCTAATAAGTGTCTACAAAGTTTGTTGAAATAAAAGCCCTGGGGTCAAAACTGGCCCTGCCCCAGGGGTGTCATTGTTTTTAGCTCACCTGAGCATATGCTCAGGGTGAGCTATTAGGATCACTCTTCGTCCGTCGTCTGTCGTATGTCGTACGTCGTCCGTTGTCCGTTCACACTTTTCAAACGACATCTCCTCTGAAACCATAAGGCAGATCATAATGAAACTTCACAGGGATGTTCCTTGTGTGAAGCCTTAACAAAGTTGTTCAAAGAATTCCATTCCATGCAGAACTCTGGTTGCCATGGCAACCAAAAGAAAAAACTTTAAACATCTTCTTCTAAAAAACCCAAAGAGCTAGGGCTTAGATATTTGGCATGAAACATCTTCTAGTGAATGTCTACCAAGATTGTTCAAATAAAAGCCCTGGGGTCAAAATTGGCCCCGCCCCAGGGGGTCATTGATTTTCCCTATATGCATATAGTAAAAACTTAAAAAAATCTTCTTTTAAAGAACCCAAAGAGCTAGAGCTAAGATATTAAGCATGAAACATCTTCTAATGAGTGTCTACCCAAGATTGTTCAAATCAAAGCCCTGGGGTCAAAATTGGCCCCGCCCCAGGGGGTCATTGATTTTCCCGATATGCATATAGTAAAAACTTAAAAAAATCTTCTTCTAAAAAAACCCAAAGAGCTAGAGCTTAGATATTTGGCATGAAACATGTTCTAATGGATGTCTACCAAGTTTGTTCAAATAAAAGCCCTGGGGTCAAAATTGGCCCCGCCCAAGGGGGTCATTGATTTTCCCTATATGCATATAGTAAAAACTTAAAAAATTTTCTCTTAAAGAACCCAAAGAGCTAGAGCTAAGATATTAAGCATGAAATATCTTCTAATCAGTGTCTACCAAGTTTGTTCAAATAAAAGCCCTGGGGTCAAAATTGGCCCCGCCCCAGGGGGTCATTGATTTTCCCTATATGCATATAGTAAAAACTTGTAAAAAATTCTTTTAAAGAACCCAAAGAGCTACAGCTAAGATATTTAGCATGAAACATCTTCTAATAGGTGTATACCAAGTTTGTTCAAATAAAAGCCCTGGGGTCAAAATTGGCCCCGCCCAAGGGGGTCTTTGATTTTCCCTATATGCATATAGTAAAAACTTAAAAAAATCTTCTTTTAAAGAACCCAAAGAGCTAGAGCTAAGATATTTAGCATGAAACATCTTCTAATGAGTGTCTACCAAGTTTGTTCAAATAAAAGCCCTGGGGTCAAAATTGGCCCTGTCCCAGGGGTCATTGATTTTCCCTATATACATGTAGTAAAAACTTAAAAATCTTCTTTTAAAGAACCCAAAGAGCTAGAGCTAAGATATTTAGCATGAAACATCTTCTAATGGGTGTCTACCAAATTTGTTCAAATAAAAGCCCTGGGGTCAAAATTGGCCCTGCCCCAGGGGTCATTGATTTTCCCTATATACATGTAGTAAAAACTTAAAAATCTTCTTTTAAAGAACCCAAAGAGCTAGAGCTAAGATATTTAGCATGACACATCTTCTAATGGATGTTTACCAAGTTTGTTCAAATAAAAGCCCTTGGGTCAAAATTGGCCCCGCCCTAGGGGGTCATTGATTTTCCCTATATTGCATATAGTAATTAAAAACTTAAAAATCTTCTTTTAAAGAACCCAAAGAGCTAGAGCTAAGATATTTAGCATGAAACATGTTCTAATTGGTGTCTACCAAGTTTGTTCAAATAAAAGCTCTTGGCTTAAAATTGGCCCTGCCAGGGGGAGGGGGGCAAAAGTCATTGTTTTTCATTATTTGTGTATAGTTAAAACTTAACATCATGAAACATCTTTGAATGGGTGTCTTCCAAGTTTGTTCAAATAAAAGCCCTTTGGTTTAAACTGGCCCCGCCCTGGGGGCCTATGTACAGGTGAGCGACCCCAGGGCCATCATGGCCCTCTTGTTAACTATATGTGTATAGTAAAAACTGAAAAAATCTTCTTTTAAAAAACCCAATGAGCTAGAGCTTAGATGTTTAGCATGAAACATGTTTTTATGGGTGTCTACCAAGTTTGTTCAAACAAAAGCCCTTGGGTTAAAATTAACTCTGCCGGGGGGGGGGGGGGAGGTCATTGTTTTCTCTTATATGTGTATAGCAAAAACTTAACATCATGAAACATCTTCTAATGGGTGTCTTAATTCCAAGTTTGTTCAAATAAAAGCCCTTGGGTTTAAACTGACCCCGCTTTGGGGGCCTATATACAGGTGAGCGACCTCAGGGCCATCATGGCCCTCTTGTTATATATACATGTCTGTCAATTTTATTTCATTTATATAAAACATATTCCAAGAAAATCATTTTCAATTTCCAGCAATACATAACTTTCCAATGTTGCTTTTGTACTTTCCCACTTATGCTTGCACAAATTGTCATATAAGTTGCCAAAGTCATCAACATCAACACATTACCATATTGAAAATTTGTGCAAGAACAACGGGAATAGTTTACAGTTACCAAATATTGACAAATGTATAGGGAAAACCAGCAAAATACACTAAGTATTTGACACTGTCGTAAGTGGCAGTATAATGTTTCTATCATTGAGTATTGGCATATATCTAACATTTTAATATTCTCCTTTAAAACTGGGTTTTTCGCACATTTACCGGTATTTATTAATTTGAGAACATGTGTTTCATCATATTCACATTATAGGGTTATTTCTTTATTTCAGCAATAAATATAAATAGCCAGTTTTCATTTGCTGGAGATGGTTTCATGGAATTCCCTAAATCACTTTTACCTCACGCAAAGACACAAGAAAGGCAGACCATTTCCTTCAACTTACGAACAACACAAGAAAACGGTCTAGTATTTTGGCAGGGTGAACAAGGAGGTCGACCTCTAAGAGGTGGTGACCATATCTCGATTGGTCTGAAAGGAGGATATATAGAATTTAGGTAGATTTAGGTTATAGTTTGGTTTTATTCTAAACTACGACATGTTGTATATGTATTTTTCTCTTATTAATATAGATTTTGTTAACTTATTGATTAAATTCAGAGTTGATATTTAAGTGCAAAAGAGCAAACAAAGAAAATGATTTTGAATTTAAAATTCATCGGGGATCAAGCAACTACTGACTAAGTTAGGTTTTGAATTGATAGTTGATAGATCTTGAAGCGAAGTGTTTAAATTAAATATTTGTTGTTATTTCACAAACTTACATTGATACTGTCACTAAAGCACTGTTCAAAATCTTATGCCAGCTGATTAATATTTTTCTTATTTACTCTGTTTACTACAAACAAAAAAACACATTTCACAATGATTTACAAGACAAATGAAGGCGCCTGATGAACAAAAAGGTAGTGCTCCCCTAATGTCCAGTTGCTTATCCAGTTATATCATGTCTCAGACTTCACCAACACTGTACCGGATGGTGAAGTCTAGATGAATAAGTATTAATTCACTTATTTAAATTTGTCGTATTTAATAAGACTCAAAAAATAATATCTTACGATACAGTTCATCTTAACTTAAACAAGCAGAGTGTGTTTAAGAACTTTTATCTGTTTATTTTAAGTTATGAGATGGGCAGTGGTCCAGCAATGATTATGTCAAGGACAAGGGTAAATGATGGGAAGAGTCATACGATCTCTGTAGAACGACTTGGTCGCTCTGGTAATCTCAAGGTCGACAATGAGGACACAGTGTATGGGGATTCGCAAGGTTACCTTCAGATGTTGAACGCTGCCGGGAATATTTATATAGGTATAAATACTTACTGATAAATATGAAAACTGACTGACATGACAAAGTGTGTGGATAGATATTAGTGTTTTCAAAGGTAGTCTCCCTTTTGTAAAAATCTTGAAAAATCGGGTTAAAGTTATTCCCTCTGATTCAACCAACACCATTTATATCGAAACCGCTAACTGCTGGAACTGAAAGTGATTAACATTTGCCAGCAGTATATTGCCTGGTCATCTTTCACATCCATACAGTCTGACCAGACTCTTAACTGTTGACTGTCTAACTTACTCCTTAAAATTGATAATGGACAGTTTAAAAAATGGAAGCCGGGCAAGTCCATTTAAGAAATTGGACAAGTTAAAAGTTAATCAATCGATGAGTCCTATATTTCTACTTAAAATTAATTATGGGCAGCCAAAACTTAAAGCCGGGTAAGTCCATTTAAGAAATTCAGCCGGTTTAATGTAAATTCAACAATTAATCTTGTATTTTCAGGTGGTGTTTCTCTACCAGAAAAAATGACAGACAGCAAATATGAAGACAATTTCATAGGATGTATAGACACTGTTACAATTCATGGCAAAGAACTCGAGTCTAGAGATGCTTTAAGTGGATATAACGTGCAAGCATGCTCGACACAAAATTAGAAATATTTAGTTAAGAAAATTTAGACATTTTGTTTTTTAATTTGTTATATGCTGAGATTTTTTGTTGTTTAATGGATGATGATCTGGAGACTTGGTTGAGTTTTAAGGGACAGATACAAACAATGGTTTCACAAAGAAACTTGACAGCAGTTTACTTGGTAAGCTGTCCAGAGATTAGGAATCTACAGTGCAGTTCATTGTAAAATTAGTTTCAGTAAATCTGATATACATTAAGAATTTGTTTGTTGATTATTGTTTGAAATTTTCTAAAAAAATCTTTAACAGCATGATGTTGTTTTTTGTTGGCAACTTCATTGCTTTATTAGGGTAAACAGTTTGATTTTGATTTTCTAAGATTAAGATCTACGTTAGTCTAAGCACGTTAATACAGGTACGCAGACAAGCTGTGGTGTCTGGGTAGTAACGTGTGTAATATTTGTTACGAAATAATTATTAAACTCTTTATTTTTAACATTTATAGAATACATGCAATTTCAGGGGATGTTTTCATCTTTTAGTAAGGATAGAATAATGTTTTATTTGCCATTAAGTGGTCTTAACTGCAGATATATCTATGCAATGTACTTTAATTCACTTTTTTTGTTTTTGTATTTTATGAAAACATGAATGTGGTCATACCAGTGCATTTATGAAGTTTCATGATATTTCACTTATTTTGTCCTTTTTTGCACAAAGAACATTTTGGTGAAAATTCATAGCGTTAAGTATTTCTTTCAAAATCGGAAATAAATTAAATCTATACATTTTTGGAAAAGATGATTTATAAACTGGCTCTTTGTTTTCTTAACAACAAAAATTAAACATTGCAAAAAATTAAGTTGGTTGGTCTTGACTTTTTTGCAGTGCACTGAGATATTTTATATTATATAATTTTGATCTGTGACCTGATAGGAAAAATGTTTTGATATATGTAAATACAGCGTGATTTCGAAATCCATTTTTTTCTCTCTTTTTTTTCCGACGAAATGTGTAAATTCTGCCAGCTGAGACCAAAGCATGAATGAAATCCATGTTGATCCTTTGTCTTACAATTTGTTACTGTGAATGGAATTATATCTGTTTTATTAAGGAAAAAAGTATAAAGTGGATTTTAAATGATTTTATTTAAATTCTTATACTATATACATTTTTATAGTTTTTTTCTTTGTGTTATTTTAAGTGTACAAAGTGTAATTAGAAGCTTTTTATACCTTTATAATTTTTTATTTAGTCTTTTTCATTCCATTCTTTTGCATACTTGTAGACCAAAACAAAAAAAATCTAGTGCTTACTGCGTTTTATTGTCTATTATAAATTTTCATGTAAATGATTTAAAGTAACATGATGCATTGTATATAAAACAATATTTTAAGATTTCTGAACCAATGAAAAAAAACAAAGTTATTGTACAATGTGATGTAAATAAATTTTAATATCTAAAACCTTGTTAATGATTTTTTGGTTTGAGGTTTTTGTCAAAAATATTATCGATATATGTAACTAAGATTATTCTTGTTCAATTTCCCAAACATTTTTCAGCATATGTTACCAAATCACATAGTCATTTCATCACATGTGCAGTAAAATATTGTTTTAGTTTACAGAATCCTGTAACATACTGTAATTTATACACAAAACTAGAGTCATGTTTTGTTATAATGTGTCGAGTATAATGTTTATATAATTGACGTCACATCTAGTAAAGTATAATTTACTTATTTTCTGGTAACATATAATTTACGTTACTTTCTGGTAACATCAGAATTTAGGTTACCAAAATTGTTTTAGAGACTTTGTGATGTTACACATTACTCAGATTGTAAATGGCCAGTAGAGATAAGCAATCATGTTCATTATTTTACAGATATATTGCGAGACCGTGCCTCTCGTCCCATATCTTTCAATATATTGTTTGAAATTCATTCGGGTATTGTATAGATAGATACTCAGTAACTGGCGAAAGGGATTGTACTTGATATATGACATTATTCATAAAATAATTAAAATGCAAAAGGTAAAAAAAGCTTTAAACGAGAATCACTTGCCTTGATATGTATATAAAACACATTAAAACAGAATTACCTGAGTAATTTTTTTTGTGGTAAAAGTTAAAAATGAGCCTGATAAGATTTTATTCTTTAAATTTGACCGTGAAAACTTATTTTTCAAAAGTGCCATGCTTATATTAAACTCTTTATTTTGCTTCGCTTACTTTGACTGTCCTTTAATATTTTAAGACCTATAGTATTTTCCATGAAATAAGCTTTGCAATATCTCTGATTATCAAGTTTTACTTTATAGTTTAAAATGCCATGTTGATATTTTCTTTGTTAGGACATCAATTTTGTTCAGTCCAGCAATATATTGGCAACATTTTTTTTGACATTTCATAAGTTATTGATAGCCCCTATTTGTAATTTGTGACTATTCCTGCTCTAAACTGAACATAGTTCATTTGAATACACTGTGGTGAGGTGTTTTTAAAAATCAAGTTTTTTTTACAATATGATATAGTATTCCGTATTTTGGGGGATTCATTTTTATACAAGGTAGATGGAAATATGAAAATACAGTGCCAGTAAAAAAGAGAAACTCTTCATACCTCTTTTATATATATATATATTATATTATTTTTGTTTTGTTCTGCTGAATGTATTTCATATTTAAACTGCTTATTAAAGGAAGATTTAAATGATATCTTATAACCCTTTATGTTCCGATTGTATTTTAGTTAAACAATATTACATATATTTGATGTGTATGTTCATATATAGTTTAATTTCTGGAGGATGTAGCAATTCACAGTCATGCTTTTTCAGTGGACTGGACACGATATTGGAACAGAACAATTTCAGACCAAAAGAAATACCAGAACATACTTCATGTGATTACATATTTTCAATAATTTTATGATGTAGCCAATACTTTAGTATGAAGGTCGGAATATGTCGTGGCTGATACTTTAGTATGAAAGTCGGAATATGTCGTGGCCGATATTTTAGTATGAAGGTCAGAATATGACATAATCAATATTTTGGTACGAAGATCAGAATATGACATAGCCGATACTTTAAGTATGAAGATGAGAATAGGGTGAGTATTTACTCAGATTTCTGCAGCACAGCAATAAATTGGCTTTCAAGTTTTTTTATCAGGTTATTATAAGGTGTTACATTTTGATATTTTCAGGATATTAAAGGGTTACTAGATGTTGATTTATGTGACCATAATGAAATGGCCTCAAGTAGACTAGTATTGTATCTTTCATGTTCTATGCTAAATATTGAAAATTTCACAATAAAATGTTCAAACTTTATTGAAGAATTTGTTATATAGACTCCATAAGAAGAATTTGTCATAGACTCCATAGGTTATACCTTTTTGTATTAAAGATGTTGTCCATGACTTATAAGGACAGCCGTTGTACTTTGAATCACTTAAATATCTTATGCCAGCTGAATTAACTTCCCGCTGCTTTTGTGACTTTAATCACTTTCAAGTTATGCTTTTCAAAAATCACCTTTCTTTAATACTGTTGTCACTAAATCACTTACCCTTTATACTGGTTGTGACTGAATAACAACACCCTTTCTGCTGCTGTGTCTTAAAATCACCTTCCACTAAATGCTGGTTTGAATAAAAAGTCGTTATCAACAAGAAATTTATGTCATACCAGATATTAAGTCGTCCCCACGATATAGCTAGTTTGTCTACTCTTTGCCACCATACATGATGCATGTTTGTGACTTGCTGATGCTGCATTTAAGGGTAAGGGAAACGGGCTGATGCTTCATGTTGGGGGAAGGACTGGCTGATGTTGCGTGCAAGTGCAAGGGAGACTGACTGATGCTGCGTGTTTGGGAAAGAGAGAACGGCTGATACTGCATGTAAGGAAAAGAGAGATCGGCTGACGCTGCATGTTTGGGGAAGGGAGAACGGCTGATACTGCATATAAGGGAAAAGGAGACTGGTTTTTCTCCATGTAAGTTGAAGGGCGAGTAACTGATGCTGCATATAAGGTACATGGAGACTGGCTGATCCTGTATGTAATGGTAAGGGAGACTGGCTGGTGGAAAGGAGAGTTGCTGATGCTGCATATAAGAGTAAGGGAGACCGGCTGATGCTGCATGTAAGGGAAAGGGAGACTGGCTGATGCTGCATGTAAGGGAAAGGGAGAGTGGCTGATGCTGCATGTAGGGGGAAGGTCTTGCTAATGCTGCATGTTAGGGGAAAGACTGGCTAATGCTACATGTAAGGGAAAGAGAGACTGGCTGATGCTGCATGTAAGGTAAAGAGAGAAGGGGTGATGCTGCATGTAAAGGAAAGGGAGACCGGCTAATGTTGCATGTAAGGTAAAGGGAGACTGGTAAGATAAAAGGAGACTGGCTGATGCTGCATGTAAGAGAAAGGGAGACTGGCTGATGCTACATGTAAGGGAAACGGAGACTGGCTGATGCTACATGTAAGGTAAAGTGAGACCGGCTGATGTTGCATGTAAGAGAAAGAGAGACTGGCTGATGCTGCATGTAAGGAGAATGGAGACTGTCTGATGCTGCATGTAAGGGTAAGAGAGAGTGGCTGATGCTGCATGTAAGGGTGAGGGAGACTGGCTGATGCTGCATGTAAGGGTGAGGGAGACTGGCAGATGCTGCATGTAAGGGAAAGGGAGAGTGGCTGATGCTGCGTGTAAGGTGAAGGAAGAGTGACTAGTGCTAGATATAAGGTGAATGGAAACGGGATGCTGCATGTAAGGGAAAGGGAGACTGGCTGATGCTGCATGTAAGGTGAAAGGAGAGTGACTGATGCTGCATGTACGTTGAAGGGAGAACGGCTGATGCTGCATGTAAGGTAAAGGGAAACTGGCTTATGCTGCATGTAAGGTAAAGGGAGACTGGCTGATGCTGCATGTAAGGTGAAGGAAGATTGGGTGAGGGAGACTAACTGATACCGCATTAAGGTAAAGGGGCACCAACTTTTGCTGGATGTAAGTTGAAGGGAGACTGGCTGATGCTACATGTAAGGTGAATTGAGACTGGCTGATGCTGCATATAAGGGAATGGGAAGACTGGCTGATGTTGCATGTAAATTGAATGGAGACTGGCTGATGATGCATGCTGCATGTAAGGGAAAAGAAGACTGGTTGATGCTGCATGTAAGGTGACGGGAAACCGGATGATGCTGCATATAAGGTGAATGGAGACTCTGATGCTGCATATAAGAGGAAGGAAGACTGACTGATTCCGCATTTAGTTAAAGGGAGACCAAAAGTTGCTGCATGTAAGTTGAACGGAGACTGACTGATGCTGGATGTAAGGGAAAGTGAGACTGGCTGATGCTGCGTGTAATAGTTGATAAGACTGGGTGATGCATTTCCATCCGGACAAATGCAGTATACTTAACATTTCCAAGTAAAAATATAATTCAATGTAATTTCAATCTAAACTGCATAAGTATAACATAGAAAAAGCAAATCCGCAAAAAAACTTAGGCATCACCCTTCAGAACAATTTAAAATGGGACAATCAAGTCAATTCTGTTTGTAAACAATCTTATTAAAATCAGATGTAAATCACGCTCCGTTTTTAGATTTGAACGTGACCATATACGAAATTATTTCTGGTATCAAATCACACAGCCAGTTATCGGCAAGCTTTCATAATTTTGAAAGCTATGCAGTTTTTAATTTTAACCCTTGGAAAACAAATACTGAGTAGGTAATATTCAAAATTTCGAGAACAAACATGGCGTTGTCGTCCATTGACAAACAAGCAAAACAATCTTGCCCATTAAAATTGAATCTATTTTTTCGAGTAGTTTGTTAAAAGGTACTTCAAGCTTTTTTTTTCTAACAAAAGTCAACAATTTGTTAAACTTCCACGTATAACGGTATTTTGATACTTTTTCACAATTGCAGATTTTAACTCGATAATATTTAAATGTACAGTACTTTCAATCCGTATTAAGTCCGAGGTTATTATGAATAATAGCCGAGTTGTTCCAATTGCGTAGGACTATATAGTAAACCAAAATAAGGCGAAGTTATGCCTACCGGACTACTTTACAAAACCGTACTGCACTGTTATGAGCATAAACTGGCATTTCAACCTATCTGAAAAAATGCCTGCGCTGATAATATCAAAATACATTTTGTGTATGTCTCGAATAAAAAGGTGGTTTAACATCAAACGAGAATTCTACACAGAGATGATACTTTGACAAATACAAACATTGAAATAATGTCACATAACGCATTTATGACATTGGAGTGTGGAACGAATCGTGTTACCAGGTAGTCTTGTATTTTGTTCTGTATAATCAAAATAAATGATATCATACTGTTTCTTTACATGTTCACTCAGCAATGTCGTATCAAATATTACTAAAACATTTCAGAAATACGTTTAGTATTTTGTTATTTAAACACTCTTGTCCATGACTTATTTGGACAGTGCGTGTTAAAGAAATAATTATTTTCATTAATACAACGCTCCAAACTGTACTACAACGAAATTGCTTCGATAATTCAGTAAAACTTTGTTTACAAACTACGTGAATAACACAGATAACAACAAACATGAAGAAAGAAAGTCATTTCTTATTCGTGAACATTTATTCTTTATGAAAACAAACTATTTATGAGTATATCTCTGTTAAAGTGAATTAAAGTGAACTTTTTGTCCAGATTCATGCTTCAGAATTGATAGAAAGTACAAAGTTTGTTTGGTTTGTAAATATGCGAATTAACTAAAATATCTCATTTTGAAATTACAATTGTTACAGTGACCACAAGTAAAAAAACTGTATTTAGTTTTAACATTACTGGTACATTCACTAGGGAAATATCTGCCGGTATATGACTAAAATACTGCACAAAGCTTGCGCATTACCCTACAAACAATTGCAACTATAAACAAGGATATAAACAGTAATATTTTTACTCTCAATCAGAAACTTGGCTAGCATATTTATAACGTGTAAGTGAATTTACTTTTACAAAGATTATCGAAAGAGATTGTTAAGTTGTTTTAAAGTATACCACATCCCGTAAGACTAAATACATGTATAACTTCAGTTAAATAATTTAAGTATGTAAAAATATGTAAAAACTTATCTACGCTTTTTAAAGAAACTCGTCTGATCAAACATTCTTAATAAGTAGAGAAGATATTGTATAAAGTTTATTTTTTGCAAATCAGATTAACTTTGGATGTTCCGTAATATAATATTTTCAGACATTTATAACATAAATTGTCATGGAAAATTTATAAATAACATTGATTTTCAGTTTGAAAATATGTCTGACATTCGGTCCTGCACTTTGTAAATATACAGGACCTACTAAGAATATTTCGATTTGTAGTGTCTTGTAACACGTTAAGACAGATTCCGCAAAGTGACGACAAATTAGCCATATTTTGTAAAAGGTGGAGGTTATGTGAAACTAAATTAGAAACTTATTTGAGATAAAACAACTACAGTAAGTCGAGACAAATGCATTGCTAGAAGAAATTTTAAAATAGGATAAATGAAATAAAAATTAGGAAGACAAGTACATGTAAAAATACATTAAGTTATATACATTCTACTGTGTTTATAGAAACTGAAAGTACACACTGTCTACCTGTTAACATTTTTTTTTAAGATTTGATTATAATTGGTTGAGAATGGGCATTTTTTACAGATTTTGATTGCCTGACATAGTTTTCAAGTTGATATTGCCTTTACTTCATGTTGGGTGTAATGTAACAGGGACACAATCTGTCAGTCTTTATTATATGTCATTAAGAGAGTTGTTTCCCTTGGACCAGTGTTATTGTATGGGTGAGTGGTTATGATTTCCCGCCAGTTTGATCATGTGACTATTGTGTTCAGTTGAGCTCACGTTTTCTAGGAAGAGACATGTACATTGTCCTCATGGTTTTTAAATTTTTGTGATTTATGGAATATCAGTATTATTTATAAGGTATGTAAAGTTTAAACTGCTTTTGATGATTTCCAAAGCATTAAGTATTGTTTATCTTAATGTTGTTTTTAATTGAATTATGATAGTGAATTTAATAAGTAATTTAAATGGTTGCTGTGTCTTATTTTTGGACTCCCAAGGACTGGTTTAATATTGCAGTATCATATCTTTCTTTTCTCAACTAATGAATAAATAAATAATCTCACATTCTATTCAAACTCTATGCACATTGTTTACTATAATTTGCAGGATAGTAACAGCACACTGGAGAGAGAGAGAAGAGTGTATATTGTATTTGTGTTGATGTAAACACTTAGTTCCATAAACTGGTGAGTGTGATATATTGCTGTAAA